TACTTTTTACTTAAATCTTTTATTTTATTTTATTCCTTAAGTCGTTCTACTTATAAAACAGGAACTGGTGCTCATTTTTCTTACTATTACCTAATTTTATTCTTTTTACTCTTTTACTCTTTTTACACTTAACCACAGCCTTATAAAATTAACACTGTTATATTTATCATCCAATTTATTATTGACCCAATAGGGACGGGATTTAGCTTAAAGTCATAGAAGATCAATAAAAATATGCAAATTTTGAATAAGATGATGTATTTGGTATGAATAAAACTCGGCTAGTACATAAATATCTGCCAAGCTTGATGATAAATATAGGGCGACAGTTGAGTATTTAAACTTTTCTGGATCTTTGTACTGGTTTTGATCTGCAATCAAAAGACGATAAAATTGTTGGATCACTCAGAACGGCCTCTCTCTCTTGAATTCGTGGAATTCGTTGTCATAAACTAATTTGTCGATGAGGACTGTCTTCAAATTCTTATGAGTACTAGCAAAGATGTATTAGAAGCGTGGCTAAAGCTGGTTTGTTTGTATGCAATTTAACTTGCTTGAAAAAATTTTGTAGATCACCAACATTGGTAGACAGTCCTGCGAAATCGATTGCTACAAGGCAAATGACTGTTACTGATGAATTGATATACGAAATCATGACTAAGAAAAATATCAGTATCAGTGTTGTTGTTGATAATCATTCACATATTAACAAATACATTGAGTGTCTCCTTTTACACCTATCAAATCAGTGAGTAAATCAGGGTTGACATTCATGTCTCTTGAGGCGATATTGGCGGCGGCCGAAGAAGACCATGACACAAAGACTTCGTTGTAATGAAATAGCCACCCAAACGCAACTTAATTGAAAACCAAAGTTCATCAAATAGCACTCATTCAAATTCATGCTATTTGGATCTATTAATGAAAGCGCTCAAATGTACATCAAAAAACCCATTTAAAATACTAAAGTAAAGATACACGCTTATATCGCACATCGTGTGAATGAATCACTCCTGATCACAGTGTATTCAATCACACCCATGATGGTCGTAATAGGTGATGGTATCTTTATCCAAATAGAATTAAATCAATAATAAGCATATTCAAATATGACAACTATGCCCTGCTGCCATAGTTGCACAATATCCCAGATAAAGGATTCCATGCTTCAATAACAAACATCACACTTTAAACCATCAAGGTTACATTAAATCATGCTATGACGATAGCTCACCCAAGCCCATCAAGGTTACTCAAATCGACCCTTATGGCCAGTGCTCCTGCATTGATTACCACTTTAAATCAAACATCAACAACATTTGCCAGATATCGCAATAGCAGCACCTATTGCTCTCTATCATCACTAATCCTACAAGCCAGATGCAAATGTATAAATACTCTTCTTTTTTTTACTCAATTCGAGGATCTTCAGTTCATTTTATACACAAAATAAAATACAGTTGATTTCTATTGTATTTTACCTTTGCTTTATTTTTTTTTGTGAAATCCATGAAACCTGATTTCACTGCATTCGTCACATAAAGATCTTTCTTTTAAGCACTGCACCATGCTATTCAAAAGCCTTTTTCTGTCCTCTTCATCATTGCGACCAGCAGACTTCCTAGCATATCCAATGATGGTGCATCCTTGCTTTTTTAGAGAGCTTATATGGTTTTGATAGCTCGGAATAGAAATAGTGATGGATTTAACAACACCCTCTAACAGTAGAGAATAAATAATGATATTTCTAAGAAACTCAAATAGTATATTACCTCTAAATTCATTCTTCATCACATAAAGTCTCCTATAGCGCTTATTCGATCCTTTACTCCTCTTCCTAGTAAATGGCTGATCCATAAAGCTAACTTTTCTTTTCGAACACCAAGTTGCAAACGCTATTTCAGACTTCTTGTTCATGCATTCAGTTTTCGAAATAACTGACTTATATATTTCTTTGTTTTCAACTTCTTGAAGGCAATAGACAGCTTCATTTTGAGGATCGATAGGTTTATAAACCTCATTCAGAAACGTAGCCACTTGTCGTTCCGAAACTAATTTAAAATTTTAGTGTCAAAATACGAGGAATAACACATAATCTTTCAGTGCTTACCAAGTTCAGATTTTGCTTCTACTGCTTCCTCAATGTCCACAGCTGATTCTTCAGTTAAATAACGTTTAAAGGTTGAGGGATCGTTCCGAATCACACTCAGATTCACCATAACAGGTCGCTTAGGATCGTTTTCATAACACACATCAAAAGAGCCAAATTCTTCGATCTTTTTTGACAATCTTGCTGCATTTTCTTTGCTGTAATCTTCACAAAAAACCTACAGATAGCTTGATCACGAGTTATGTTCATCTGGTGTTGGAGTAAAGAGCAGATCAATTGTTTAGTTCTGAAGCTAGTTGAACCCGGTTCATTTTTTTACTGAACGCGGTTCATTTTTTCACTGAACGTGGTTCATTTTTTCACTGAACGTGGTTCATTTCTTTACTGAACCCGGTTCATTTTTTTACTGAACCCGGTTCACAACTTTCCCAAATATAAAAAAAAAAAAACTGCCCTTTGGCATTGGAACGACTGTATATTAGAAAGGTGTCTTATTATAACAATTAACAATTTGGCGCTTAGAATGATTACAGAAACCATTAAGGTCACTGATGAGTATATCATTACAAGCATTAGTAATTCTACTGGACAGATTTTCTTCATTCATTAGTCTGTCACGCTTCATCTTTCCTTTAACTATTGCCCAAAACTGTTCAATAGGGTTCAATTCAGGCGAGTAGGGAGGCAGATACGTTACTCTATAACCCTTACTTTCAATCTTTCTTATCATCGGCTTAGACTTATGAATAGAAGCATTATCTAGAACTATATAACTTCCTCTAAAAGCTTCTTCGGCATCCAGTACAGCAAGAACTTTGTTCATGAACTTAACGAAGTGAGCAGTTGTTTTACTGAATTATTATCAGCAGAAACGTCGTTAACCTCTGTATTCTCTCCACTAATTTCAGTTAGTGCTCTTTTTTTCCCTTTCTTTTTTTTTTAGCAGCCTCAATTTCTTTTTTTGGTGGTGGTTTTCTGATAGCAACGTGAATAATGCTAGAGGAGTGAATGGCACCAATGATTGTATGTGTTGGTGCTCTGGTTTGTGGTTGCTTTACGATGCCCTTTTTTCCACTTTTCGATCTGGCCCAATTGAGTTTCATGTTGATAAAAACCGCCAAAAACATCTGCCAATTAAATGCCAATTTTAGTTACCAACTTGTGCCAAAAATAATTTGACCTTATGACATTTATTTTTTAAAAGCCGATCAATTTTTTTTTTTGACTTTCGGTCAATTATTTTTTAGAAAACGCCAATTTCCATAAGCCTGACTGTATGATAATGTTGTGAGCGGTGATGTCCGCATCGAGACTACATCTGGGAGGTTAGCAAAATCAGTAAGCAAGCAAGTAAACAAAGCCGTTATATATAAATATCCCTCGTATGCCATATCAATAAACAGAGAGAAAAAATCCCCTCTTTTTAGTTTTGTTCTTCTGTGTAGTCTTTATTTTGTACACTAGAGAAGTAGTATTGATCGTAATAGCTACTTGACGTGTCCAAATTCTTTATAGTTGAATAAGCGTAATCTTTACTAAAAGCACAGGTAATTTACATCCCGTTACCGCACCCTCTCAACAATAATAAACAAAGCAGTAGCAATATGTCTGAAACCATTAAACTAGACTAAACCCAATTATAACCAATATAGAGTATTCTTTTGTGGAGCCAGGAAGGGCAGGAAGAAGCTATCTTATTTTATGAAGGAATGATTAGCTTTGCCCCGATAACTGGTAATGTGGTACTGATTCTCTGTTATGAGTGGATTGCTCTTGTGCAACGAGTGTCCAACTTTAATGGTTCTAAATATACATTGTTGCTAATGAGAGAGGCATTTGATGTTTCAGTTTCTATGATATACCACAAAGAATTTGGTGCAAAAAACGCGTAGGTTCAGTAAATAACGCATTTACTTAAAAACCAAATGAGATGATATACAGACTGAAAATGTTGGGTAATTCATTGTAAAACACAGTTGTACCTCACAATAAACTATTAATTTAAAACTGTTCAATAAGAAACACTTCATGTGATTGTCATTTAGACAAGTTGTTTCATAATCATATTGTACTAACACCAAAAATACAATATAGGTACTATGTCAAACAAGCAAAAATTTGACAACATGCAGATGATATGCAGACAATATGCAAATGATATGCAGAAAATATGCAGGTACATTACATCACTATAGTAACTGCTCACCCACAAACCAAATCTTCTGGCAGCACATTTTGACATGCGATGATCGATTCTTTTGATAATCGAAAATGCGCCTAAAAAAAGTTATAAAATAGGGGGAAACGTATACATGTATTGTTCTTGGTAAGTGACACAAATAAAAATTTTATAATGTGCACCATGACGATTTGGGTGTAACCATGTATTCATGCTCATTCATCGAGAAAATGACACGAAGAATTAGCCGTGATTATAAACATCGAGAAAAAAAAAAAATAAACCATCTATTAAGGAGAAGAAAGAAAAATGATCTTCATTTACACCTCATAGATCCGAACAATCAGAGCAGAATAGATTGTCTCATTAGCATTCAATTTAAAATGTATCACTTGTAAATATTGAATTAACAGAAGTGATACGCTTCCTCACACACAAAAGCGTGATTCGTTTTGGTCACCAAACCTATTGATAACAACTACCACATATCAGATAATTATATGATTGATTAAGGTTATTTGTCCCGCCTGAATGCACCATTCCTGTACTAAAAAGTTTATATACCCAGCTTTTCTCATTTCATCGAATACAGGATATTGGCATGTAGAGTCTCGATTGTAACTCACACTTCTCTTTCTCTCTTACTTTTTTCTTTTCCCTCTTTCGCTCGTACATAAAAACTGCATTCATTGAATCGAGTCGATTACATCAATGGATCAAAGTATTGAAGCATTACAAACATACAATGGTGGCATCATCTTTGTTAGCTATTTGATTGCAGTGATTGGTGCGCTGACGACGTTGGAATTACTACAAAGGCGCACACACATTCGAGGATACTACAATTGGTTTCTACTGTTTGCTGCAGCATGTTCAATGGGTGGTGTTGGCATCTGGTCAATGCATTTCATTGGAAACAACAGCTTGAGAATCACTTTGAATAATGGGGATCAATACCAACTATCATATTCAGCTGGATTTACGTTTGCTAGTCTGGTGGTGGCTATTCTCACTATGTTCTTAGCATTTGCATTTGTCGGTATTACCGAAGAAGCGAGAATAGCGCGAATTATACCTAGTGGTATCATAGCTGGGGTAAATCTAAATATCTATTCGATGATAGCCTTGGAGTACTGATACCATTTTTAATAGTTTGGTATTGTGTCTATGCACTATTTAGGTATATGATCGATGTATTTATGAACTGGTACTTGTGCTCATTCTCTTCAATTAGGTCAAGTTGCGATCGATTTTTTTCAGATGAGGAATAAGATTGCTTTTGTCATTGGCGCTTCAATCATCGCAGTGTGTGCTGTTACAGCTGCTCTGTTCATCTTCTTCAAACTGCGCGAACAGTGGGAGAACCAATGGTACAAGCGTCTTGGGTGCGCAATGTTAATGGGCGTTGCGGTTTGTGGTACGAATGCAAAATCCATCATCAACATGTATGTAATTGGCTCACATCAAATTATACCACATGTCCTTTTATAGGCATGCATTACACAGCGCTGGTAGGAACAATGTACTACCCTGGAGACTCTCGTACCGGGCCACCTACGCCTGTGCTCCCAACAGCGGCTCTCATTGGCATCATCTCGGCGATTGTTATAGCAGGCTGCATCATTTTGTTTGTTATTGTGGCAAAAGCTAAGATGGAGAACAGCAAACTCCCCTTTCAAAAAAAACCTCAAAAGCGACTCATTTTGGATACCATATTCTTTGATACAAATGGTAGAATCCTCGTCAAAGTCGATGGCGTGGTGCCAATGAAGGAAATATTGAGCGAACTGCCTGAAAACGTAACTTTTTGTCAGGAACAATTACTATTTTACGTCGCTGACCTCGCCATCTACAGGATTTTCAGGAAAATTTGACGTCGAACCATCCACTGTTCATACGACTATTCGAAACTACCATGCAATGGTCGAGATCAGAGAATAAAGCGGACTATCAGCACAGCAATGCAGACCATCACCTTCAAGACACTCAGCCGACGGCTAATTTAGCTGCTTACAACGCCATCAACGATTCATTCATCCAAGCAGCACATGAACTAGTGGAGGAATTGCGGTTTCAACAGTTGTCAGATCTTGGATTTTTGTTTGATTCTGTCATGAATACAAACACTATATCAAAAAAGAGCATGTTTTCTCAGGAACCCAAGAAGCTACCTGTTATTCGAAGAACGAGTAGCACAGCATCATGGTTACTCACAAGTTTGAATCCAAAAGATGCACACAAGTCCAATGTGCAGCAGCAACAGCAACAGCAACAACAAAGACGCACATCATCTTACTCTGCTTCTACTCCTGAAAATGCCACAGTCATTGATATTTTCAACGCGTCTTCAGACCAAGTATCGCCAGCAAACAATAACTTGACTGTACGAGATGCTAACTCTGAGGATCGCCATATCTTTCTGGTCAAAAAGATTGATTCCAACAAGGATCTCGTCAATCTACTGTCGATAGGCTTTCGATTTGCAGAGCCTGTATTCATTTCAAAGACGATGGGAGAGAAGCTCAAAGTGCCCTCAGAGTACATGCTAAATTACTTTCGCGATATGCAGCAAATGACAGAGGCAGCAGCTACCATGTACACCCCGATCAAATCATCCGGCTACTCCATGTACAGCTCACCTACATTTAAAAAGCAACTCGACCTCAAAAACAGCGAAATTCGCAGTGGCGTCTTTGTGGGTCTGTTTGCACTAGTGGAAGATCAAGAAACCTCGAATCAAGTGCCTTATTTTATTGTGGACAAGGAAAAGAGATACACATTCCCCATGGTCCAACTTACATTAGATAACGGCAGCAAACCCACTACGCTGACTAGGCAACAAAAGAACACCATCTTGAGTCTGAGTGGGCAATCGCTAGCGAATATATCCAGCATAGATTCTAAGAATCCCAACAAGAGCAAGCAATTCTTTGCGGAAGACGATCACACCCAAGATAGCAATAACTTCTCGCCTGTGTCGACGCAGCAGAGTGTAGGATCTGCCAGAACTTTGATTGACACGACGTCTCTCAGCAGTAATAATGCATCATTTCCTGCATTTGGCTCGAATTCTAGTAGATCTACTGTACCAACATTGGACATCGAAGATGCCAATGCGCAATTCATTCGGTCATTGGAAGCTGCAGCGAAATCATTGATCAGCTCATCAAGCTATGGCAAGCCATTAGCTACATCTGCAAAATTGTATGGCGATGTATTGGATATCCCAGCATTTTCATTGCGAGCAGGTCAGTGTCAACTGATCCTGTTTAGAGCACACATCACTACACCAGGCACGCGATTTGCCATCAACCAAACACTGACAGAAACCATCAAATGCACGCCGTTTCCCATGTACCGCAGTTTCACACACCACATCACTCAAATCGCACTAGAAAAGTACCGTGCTGAAGAAAGCAGGTGCAAGACACCAGCCTCCTATCTCACTCAACAGCGTCTTTACCAGTCCACAGCTGCTCGTAATAAGGATTTGCAACAAATAGAGGATATCGAAGATGCATTGTCAGACGGCCAGACCGAGGAGGATGAGGATGATAACAAACATCAACATGAGCACTTGAACGAACACGCGTTGACGGCATATCGACCTGCTCCAAAGGGAGAGCCATCCCCGCTTCAACCACCCCCACCACAGGCGTTTTCGTCTCTTCCTCCTCCACCTCGCGTCAAGCGCAACAAATTCGCATTTCCTTCTAATATAGGCTCGCTAGACATCAGCCATCTCAGTAAAGACTTTTTGCCCAACATGCTTAAAGGTGCTAATAATATACCACTCAGTCCTGTTCCACCATCGTCAGCTGGTGGTCCAGGATCCTCTACAGAAGCGCCTATTGTGTTAAACTTGCTGCCTGCCAATGCTAGATTTTGGTGGCTAAACAACATGTATGAAGAAACATTCAACATTTAGAAAAACAAACATGTATATACAACAGCAAGTACTTTTTTCATATACAGCATTGCACCTATCACACTAATCTTTGCATTTACTAAAAAAAAAAAAAAACCCCCCTCCTTTATTTAATCTACTAATCAATCAATTAATAAACAAATCGTATCTAAGCGCTTCTTATTTGGCTTGAGCTTGAGCGGGGACAACAATGAAGCCAATGGTGGGGAAATGAATGATGCTGGTGGTGTTGTGCTCAGTATTCTTGTAGGAAATGACAGTTTCGTCAACGGTGCTTCTGATCAGCGTACCAGTCACAGGGATCTTTCCAGTATCCAAGGGTGTAACAGACACCAATTGACCCAGTTCGATGGGGAGAATGCTGCTGTGGATCTCGAAGCCTTCAGCAAGAGTATCAGACTCATGACGCTTTAAAACCTCAACAGCCTCTTCTTCAGTGAGCTTGAGGCGAGATTCGGTTGCATCCCAACTAGAAGTACTCATCACTCGAGCCATATGCTCATAAATACTCTTCAAGTTGGTTTGAACCCACTTTTCACCTACCAAATTCAAACAGAAGAAGGTCAGCATGGAGAGACTGAAGTCCACGAGAGACGGGGTCTCTGTATCCAAAACCCAAGTCTTGTCACCAAGGATGCTTTCAGCAACACTGAATTCAGCTTTGAGAGTGGCCTTCATAAAAGGAGCAGCGGCTGCCATCACATCCACATTGAATCTACCGCCAACTAAATCATTGCGATCCTTGATAAAAGTCTCATCAAGTGCCTTAAGAGGGATCTGAGAGACTACATTGAAGAACAAGGTATTGTCCATCCAAACAGTCAAGCCTCTAGCAACAGCTTCGGAAGAGACATCAGGGTTAGTGGTAAGCTTGGGATAGAGGCTGTTCTCGGGAAAACTATGCGTGATACAGGAAAGGTTACAGCTTGAACCCAAAAAAAGGTAGTGGGATTAGTACTTACTATTTCTCTATTGCAAGGAAAATGGCCTTGGTATCGCAATAGACATGGTTGCCAATTTGCAGAATAGGTGTCTTTCTGTAGCCACCATCAAGAGGTCTGCGCAAAGGACGAGGCTCGCATCTGTCGATCAAAACGACCTTGTAATCAATCTTTTTGTAGTTCAAGACCCAAGCAACCTTTTGGGAGAAAGGAGACTCGGGATACCAGTGCTGTTAAAATGCGTGGCGTTAACAACATGTTGGTGTATTTCACGCTTGTGTATAATTCTTACCAAAATCACGTCTTGGACAGTAGTTGACATTTTATGAACAGAGAGAAAAGGAGAGCAATGTCATGAAAAGTTTCATCGATCGACAGATTATGTATAAGCATGTCTTTGAATCACCGTTTATCTGATTGATAATTCAAAACGCAACCCGCCCAAAGGCAGACGAATCTTACTATATCGAGACGAGATGGAGCCCAGGAGTTGAGTGCAGTAATAGCTGATGTCTGTTTCCCACACACAGCGCAAGACAGGCTTTTGCATGATGTGTAGGCCTGGTTATTAGTAAAGAACAAACTCAAAATTATTAACTTCTATTCTTGGTTTTCATTCAATGAAAAGTAACCCTGTTTCTTGACGCTCCATTACATGTAACATTTGCTGATTAACGTTCTAGAGACAGCTGCGACCAGCATGCTGCACTATCTCCACATTATTAATGCTAAATCTATAGATTGTCATCAAATACGCTCCTTTTTTTTTTTTTTTTTTTTTTTTTTTTTTTAGCTTTTTCTATGAATGTTTAATTTATAACCATTGCAAAATTACGCTTCTTTCCTAAATTGTCATTTATGCTTGATCATCTTGAAAAGAAACATGGTCACGGAGTCAAGACAAAAGGAAAAGCATAAGAATCAGATTTCAAATCAAATTTCCCCTTTATTTCACTTTATTCGAAAACATGTCAAATCCTCAATTCATCTTGGTATGTGTAATCAGTGATTTTCTTTGCAAATTTTAATCTAACACATCAACAGCATTGGTATCCTAATTCTCCATTCGCTCAAAAAGTTGCATGGGCCCTTCAATACAAGAATGTCGACTTCAAGCTTGTAACGATTTCACCCATTGAGCCTCGTCCTCTTCGCAGACCCCTTGATGCTGGATACCGCAAGACGCCTGTGCTCCAAATTGGTAATCATACCTACTGTGATTCCAAGATCATCTTTGCTGAACTTGAAAAGAGGTAAATGCTTGTGAGTTTGCATGAGTAATACCAATTGACTGTCATTTGCCTTATGATAGATTCCCAGAACCAACATTCTACCCGCTTGATGCTCAAGGAAACTCGACTGAACATTCAACCTTATCATTAGCAAGATGGACCGAGAGCTCAGTATTTCAAGCTATTGTTACCCAAATCCCTATGGGTAAATTAGGCGAAGCATTTGTCAAGGATCGCTCTCAATTCTCAGGTCGTAAAATTAATCCGGAATCACTCAAATTCGCCGCCCCTTACATGCTACAAGGTTTAACTGCAGAGCTTTTAGCTGTCGAAGAGCTTGTCAAATCTCGTCATCAAAATGGATCTCTGTGGGCTCTTGGTACCAAGGAGTTGTCATTGGCTGACCTTCACATTGCCATGAATGTTTGGTTCCTCAGTCAATTTGTGGGCAGCAAATGGCTTGAATCCAAGATTCCTGTTCTGAGTGAACACTTGACCAAGACTTTGGCCACTGTCCGTTTCAACGACCTTGAGAAGCTGAGTCAATTAGATGAAGAAGAAGCACTTGTAGTCGCCAAGGAGCAATCATGGAAGCTCGAAAATGCTGCGCACGATGGCTCCTTGAAGGCGAAATTGGGCCAAGTGGTTGCCGTTCTGCCTACTGATACTGGCATGGTGCCTGCTTTAGGCACACTGGTACATAGCACTATCCATGAAACTGTCATTGAGAATAAGCAAGATGAGTATGGCTTTACATCATACACCCATTTTCCTGTTATTGGTTTTGTTGTTCTGCCTCAAGCCCCCAAGCTCTAATGCACTATTTACCAAATAATAAAAGACACTATGTATTATGAATGAAATACATGTTGCTGCGAGAGAATATTCAATCGTCCATTGTATCGAATCAGCAACAGGATGCAGTTTCATACCACTGGCAAATTTATCAAGAGCTAATGTATAAACCCGCTTTTCACTCGTTTCTTCTTAATTTATTGCAAGCTCAAGCTGACGGAGTATCAGAGTAGATCGCGTAAGGATTGTTTACAGAATATAAAGAAAAATTCGCTAGACGGCCACTAAACAAACATTATGCGCATGCCTAGAATATCAAAGGATTACTACGGCTGAACAACATTTTGCATGTTAAAAACGGCTAATGCAGCACTAGTGTGAAGGGTTGTTCTAATGAATAAACATTACTAAAATCAAGCACAACATGAAGAAAAACTGTGGGATTGACAAACAAGCCATTAGCAACAAAAGCTAATGTTGATGTAAATTTGAAGATAAATGAGGAGCATTGGACCTCAACATTGAATTATGGTACGTTTAAAGCTTGACCCTACTGATCAGGAATACATGGATATAAAATCTCTTGCAGAACTACAGTCAAACTGGTATGACAGCAAATTATTAAAGATATTGTGGCACACAATAAGCTCAGTGTCCATCACACATTTGATGGGACTAACATTTCGAGCTGTCATTGACTGGACACCAGCATCATGAGTGATTAAGCTTTTTTAAGACTCAAACGTACTATTTTCAACAGTGATCATTGTTTCCAGTCCATGATAAGTTTGTACAGAATTAAAATGGGTGTCTTTTGCAGCTCTTAAAGACTTATTATGTGGAACACATCCCTAAAATATGTTTCATTCAGATGAAGCAAGTATAGTTGGAAATGCCTGTTGGAGAAAATCGTCAACTTGATTTTGGGTTCAATGTGTTGCTCAAGTAAGCGCTTTGAAAGCTGCCGCTCTTGCTCTGAATGGCTGCAGTAGAAGCTCGGCAAAAGAGTGATTTTGAACTGAAGGTATGGTATAGGAACTCTAGAACATCTCTTCCATAATTGCTTTTATTGTAGCACTACATTGCAATACATGCTGACCAACATTTTGACCTAAGGTAGGTGTCCATGCTATAAACTTGGTTTGGCGTTAATTATTTGTGTACTGCTGGTGCTTATAATGGCTTCTCTGCAGCATGTATTCTTACTGTTAGCAATTCTCTTACATGTTTGTCTTTGCTGTTTCTCTGTATTAAAAGTAATACTTAGCCTTTAAGAATTTGAGCTGATATCGCAGGACCTCTCTCATTATGCTCATTTCTACAAAGCATGTGTACGATTTCTATCATGAATCTCATCGCCATTGATGGAAGCTACTTTTTCACAAAGAATGGGTAATTTGTTTCGAAACTTGTCGAGGACACTTTCACAACATAATAAAATTACAAGCAACTAGCTGATGTATTGACAAAAGTTATATTAGACTATAGTTGGAGCCAGATGAATTGCTGTGATGCATAAGAAAGATAGAAATCTAGCTGTACAGTATTGCTGTACAAGTAGAGATGCTTCAACTTGAAGTTTTCAGGAACAGAGCTATCTTTTGTTGGACAGTCATGACTGACATTCAATCGCACCCATCATCTTTCATCTAAATACATCAGTTTGCATCTAAAAAAAAAAAAAAAAAAAAAAACCTGATTAGCCTCTCTTTTGTTCCTCTATTACTCGCTTTATAATATGACAGATCTTGCTTCAGAATATCTCATTCTTTGGGCATCACAAACTGGTAACGCTGAATGGATTGCCAAAAACATCCATACCGAGGCTGGAAAGAAGGGATACAAGGGCGAATGCTTTGTCATGGATGAGTTTGCTGTGGTACGATTTATGCTCGCTTTCTCAATTGCCTTATGATCGATACTCACACATTTAAATATGCTAGGCACCTTTACAGAAGGCAGGCGTGATTATTATGGTCAGTTCCAATACCGGAGATGGCGATTCCCCTGACAATGCACTCAAGTTTTGGAGATTTCTGCGCCGCAACAAGGATAAGACCTATTTTGCCAACACTCGATTTACAGTATTGGGTTTGGGTGACAGCAACTATTCCAACTTCAACAACAGTGGTAAAAAACTGGAAAAGAAATTCAAGGATTTGGGAGGCCAGGTGTTCTATGAAAAGGGTTTAGCTGACGATGCTGAAGGGTGATTATGACAAAGGGTGGATTTGTCAGCAAAATGACTAAATTAGGCTTTTTTAGATTGGAGAATGTGGTAGATCCTTGGATCGAAAAGCTATGGGAAGTCTTACCTACAGTGCTAAAGCAAGAGGGAAATGCGTCCATCGAATCATCGATTGCTCATGAAAAGGAATTGGAAAAGGAAATGTCAGAACTGGCTATCGATCCCATCGATGTACCTTATTCGATGAGAAATCGCAAAAAGAATCTCCCTGATCTAGTGGAAAAGTACACCGACTTGGAAAACACATTAGTCGATAATTTCACCATGGAAGCTAGAAGAGAAAAGTTGCCTAGCAAAGTAGCTGATTATACACAATTAGACAATACACTTGTAGATGGCAAAAAGAAGATTTTCAAGAGTGGATTCCCTCTTGCCATCAGCTTGGCTGGATTAGAAGCAGGTGCCAAGTTGACTGGATTGCCTCGAGTATCTGTTCCTGTTGCCAAGGTGACCAAATTAGAAGGTCAAAAGGCAGAAGATTTCTCAGGAAAGGTACCTGATTTTGTGTCTACTCCTGTGCCCATCACCTATGCTCCAGTTACCATGGTGTCTTGCTTGACTGCCCCGAATGCTGTTAAACGAACATTGGAAGTGGAGCTTGATGTTGGCGAGGACAATCATTTTGAACCTGGAGATGCATTTGGTGTGTTGGCTCCTAATGACGAGGATCTGGTGGAGTCTATTTTGGGCAGACTAAATATACCTGAAGAAGAATTCCACCATCTTTACAAGGTCGAAGGCGAGAATCTGCCTACTCATTTACAAAAGGCCGCCTCAGCATCACTAATTGAACTGTTCCGTTACGCAGTGGATTTGACTAGCCATCCTCGTAAAGCACTGTTTAGAATGCTGGCTGATCACACTACAGATCCCAAAGAAAAGCTGACATTAATGTACATTTGCAGCAAGCAAGGTGCTGCTGCTTTCAATGCTATCCGTGATGAATCACCCACATTGCTCGATATATTGGAGACTTTTCCTAGCTGCCACCCTCCCATTGACCGTCTTTTGGATCTTTTGCCTGCTCATATGCCTCGTTTCTACTCTATCTCAAGCTCTCCTCTCAAGCGTCAAGGCAAAGTACGATTTGCTTTCAACGTGGTGGAGTACATTACAGCTGGCAAGGCTGAGCGTAAGGGTGTTGCCACACCTTGGATGGACAAGATTACCAAGTTGATTCCCAGTCGAACCACACCTACCAATGTTGAAGTCGCTGTTACTGAAGACATCAAGGTGCCCATGTACATCCGCCAAAACGCAAATGCCTTTGTTTTGCCTCAAGAAACAGAGCGTCCTTTGGTATTGATTGGCCCTGGTACTGGCATTGCACCCTTCATTGGCTTCTTGGAGCATCGTCAAATACAGCGCAATATCCGCCTCTCTATGGGCGGTCTTGGCCATCAACCCACGCAACAGATTCGTGATCAGTTTGGACCCATTTATGTCTACTATGGTTTCCGTGACAAGAGCAAGGACTTTTTGTTTGAAAAGGAAATCCGTGAATTCGAAACGGATGGCACTATCTCACTTTTGAGAATTGCAGAGAGTCGTGCTGCTGATGGACCCAAAGTGTACGTTCAAGATTTGATCAAGAAAGATTCCGCCGCATTGTACGACTTGATTGTAAACAAGGATGCAGCTATTTACATTTGTGGTGATGCCAAGGGCATGGCAAAGGGTGTCCAAGATGCTCTGGCAGAGATGCTGGTAGAACACCAAAAGATGGATCTGTTGGAGGCAAACAAGACTTTGGTGAATTGGATCTCGTCAAAGAAATATATTAGAGATTTGGTAAGTGGAGTTTGCCAAGTATGATTTGTGGTTGGCGTATATCAGGCTAATTTCTTTTTTCTCGAATAGTGGGCTTAATCAAGACTAATATATATATATATATATATATATATATATAGTATATACAATAAACTTTTGACTGTAAATTATGATACTATGAGTAGACAACGCAATAGATTTGAAGTTTTATAGGCTTGATTTTTGAATAGACAAGCTATACATGAAGCAGAGCATCTTGACGCTTAATAAACTTGACCTTGTACGAAGGTGGCAGGATGTTCAAACCCGCATTTTCTCTTGCAGTTGAGATATCGGGATATTCATCTTTAGAGATGGGCTCGATTTTGCATCGAGCGAATACTTGGATAAATGCATTGAACAGCTCCACTTCAGCTAAATAAATTCCTATGCAAAGGCGTCTTCCAAAGCTAAAATTAAAGTGATCGCGTTGATCCAGTTTTCCATTCACGGCAGCTTGCATGGTCTTCATATTGTTCATGTATCTCTCTGGCAAGAAGGATTCAGGGTGCACTGGATATTGCTTGGGATTTTCGTGCATGCTGTCCATGCTGGCAATGATGGTGCAGCCTTTGGGTAAGACGTAGCCATCAACCTCAACTGCATGTTATTGCGGTGAATACAAGACGCCTGACACCCATCTCTTGGAAAACTTACTGTCTTTGTCTGCCGTGTGAGAAAGTCCCAAGTAGGTTGTGGGCCTATATCTCATGCATTATTTGGTCACTGAAACACACAATGGAATCTCGATTCGCTCATCAAAAGTGGGAAGTTTGCGATGTACCTTAATGTACTTGTCAATTTCATGAGAGACCCTTTCTTGCAAGTCAGGATAATGACACATGATGGCCAGATTCCGACTGAATGTCGCTGAGAGAATATCAGTGCCACCTGTGACAAAATCACCTACAGAGAGAGAGAGAGAGAGAGAGAGAGATAAGTGAGCAAAGCTGCATTATTAAACCCTTTATCCAGCAACACAAGAATGTCCTCATCTGGTAAATCAAAGCCATCTTCCTTTAACGATTTCACAACGTTGGGTCCGTCTCGCAGCAAAGCCTCCTTTACAAATCTTGTAAATGCAGGATTACGAATGGTATCAGTGAAATGCTTCATTTTTGCCTGTGTACCAGCGAAATAATCAAAGACAGCGACAATGGGTAAGAAGTCTGGCATATCCTTTTCCAAGGCTAGAAACGTCATACTGGTCTCAATCATGTCAATGACCTGAAGAAATTCGGCGTCATCCACTGCATCAAAGCGCTTTCCATAAACAATCTTGAAAACCACATTGAGGAAGCATAATTCATTGTGTTTGTAGGGATCTGTGTAGCCGTTCTTCTTGGTTGATTCCAGTAATCGAGTGGTCAGGTCAGATGTCTCGCGGTAAATAGAGTCCAGGTAGTTTTTGATCTGTTTGGGCGCAAGCACGGATAAAGCTACACGGATCATGCTGTTAAAAACTAGCCTGCAGACATGGCCATACACCTACCTGCAACTCGGTTTTTGTCCCAATGCTTACCTGGCTGACTGAATGCGATATCTCTATGTATATATCAGTATTGGTGAGACAGCCGAAATACTGACTCATGTATTTCATCCATTTTACCTTGCTCCATTGCTAAAGTACTTGCTCGAGTAGGTTGTATAAGGGCGGTATGATGTATCAGCACCATGCGTTACAAATATCTTGTGAGCCAGTTCAGGATCATCCACAACAATCCACAACTGTCTGCCTAGCTTGAGCTTGATGATAGGTCCCAGTTCTCAATGTCATTCACTGACAGTCTTGCCTGGCAAGGGCCCAAAAGACCACATGTGGCCAATATAAGGGTAACCACATTTGGGAGAGGGAATCTCTTTTACTGCTGTGTTTTGCTTCTGCTGCTGTTTGTGTGAAATAAATTTGCATGTGGTGTAGATTAGAGTAGCCGCTGTAGCCACTGTTATTACAGGTAAGATGGGATCTTTGTTAAAACGGGACTTTTGAAAGCGTTCTAGAAAGTAGGTTGAGGTGAACATGGTATTACTGGAATAAAGCAAAAAAAAAAAAAAAAAAAAAAAAAAAAAACTTCAATAATGGCTATTTGTATGATATTACATAAACAGTGTATCTGCTGCATGAACATGCACTGGGCGTAGGCACATTTACATAATTTGGATAAATCACAGTTTGATTGACAACAATAAAGACATGAGAGCAGTGATAACTCTGGTATATGGCAAGCTGCAGTTCGTTGCGCATTCTTAAAAACAACTAGACGCTTGTTGCGCTTTATAGATCAAATGAAGAACGGTTGTCGGTTTCATACTCTATACACTTGTTGATCAATGATGATAGACTATAGGGCACTCTCGTTGTCGATCGCGAGACGAGGCGATAAATCTCTCAAACTCGGGGGTGCTAATAGTAGTAGCAGACATGGATTGCAGCCTTTCCTTATCGTCAGATACTTTGCAATGGTTGGCATATTGCGCAACAGTAAGCAACTCGTCTGCATTAGCCAGATAAGATCTGAGTTCAGTTGCGTCTCTTGGAAAAGTAAATGTGCAAATCTCCAGCATGATGTACAATCCGCTTGCTTGCAAGGTAGTGATATAAAACGTCATTTGGAGACCAACGATATGCACACCCAGAACTGCTTCATATAGATTAAAGTTGATGCTGTCTACAGAAGTCGAGCCGATGCGGATGAGATCTAATAAGCAAATGTACTTGTCATCTCGCTGATCTTCACCCTTCACCTCCCCAACCAAGATGGGACCAATCCAGTTAGAGCCTGCAAGCTCTCGAACAGCGAAATCAAATTGCTTGCTACTATCACTCAGTACCTTTGTGTTAAGCCTAAGCACCGTGCTCATGTTAATGTGACTCAAAGCGTTTGATTCTGTCACAAGTTACCATTGCAAGTGTTTGTTGGTATCCGGGTCCGTAAACATGGGAGCAAGCACTGGCTCGACATAGGAACATGAGATGGTATTTTCACGGATCAGTCCATTGAATTTCTGCTTGGGAATCTTTTGAATTAGACTTTCGATGCCGAAAAGAATAGAGTCAAGAGGGTGAAATTGAGTGCTATCAGATCTGTATTTGCCCACACGACTGGCTGCAGTTCGGAAAGAGATGTCTCCATCTTTGTACTCCTATCCAGCAATGATAACCATTAGATGCGCCAGTCAAAGCCTCGTTGTACAGCACTTACCTTCAATACAGTGTCAACACCGGTTTTGATAGTAGCGTCAATGCCTTGATTGTTGATTTTGAATTTTCTCTTCAGGTCCTTTTTGATTTCAGATATAATGTCTTTGGAAAAGTACTTTTTCATCAAATTGCTGCATTGACCATTTTTTATAAGCAGAATGTTGTTTAGCGCTAGTAGTTCATAGGTGTTGCACTCGACAAGAAGCCCCTCTTTGTTGTTTTTTAAGACGACTGCTCGTTGATATTGGCAAAAGTAGCTGCTGATGTTCTTGCCATTTACCATGTAGGGATTCGTCACATTTTCTAGGAAATCTGAAGGGTCCAAGTCCTCAATTCGAGTTGGCAGGTGCGAAAGGGTGAGATCAGAAGCAGAGGCCGAGGCAGAGGCATCTCTTGGGTTAAATAAATCCCTATATTATCCAGTGGTTAAACTCAAATAAATGTGGCATCGCCAATCGCCATTAAACTTACTCAATTTCAGTTTCGTGGGTGCCAGTAGGAACATCCAATGTGCAAGTACTCTTCTGCTTCTTCTTAGTGTTGCTGGATGAGGTGGGCTTCAAGATCAATGAGTAAGGGCAATGCTTTGGTGCCCATGAATCAAGAAGAAAGCACTTACCGTAACTGATTCACGCTTGTTGTTGATGTTGACAGTTCCCATATGGTTGTTTATGACGCCACTGCTGTTCTGTTGGTTGAAGATGTTGTGTGTTCCAGAACTGCTGCTTTCACCCGCACGCAATTGCGCTTTCTTTTTCTAACGAAACAGCGTAAGAGCAATGCTGCGCTGTAAAACCGAAATACATACATCCAACGTAAGAATAAAATTCTCTGCCTTGCGTTTGATGTTGATGCCTACATTCTGAGAATTCTTCAGCTGGATGAGGTCTTGTTTCATTTTGTCCAGTATTTCATCGCCATCGTAAAACTGTAAGTAATCACTAAATGCCTTTATTGCATCCCACTCGTTGGAGGGTGTTTTGAGAAAGTAATTCATCATGAAGAAGGTGTGATCCAAGTTCAAAAGAGGAGAGAAATCATGCTTCTATCTCTGCAAACAAGGTGACTGCTTTTAAGCAGACACATCCACATAAATGGGGGATGCGCGTCCAAGCAAATATTTCTTTTCAGTTTTCAATGGTATTCAAACTTGGTCAACAAAGAAAGCTGACAGCTGCTGTGCGTCTGTACATTGCTGATGTACGGACAATGATATGGGTATTGCATGCCAGTGCAACCGATTATTGTACGCATCGTTTCGGATCAATATTTCGTTGGAGATGTTGAATAGGAGATGGCAGTGCTAGAGAGAAAGGCTGGTCAGATTCTCTCTAAATGCAGCTTTTGGGTCTTGCGTCCGGTCAACTATCGCTGGTAGTTGGCTACTGATGGTTGAACACTCTATGATGCTCGGGTCATGGAGCCCCATCAGTATACGGAAGTGCTCTGATAGGTAGGAGAAGATCAGCCATTGGATATCATCTTGAATCTGGACCAACACGACAAGCTGAACCATTTACGGAGGAAAGTTCAAAACGAGCTGAATCAGTTGTTAGTTTTGTCTCATTCACTGGGTCAATCAAGGTATATTCAAACTTGGTCAACAAAGGAGGCTGACAGCTGCTGTGCGTCTGTACATTGCTGATGTACGGACAATGATATGGATATTGCATGCCAGTGCAACCGATTATTGTACGCATCGTTTCGGATCAATATTTCGTTGGAGATGTTGAATAGGAGATGGCAGTGCTAGAGAGAAAGGCTGGTCAGATTCTCTCTAAATGCAGCTTTTGGGTCTTGCGTCCGGTCAACTATCGCTGGTAGTTGGCTACTGATGGTTGAACACTCTATGATGCTCGGGTCATGGAGCCCCATCAGTATACGGAAGTGCTCTGATAGGTAGGAGGAGATCAGCCACTGAATATACCTTGGGTTATCCATCTGGATGTCTCGAATGATACAGCTGCATTTAGTTCATATCAACGCACTACTTCTTGGAGAACATACATACTCTAAAAGCTGTTTTTCTCCATTTAGGTTGTCATTTGCTATTGACTTGGAGTTTTCGATCTACTGAACGCAGAGGCATTGAAGACAATGCATGCATGATGGCGGCTGGGTTGAATATAGATGTATAGCATGGAAGTGGACGTTGTATTGGTGGCATATACTCTTCTGAATCATCACTATCTTTCATGTTCCTGAACAATATACTGTATACAAAACTTTTCTCTTCATGAATAATAGCTTCTCAACCCTATTTTTCTACTTATTTTAGTATTACAATCCTGACATGGATCGATTGAGATGTCGCATTGGAGCGCCAATGGGAGAGGTTAATGTGGCAATGGCAGATCAGCGGTTCTCGCCGCTGATACATCTATCATGTATCTCTCTGTATCTAGCAGCTTGTTTGAGCAGAGGCTGCCATAATAAATGGTATCGGATAGAATACCGATGCCTAATGTCAGTATTAATCACCTGTCAATAATCCAATTCGTGTGCACCACTGGGCATGTTGACTATGGTAGAGTCGTGTCGACAGATAGACAGCTATGGACATACAATATTACGTGCCTGATTTGCATTTCTGGCAATGCGAGGTGGATTATTCAACTCGGCTACAATGTAACCTGCTGCGAGATGCGATGTGCACACGCAAAAGTCATCTTTCCTCCATTGTACAAACTGCTTCACTCTTTCAAACCTGAACGGTGTGATTTTGAATCGAATCAGGTAGAGTTTCTTGGGTGCACAATGTGGGCTCATTGTAAGCGAGGACTACTCGAATAAGAGCAAAAGATGTACTGTATATCATATTTATTCAGCAACTTTTTACCTGCTTGATCAAATAGTAGCAGAATTCCATGCCAATTGGCCATGTTTGGATGCAACACCAAGTCGTTGACCTGATTTTATTCTCAAAATATCAAAGATTGTTGCCATGGCAACAGAATCCATAGCATCTTTTACGGCAAGCAATGTATGTATACATCTGTACATTGGATCATATCCTTCACAGAGATTGCCACCTCGGTTTGGATTAGATGCCGCAAAAATAAGAGCTTTACCTTGCACATAGTGACACTTTAAGATGGTAATCTTTACGCAGCACTATTACTATTGACCAAAGGCAATCTACAGGAGACACTGCCTTTCTCAAGCACACCAATGCTTTCATTGTTCTCTTGAGCACCATTTCCTTTTATTGACAGAGTCACATTGCAAGTGTTTCGCAAGCTGAATTTTCATGTTACTCCATTTCAACATTGAATGTAATGCTCTTTTCGCTAAAAGCCTATTTTATATTTCCATGATAAAGGATAACACACCATCCTTGTTTGTCAACAGCCCTGTGAGACGATCTTTGCAAAGACTGGTGCAGAATGAGACACTATGGACAGCGCCCATCATTGCCATTTTGTTTGCTTCGCTGATACGTTGGATAGTTGCTTTAAACCCATATTCTGGTAATAAGCACGCACTTTGTATACGCTTAATAGGCACACATTGAACACGCATACATCTCTGTTAGGCTTCAACATACCACCCATGTTTGGAGACTATGAAGCACAGCGTCACTGGATGGAAATCACTACACATTTACCTACCTCCAAATGGTACAGGTACGACTTGCAGTGGTGGGGGTTGGATTATCCACCTTTGACAGCTTTCCACAGCTGGCTATGCGGCATCATGTAAGCAGCAAAAAATGATGGAAGAGGAGAGGAGAGGCCCTCAACAACTGACCTCTATAACAGTGGCTCAAAGATAGACGCGTCGTGGTTTGCATTGGATACATCAAGGGGTATTGAGACGGAATCAAGTAAATTATTCATGAGATCCACAGTGTTTGTATCAGAAGCTCTGATCTATATGCCTGCTGTACTTGTGTTTTGCCAAATTGTGTATGGATCCAACGGCTATCTCAAGAAGCACATGGCTGCTGTGCTGATACTGATGCAGCCTGCCTTGATCATGATTGATCATGCTCATTTCCAGTAATGTTGAATGAGATCCAACTAGAGGATGCATAGCGAACTCACCTTAAATTGCGTAGATTCAACAGTGTCATGCTAGGATTCGCCTTGTGGGCTATCAATTGCTTCATGACCAAGCACTTTGTACTGGGATCCATCTTCTTCTGCCTGTCATTGGGATTCAAGCAGATGGCCTTGTATTACGCACCAGCCGTGTTTGCCTTTCTGTTGGGGAGATGCTTTACAGAGAAGAATGGCATCGTCTTGTTTGTTAAACTAGGAGCGTCCGTCATTGCAACATTTGGATTGTTGTTTTCACCTTGGTTGGGATCTGTTGATGATATCAAGCAGGTGTTTACTCGCATATTCCCTGTAGCGCGTGGCTTGTATGAGGACAAGGTGGCCAATGTATGGTGTGCTGTCAATGTAGTGATCAAGTTGAGACAAATCATGACGGTAGAATCCACTGTTCAATTGAGGTAAGATAGACAGATACACATGGAGGCAAAGAGGACCATTGACAGCGTTAATTGCATTGCTAGTCTACTGGCTACACTGGCTGTGGTGATCCCTGTTGGTATTCACTTGGGTCTGGCACCATCCAGAAGACGATTTCTCTATGCCATGATCAACTCGTCCTTGGGGTTCTTTTTGTTCTCTTTCCAGGTGCATGAAAAGTCCATCCTCTTGCCCTTGATGCCTGTTACGCTGCTTGTCTTGGAGGAGCCCATTGCAACTACCATGTTTATGAATGTAGCCATGTTCAGTATGTTCCCCTTACTCAAAAGAGAAGGTCTGGTCCTGCCTTACTTTATTACAAGCATTATGTGGAATTGGCTTGCAGGCGGATATGGCCCCACAACATGTTTGGCTACAAGACTCGGTACATTGGTAAGTTCTTTTAACAAATGTTGGATCTAGCTATTTAATCTATGTCGCTTAGGGAGTACACCTTATATTCATCATTTGGCATGTCGCAGAAGAATTTATAGAGGCACCAGCCAATTTACCCGATATTTACACTGTGTTGAATGTATTGATCAGTTGTGGATTGTTCACTCTCTTGTTTGGATATTACATTTACCGTCAACTTACAGTGACACCCTTCATTCAAGCATCTAATTTACCAAAAGCAAAAGCTCAGTAATAAAGCGGTTTTTATTGGGAATATGTTTTTTTTTATATATATACAAAGATGAAGGGGATTTTCTATGTTTTTAAACGGGTTTAGGGGTATCTGATTTGACAGTAGCTGCTACATCATCGACCACAGTGTTACTATCTTCTTCATCAGCAGCAGTGGATTCAGTCTTGTCGTCAGTGTTATTTACAGTGGTGGTATCATTATTGGCATCAGCAGAAGTAGTAATAGTATTAGCGGTAGACTTTTGTCCCTTGTTAGCAACATGTTCCAAAGCTTGTGCACGATCCTTTGCGACAGTTTCCAGGAAGGCAGGTACAGCATCCAGCAAGTAGCTATAGTCGGTTGTCTTTTCACTATCATCCACATCAAAGTCCTCATGATCCATCATGTTCATGATAAAGAAGTTTTGGAGCTCTGCTGGAGTCACATGTAGATTGGGAATCATGTCAGTGAACTTTTGTGCAAGCGCCTTGAGTTCCTCAGAGTACATCTTGGCTCTCTTCTTTTCAGCAGCATCCTTTTCTTCCATCTCGTCATCAGAGAATTCCACATCATCCTCGCCCATAAATCGCCAGAACATCTTGTTGATTTGAGTCTTGTCGGCATAGCCTAACTCCATCTTCATGTCGATACGACCGGGTCTCAATAAAGCAGGCTGAATGCGGTTGACATTGTTACAAGTCATGAACACCATGGATCCTTCTTGAGCTACTACACCATCCAAAGCATTCAACAAACCGCTCATGGAAATTTTTGCATTGCTTGTGTCGTTTTCAGAGTTGGGGTCCTTGATAACACAGTGATCGATATCCTCCATGACCAGAATACTGTTGCGAGGCACTTCTTGCAAGAGCACGTTAAATTGCTCGTCATCCATACTGCCAGAAAGACTGATGATGGCGACATTCATGTTGACTTTGCTAGCCACAGACTGAACAAGCGAGGTTTTACCAGTACCTGGAGGGCCATAGAGCAAATAGCCTCGACGATAAGGAATACCACGGATGGAGTACCAGTGCTCACGACGACGGAAGGTTTGAATATCCTTGAGAATGCGCTCTTTTTGACCATCCTTCAGAATGACAGACTCAAAGGATCGAAGCTCCTTGGATCCAACGGTTTTCCAGTCAAAGCCTTCATAGCGGGTAGGTTGGCACTTGTAGATGGTTAATTTTCCAGATTCCTTTTCGAAATGGGTGTCAATCCATTCTTGCACATAAGTCTTTAGCAAATTCATGTCTTGTCCTCTCATTGTAATTTGAATACAGGGATTGCTGTTCATCATGCCGAGAAGATCCTTGATGTTGTTGCTGTAATAGCCCTCATTTTGATTGCCTACGCCGCCATTCTTCTTTTTGGTAACCCAGAGTGTGTGGTTCTTGTATACAATCTTGTGTTCAATCTCATCCACTATCAGGCACAATATGAGTATATGTATATCCATAATTACAATGCTGCTACTTACAAGGATAGAGATGAAGCTTGGGAGGAGGACTAGGCCCCTGCATGTCATCATCATCTTCATCATCGTAAATGCATCGACCCTCTACATCACGCAAATCACGAATATGAGCAGTTTTGGTTGCCACAAACTGCTGAATGGCATCATATCCAGTCTGGTCTTTGGCGATTTGAATAGACACATACATTCTCTCCTTGACATAGTTGAGAAGGTAATAGAACAAGCTGTGCAACTGATAGCCCACAATAGCTATCATCCATACAATCAGTAAACAAATCCGATATTCCCCCATCCACATAGGCAAGACTTACGAGCAAGATAGACAATAAAACCCAAGAACACCACGTCGCTTCCAAAGTAACGCTTCATCAGATTCAAGACTCGTTCACCAAACAAACCATTCCAAAAGGCTTCATCAGACACCTTTTCCAACAAGCATAAAATGCGATCCGCCAATGTATTCAAACGACCTGTGCCTGCTAATGGTGTTGTAGCTGCAATTCCTCTAGTAAGATGTGTAGAAGGCATGTGTGATTAAGCTTTCTATTTTATGAGTGAATGTAAAAGAAAAGCAAAGATGAAGAAAGCAAGAATAGAAACGAAACAAATTGGTGTTTATATACAAAAATAGACTCAAAGGCACGGCGCAGCAGTAATCGTGGCTTGCTGCATTAGCACCAACGATGAGCTATATTAAGCAACACACCCACTCTCTATTACTGCTGCGACATAATTGTACCTTTCCTTTTACTGTGATTCTGCGTCTGTTCCATTTTCGCGAATTCCAAAACGAGTAATCCTTGGTAGTGCAAACGGTCGTCATGGCAACCATCAGGATTCAGAAAATTTTCTTGAAATCACGGCAGTCATTGCAAGGTGAATGAGGTGGCCTTTAAAGGACATTGACTTCATATTCACGCCAAATCCTACCAGGACGCTATTCAAAGTCTCGTCAGAGATGCGCTACAGTAGCAAAATGATATTTTTGTGAGGGACACTTTGATTTCAGCCACGAAATTAAAGCATGAATCGCTGCGGTAACACATCTTGCTCAAACAAAAGAAAATTGACCTAGAAGCTCTACTATCTTTGCACTGATACAATATATACAACCCATTGGATTTTGATGTTTTCTGCCCTGGCAGCAACACATTGCATGCGCTACTTTTCAAAACTGCAACGAGTCCGTCAGACTACATACGCTTTATGCGACTCAAATGTGATCGAATCAAGATGACCGTTGCTACTTGCTCTTCAATACGATGGGAAACAATTGTACAGTTTGGGCTTGTTATGGTTCACCGAGCCATGTTGGTATGATTTGTAGATTACCAATCATTCGAACTGCTATTCGCATCCGTCCCGAGAAATGCTTTGTTTTACTAATGAGCCTTACCCTACTGGTTCTTCAGTTATAAGGAAAGGCTGACTTATTAAGTGATGAAAGGGTCATATATAGCTAATCGGAAATCGCGTTTGCCATGCTTAGGCTAGGGCTAACGCTGGAAGTAACATAGGCAACTTCGAACACACTATAGCATTTCGCATTACGGTTGCATATGGATGAATAATTTACAACAATCAAATTAATTAAATATAAGTATATGCAATGAAAGCAAAAAATAAAAGTTAGCCTTGTGTATAATAGTACTTGATTTGCAATCCCCTTCTTATTAGCTTCACAATCATCGATAGACTTCATGATGAGTGGCATTGATTTTGCCACTAGCCAGCAGCCAAAATCGATTAACTCTCCGCTTGACATTCTGTTATGATTTGTTGATTTCTGAATTTTATGAACGCGATTCGACCTATTTTGCCAACTTCGACTATATATAGTGTGATGATGTTCCCATGCTTCCTATTACATTCTTGAAGTACTTTTCGAGGCGCATACAATAGTGCCCAATAAGATGAATGTTTTGAATAAACGTATTGAGTAATTTACGAAAATATGAAAGGAGGTTTCTGGCCAAAAAGTCGAAATTTTACATATCAAAGTTCCACAGAGGTGATTTCAGAGGTTGCTTTGGATCGATAGAAACATTTTGATTCAAGATATACCATAGTAAAAGTCTCCATTTTCAAGGTGAAAAACGCGATCGTTTGATTTTCGATGAAAACCATGAGGGGTACCTCATGCTTTTTGATCGATTTTTGTCCATGCTTTTTTGATCCCCAAAAAGTTGAGCAAAGGTGTCAGAAAGTAACTGCCAGATGAGAGCAACTGTTTGGTACTATTCTGATGGTCCAAAACGACCTTGAACGCGAGAAAACGCAGCTCAAATGCAACCAGATTTGCTGTAGTAGGCATACTCTTGATTAAAAAGGGATAATATTTGTATGATATTTACCCGTATATGAAGTAGCTACGTGTATATGGATGTAAAGTGTTACATAAGAATTAGATCCACAGATAATATGAAGGGGTTTCATGTCTAAGTAGAGGATCAAAATGAAAGCAGCAGTACTTTGATAAAATACGCAAAGGCAATCGGTAGCGCGAGCTGCCGCTGCGCAGGTTGGTTCATGTTGAAGCGAAGAAAAGGTAGAGAGCCATCCGAAACATAAATACTTGTATGCCACAGTAAAAGTCATCGTTTTGGAGGTCAAAAATGTGGTCGTTTCATTTTCGATGAAAGCCATGAGGTACCCTCATGGTTTGGAGTCGATTTTCGACGATTTCAAAAAAAAAGCTAAGCAAAAGTATCAGGAAGGTAGTGCTTGGTCAGAGCATGTGCTTGATTTTATTCTGGCGGTCTAAAGCGACTTTCAACGCGAGACAACACTACTCAAATACATTCAAATTTCGCTGTATTTTGGCATACTTTTGAGTGATTAAAGGCAATGATAGTAGCGTATATGCTGTCAGATAAATTATTTCCATGGATTTAGACATGAAGTACTCGGAAAAAGCCCGATCTACATTTATGAAGGGTTTTCGCAATATATTAGGACGTTGATAAGAGCGCATGGAGAATATAGCTATTATGACCGATCGCATTCAAACAGCTTTCAACATTCAATGGCTCTGTTATCTCAAAAAAGAAGTTACACTGCTAGAGATCATAGTGTAAACTCTGCTTTGATCTTCAATTCTTCTATTAGGTAGCTCGTGTTGCGACGCTCACTCAGAAAGTGGATCAGGTACGGATCATTATAAGTATCCAATGTGGCAGTGACATTTTGACACCCAGTCATATGAAGCTTTCTTCTTGTCCCTTCTCTTTTCCTTTTCCTTTCTAGACTTGTCATTTTATAGAATAATGTCATCAGGGTAATGTACAAGGTGAAATATGCAACATGGACATGAACTCATGCCAAATGGCAGAGTACGTGATTTAGAGAGCTTATCAGACGACGAGGCGCTTTTCGCAGAGCTCGAAAACGAAGAAGACAACGATGTTTCCTCTGCTATTCGTGAGAGAAGAATCAAGGAGATTCAAGACGAGTAAGCGTGGCGTGCAATGCCTGTTAAATCAGATATAGATACTCAAAGACATGTGGTAGACTTGAAAGACGTCATGCTCGAGTAGAGAATCAGCATGGACTTTATACCGATATCACCAAGGAGAAGGAATTTATGGACATCACCACTTCAGAGAAATATGTGGTTGGCCATTTCTACCATCAGGACTTTAGGAGATGTAAGATTATGGACACACATATGGAGAAGCTGGCGCAAAAGTACTATGATACCCGTTTCATCAAGATTGATGTACAAAATGCGCCATTTTTAGTGGAGAAATTGCAAATCAAAGTACTGCCATGTGTGATGGCATGGGTGAACGGGTACGCACAAACTAAAATTGTCGGTTTTGATGAATTGGGAAGTACCGATAGTTTCCAAACAGCCGCTCTAGAGCTTAAACTACTTCATGCTGGTGTCGTTAGAAAGAAGGAGGAAGCCAACCGTCAACAAAAGAAATCTATTTTTCAATCCAATGACACTGATTCCGAGTTGGAAGACGACTAGTAATAGGAATAAAAGAGTGCTTTTTATATATATATATAATAGATAAGAGTAGAATAATATTATCAAGATCTAGTAGGAGTAGTAGTGTGAGTGTGGATATCGAGAAGAAGCTCTTCATCTTGCACATCATCGATTTGATGCTGCTGTGATTCAGTCCCTTTTTCATTCTCGGCTTCTAGTTGCAGCATTTTCTCAATAGCTTCTGTACGCAACATGCGCCCTCTAAATGCGAAACAGAGCAGCACCATTAATCCGGCTAATGCCGCTTGTAGTATCAATGCTCGGTACATGTTATCTTTGGGAGTTCCTTCTGAATCTCTTAATAGATCCATGGCCAGCACAATTAGGAAACCAAATGTTTGGCACCCTTGCCACATGATGGAATTGGTGGTAGCGTCAGCGACAGGATAGGATGCTATATGAAGTGCATGTCAGTTACAGCCTGTGGTCATTGGCAGAGCTATAGAGGCTTACTCTCACTACTAAGCTCAATCACTACAGGGACAAGGAATGATAGGAAGAACTGGTTCATTGACAGCACAAACAAAATAGCAGCGTAAGAGTCTCTTTGAACTAAGATAGCAGTTTAAATGGGTGGCCAGTATGTGATGTACAGTGTTCGACTTACTGATAAAGATGAATCCAATATCTGTGACGAACACCATGGGTGCAATTAGCCGTAGGAACAGTTTGTGCTGTTTTGTTGTATCCAGTACGGGCCCAGCAATAGCTATGGAAAAGTGTTACCTCATTTATACGATGACAATAGCTACGGCAACTTACAACAACCCAACGTGCCAGCAAAAAATGCCACTGCGTTCATTTGGCCCGCTTGAGCATCCGTGTATCCGTAGGGCGAGATAACTTGAGTGAAAATAGACCCAAATGCAATACTGAGACCCACATTAAAGCCATGTACCAAGAACAAGATCCAAAAGTTGTAATTCTTGGATAGCATGCGAATACCAGTAAAAAAGGACGGTGTTGTGCCTTCAGAAGTAGCTCTTGAAGGTGGTGTAGGTGGTTTTGATGGCATTAGCAGAATAGGGATCAGTGCAGCGACTGCAATGCCAGATACAATATGAACTACCATTGGAATTTTATCAAGCCCACTAGCCAAGTTGGGGATCAAAAACATGCCTAGAATGGCACCATAGTTAGAGGCTATCAGAAAAAATGAGTTGATATAGAATATATGAGTACATTTTCAACTATATCAACTTACCGACAAACATGCCAGCTGTAGCTCTCATGTTATCGGTAAACCAGGTAGCGGCAAACTATGAGCAAATGTTAGCATAAATCACAAAATCAACAGCGATATCCACATCTTACGGTGGTCATGATATTCAGTGCTAAAGGAGCAGATGCAGAGCCAATGATTTGACCAAGCATGGTGATAATGAATGATGGCGGATTGAGTTTGACGGCAACAGAACGTATAGCAGATCCAGTTGCATTTAATAGAGCAGCCAGTATGAGCTATACATACAGTGAGATATACAATGCTATACAGACGCATCACAGGCACTTACGGATCGTTTAACACCTAATTTTTGAAAGATCCAGCCAGTAAAGAAACTCATAAAGACGTACATGACACCTTGCACATTGGCCAGCCAATTGACAGCTGTGAGCGATACATTAAATATTTCACCAGTGAGGGTTGGTACCACACTGAACGTGAATTGGAATACAGAAATGGCAGTTCGAAGGATGACAAGAAACAGCAGAGCGATCCATGCTTGAGGATATGTTTTTAGTGGGAATACGAATGGATCTACGACTGTGGTGCGCCCCGATTCTGATGAGCGGTCATCATTTATAACAATATCCTTATTGTTTCGGCCGAGAAATTTATCTGTAATAAATTTCATGTTATGCGTGAGTTGAGTGAGTCGAAGTATGTTGTTTTAAACCAGCATTTGACAAGAAGAAAGGAAAAAGCAGCAGCCCTTTTATATGTGTTTGATCTGCTACCCCACATTTTATATATACTATGTAATACTACTGTAGTATCTTGACGGATAGATTCCCGGACTACATAGGGGGAAGTTATGCCATCTGCCAATAGGAAAAACTTTTGGTCTACAATAATCATGCTTTGTACAGGAATTAGCGTTGCGATAGCAACCATCATATCATAATTGTATGCGTTTAATTATAAATGCATATGGTACAATATAAGGTTATTATTTACCTAGTAAAAAAGCTACATTCTCAATATCCGTCATACAACCCGTGCTTATACATCATTAAAATATACTTTTCTGTTTATTTTTAACTTGCTTTGGCTTTGGATGCTGCTACTGTCTTGCTGTTATTGCGTCCACCCCAGGTGGAGAGCCACACTGCACTAAAGACAAGGAATCCAATAATCATGGAGCCTGTGGATGCATAGTAAGGGTATGCTGCAGTCAGGAAACGAGGGTACTCGTTGTGTCTAAAGGGTCTGATAGAGACCTGATCTTCGGCCAGCACATAACTAAGACCTGAACGCTTGTAATTCACTTTGAGGGTAAACACACCATAGACATCTGGGAGCTTGACATTGGCTTCAAATCGACCAAAGTTAGTATCAGTGGGCACTTGGTGAAGCGTGGTGCGAATGTAAGGATCCAGCATGATAATTTCTAATTGGACATCGTTGGCATGATAAGGCACCCATTGATCGTTCCTGTACTCTGAAATGTCGACATGGTAGGTCTGATTCATAAAGGAAAGCATGAGCTACCATATTGCCAATAAGCCTCTCCTTTCTCTACACTTACAATGTCATCCTTGACACGGTACCAATCCAATTGCTCAGTCTCATTTTGCTTGTGATGAGCATGACCTACCACCTTCAACACGCCCTTTTCTTGGAAAGTCCATTGAGATAACTGCTTTACAAATTCCTCATTACCGGATTTCTTGAAACTAAATGATTGTAAATTTAGAAACATGAAATCCCGTTATATCAAACCAGACTTACGATTTATCAGATTCAATGTTGACAGAGGCACTCCAGTATTTGTCAGAGAATACGTCAAGAGAACCAACAAAGGTAACACGGGCAGAGTTACGGGATTGCAAAGCACCTACTAAAGTAACAGTGTCTGAAGCCTTGGCGCGTTTGTTGTAACTCTCGGCAACAAAAGCATCTGATCCAGCTGCTAAAATGGCAGTGGAGAGAGGCAACTGACCTACTGTGAGTCCTGTGCCTGAATACAAGACAGGTGCGCCAACTTGAGTGGCATCAATGATAGAGGCAGGACCAACAAATTCACTGGTAGCGACCTGATCATGCTCATCGCCATAGTGGGTATGATCAAATACGGCATCAGTATCCAATTCAATATCAAATTCGGCTGCAAGAGCACGCATGCTGTCACTGGCATCGACACCAGATGCTGCAAGAATGTTGCCACCCTTCTTTACAAAATCTACGAGCTGAATGTTGTTCAAAGAAGCGTGTTGTCCTAGTTCTACGAAAAAAAGTTGAGTACAAAGCAGAGAAAGAGAGAGAGCAAGTGATGAAGCCGTCTATTTACGCGAGGTTTTGGGTGCGAAATGAATAATGTGATTGAACAGAGATTCACCAAAGTAGTTCAATGTAGTAGAGGGATCTTGTGCCTCTCTAAACAAAAGCTGGAACTGGCGATCTGGTACAAGAAGCATAAGCAACAACGCGAATGGATACTGCAACATTGCACCTACCTTCCAGTTGCTGCCAGAATTGTGAATATGCGTCTTTTTCGGCTAGAGAGTCCAACAAGACCAAAACACGGCCCCCTGTGGCTGATTTGGCATCAACAACAGCCGAAGATAGCAAGGCTAAACCAGACACGACAAGTGTTGTTAATGAGTATATTCCTCTCATAATGAAAGTATGTTGTAATGAAAAAGAGAGCCAATTAATATGGCGTTGTATTTAGTCAAATGAAAAGCCAGCATGTGTAAACCTCTCTGAGTGTCACAAGGACGATTTCAGTATTCAACACTTTGCCAACATCTATATATGGTACTTTTTACTACATAAGTAGGTTTTTCAAGTTTTGGCTTAAATAAGTCTCGCAGGAATGACCGCGAAGATTCAATTGACAAAGAGGAGGTAGCCGATGGCATCGTTGAAGACATGACTGAAGACAGCAATGAAGAGGCAGAGGTAGATATTGATCAGGAGGACACTACCTGCCAAGAGGGCAACCTGTGTGGCATTGATGAACATATTGATTTAGACTCTTTTTTGCCTTATTCACAGCCGAATAAACAGCAGTAAAGTATTCAACAATTGTAAAACTCAATCTCTGATGCCATTGACATCAGAAAACGCAGCGTCGGTTGTAAGGTAACAAAGTCTTCTGGAATTGTAGTAATTCAAGTCATATTAGCCTTTTTAGCCATCGAAATATGCATACTGTACACTTTAAAGGTTCTCATGTCTATAAAAGCGTGTGGCTGTCTATGAAGGGGCTTGGTAAGCTTATGATGATTGATGGATGTAGCACTCGAGATGTGACAATGGTTGTGGATTTGCAGCTAATACGGTACTCATGGCAATTGTAACATGCAAGAGATACTCCTGGTGATGAATGATGCGAGTAGGCGGTATGGATGGATAAACTTGCTGGCTTGTGTATACAAGCACCTATTCGAGTTAATATCTACTAAAACTTCAATTTCAGGCACACAACCGTATGGAGTGTGCGCGCCTTTGGTTTGGCATTGTGTTGCTCGAGCTTGAAACTTTGACGATCCGAGAAAGATCAAATGTAATGCAGACGCTATTAACATCAGGTTACACGCCCTGGACTATAGCAAGCAACAAAATCGTCGCTCTCCCACAACAACTGAAAACGATAACTATCTACAATCGACAGTCTGAAATACATAAACACAGAAAGATAAGTGTGCAACTGGACATTGCTGCGTCTTCATCCTTCATCTGATACCTAGATCCATGCACATGAAAGGAATCTCAGCAGTCACCTTACCATCCAAGAATGAATTAGAGAGAATCCATCTTTGGCGAGAACCCTTTTACCCCTTTTTGATTAAACAACCATGCCAGAAACACCTAATCAGCCGAGAAGAAGGTACCTGGCTGGTGTATTGGCTCTGTTAGCCGTGGTGTTCATATGGGTGGCATCCTCCTTTGTGATGAATGTAAGCAGAGTCATGATACCATCACAGGGCCACTGCTAAAACTTTTTTCTCGCCATGTAGAGCATCTTTGCAGACCTAAAATACAATAAGCCGTTTCTTGTAACATATGTAAATACAGCAACATTCTCGCTATACCTACTACCGCTGCTGTTGACCTCGAGAAAGAAGAAACCCAAAGATTTTTCACCAGAAGAGTAAGAAGAAAATGGACAATGACATGGAAAATCAAGCAGATATTGAATCCTTCTTTCTTGATAGCGTCCATCTGGAAACGGAAGCTAGGCTATTAGGGGATCATGATGTAGGGCGGATAACGTGCTGGATTTGATCAAGTATATATTGATTTCTTATGGGCTTAGATTGATCATGACGAGGAGCAAATGGATGAATTGGCAGAAACAACGACAGGCACACATGCCGAAAAACTGACGACCATGGAGACAGTAAAGCTCAGTCTTGCATTCTGTTTTCTATGGTTCTTTGCCAACTACACCACCAACGCCAGTCTGGCATACACCAGCGTCGCCAGCAGCACCATTTTATCATCCATGTCGGGACTCTTTACACTAGGCATTGGTGCTATATTCAAGGTCGAGAAATTGAGTGTTGTTAAGGTGATATCCGTCTGTTTGAGGTATAGCGCTTGGATCAGTTGGGGATGAGCAAAAGCTAACTATACAGAAAGTTTTGCGGGCGTCGTGTTTGTATCGTACTCGGATCAACTCACTCGACATGATGCCAATGGATACACCATTCCGACACCACTGATTGGCGACTTGTTAGCACTCTGTGGCGCTGTATTTTATGGATGTTATACCACCCTACTCAAGCTCAAGATTGGAGACGAATCTCGCGTCGACATGCCATTGTTTTTTGGGTTTGTAGGGGCCTTCAATGTGCTGTTTATGTGGCCAGCTTTTCCATTGCTGCATTTTTTGGGTTTGGAGAAATTTGAACTGCCTTTCAGTCCCTCACTATGGATCATGGTGTTATTGAATGCCTTTGTGGGTACATTTTTATCAGATTACCTGTGGCTGTTGGCCATGTTAATGACATCGCCCCTGGTGGTTACATTGGGAATATCTCTGACGGTAAGAACACAGATCATGGCATAGCGTCATTCTCGATATGTCTGACGCAACACTATAGATTCCATTAGCGTTAGTGGGTGATGTTGTCTTCAAACATTTTATGCCAGGACTCCAATATGCCATTGGTGCAACATTGGTGGTTGCTGGTTTTTTTGTAGTGAACATGGCCACATTACACGATGTGGATGAGAAATCGACATCTCAATTAGTAGACGGGCTGGAAGAGGACGATGATCTTGACGAGCTTAATACAGAGATCAATCAACGTAGAATGGCGAGAGCACTTAGTATCTCGGGTCCAAATCAAAACACTAGACGAGCAAGCAATGCATCAGCGCTCAGTGCTCACCGTTAATCAAGCATATCCTTCTTCTTTGTAACATTTACCCTCCCATATCATATATATTTAGTAGAGAACAAATAAACTCTTGTAGATAATGTAAATATAGAACAGCATTGTGAATAATCAAATATACAAGCTACTGTTCCGCTATTGCATTGGTATATCCTGTCGAGAGCGACGACTATACAACACAGGATACGCTAGCAAATGTCAAGTCAACCCTCTGTAACTGAGATCCAAATCAGCGTTGTCATGACATTCAAGGTGTCCTGGTGCCACATGAATGCTCTCTCTCTTTTTATTCTCTTTTTCCATATTCTGTATACCCCTACTTTTAATTCAAAATGAGCTTCTTTAGACGTCATGGACCCTCCGTACTAAAATTCGCCAAAATCACATTTCAATTTGGATGTTTTGCACATTGCTTCAATTCCTATGTAGCCGAAGTAACTTGGGTAAAATTCGAATCTCTCCACGGCAGCAGTGGTTGTGACAACAGGCTTGATATTGATGTCCATTGCAATAGTGTGTTGGACCTTCTATGCTACCTAGTTTCAACATGTCAGGCATAGTGGCAGTAGAGCATATTACACATCACTTTAGAGATTTAGAGATCGGCGATGTTGTTATTTGCATGTCACCAGCGAAACCAGGTAGATCTGTGTTAAAGCGAGTGATAGGCTTAGTAAGTACAATACTATGTTACAAAACAACAGAGACACAGTGTTGATGACATGATGGATATGCGTAGCCTGGAGATAATATATGCGAGGATCCAACAGTACAAGATAGAAAATACGTCAATGTGCCTCCTGGCCATGTTTGGGTTGGTGGTGACAATCTGAGCAATTCAACAGATTCACGAACATATGGGCCGGTCGCGATGGGATTGATCAAAGGAAGAGTGTTTGCCAAGGTATGTGTGCTGCTAGGCTGTCTGTCTAGAGAATCAAACGGTACTGATTGTGCAATTAGGTCTGGCCAGATGTCGAATTACTCAAGAACAACCTTGTGCCCGTAGAATAAGAAATAAACGATGTGTGTATATAGATTTTTTTATTGCTGAAGTGGATTTTCCTCATATAATTTACGATCTGCTATTGTTCCCGTAATCCATAATCTTACTCGCTTGATGCTCTCTGCCCTTGACTAGTTTAAATGAGGGTGTAGGGGTGAGCATGTACATTCGAAAGAATCTGCATTAGTTGAGCAAGTACCTTATCATAGTCTTTGCTGTCCATTTTGCTCAGCAAATCTTTCTGATGCAGTTCTACATGTTCTCTGATCAGTCTTTTTATGTGGTATAATCGCTCTGTTTCTTTGGCAGGCGGCACAGATAATTTATATACAGTTTCTGACGGGTCACAGAATGGACATTTCCATAATTCACCTTGCTCTGATGGGGCAAACACCTTGACCTAGATGTCAATGAATTAACGCATGGCTCTCCTGCTTACATCCAGTGCCGCTTTTTACTTCTTCAATAATATTCTTTCTGGTGGTATCTTCCACTAGCTTGGAATACATGATGGGTTTTTGTGTGCAGAAAATACAAGAGGAGAGAAAGGAATTAATGAAGGTGTGATCAACGGATGGCTTATTTTCATCTAATATTTGGTTGGCCGATGCCAGCACAGAACGAGTCTACGGATGCTGTTTCAATCATATACATCCTTGGGATTCATGCTCTTTCGGTTCATGACGGATATTATGTCGGCAAGCTCCAACAAGTCGAAATTAGGTATGTCAGGAATACGACAGTGCAAAGCATCAATCTGGTGTTGGGTTAAAATTTTCTGAAGAGCTTCTCTAAATCCATTTCGACATTCGAATGTTGCTCAGGTGCAAGAAACAGAACACCCAGCCAAAACCAGTATTCCCGCAGGTTAGTTTCCAAATTCATAGGCTTTTGGATTGCATCCGAATGCTTGGTATAGTCTTTGAAGAGCCCGCAATTGTCGATTCCATCCAGTATCCCCACTCTCTTCAGTTGCTGAAATGATAGCGGCTTTATTGGTGTCGATTTGAAGGCGGTTGGCGTCAACAGCATCCTGGTTGCTGTCAGTGACATGCTAGTTGTTGTCGGCGGCAGTAGTGATATATGCGACAGTACTTGTACTGGTGCTTTGTGAGAAGATGGTGACACTATCGTCATGTTCGCTATCACCTTTTCCCGTCATTTCCAAAATTCAGTACAGTCGTAAGTTTTGGACCATGATTTGATCTCATTGATCAATCAAGCTTTGTCTGGCTCCTCAATGTGGCTCTAGACGATAGTTCTATACCATGTATGTCCTTGCCAGCGATTGTGCTGGTCGTATCGAATGAGAAAACTCTTTGGTCTATGTGGAAGTACTAGCAACGCACGATTCTGCATCTGCGGTTAGGATGCATTTTCCATGTTGATCGTTTATTGCCTTATTCAGAACCATTTCCTCGTTTGCCAGACATGATGCTCGTACAGGCAGATGGATATATGGCAGATAAATGCAGATAAACTAACCGTTTCGTCTCGCTACGTTCGATGGCGACGTCGCCCTCCGGGATCTTACTGAACTCGTTTCGAATGAAACACAATAATAAGTTGTTGTATCAAGTGGGTTTTAACAATCAATCAATAGTAAAAGAGAGATTCAACGACCCCTTGCCCTTGTTCATATTGATCCTTTTCATAACCCTCTTTCCCTCGTGTCTTTTAATTATCAACAACAATGTTATTAATAGTTAAAGCAGGCAATTGCAAGGGACGGCCCCAATGCTACTCATATTCACCTCTTGCATATATTTTGGTGGTGAGCTAGGTGGGTTAGCGTTGTCAGATATGAAAATGCCCAACAAAAGCAAAACACAGCCAGATTGGACAACTTTGAAGCCTTAGTATCTTGACGTAAAGACCTTTCTGAGGCGCTGGAATGGCGCTAAACAATTGTACTCGAGTAGTAGTAACTTCCTGACACGTTTCCTCAACTTTTTGGGGGTCCAAAAAAAATGGCCAGAAATTGACCAAAAAACGTAAGGAGTACCTCATGGTTTTCATCGAAAATCAAACGATCACGTTTTTCGCCTTGAAAACAAAGATTTTTACTATGGTATATACTGATGCAAAATAATTGTATTGATCCAAAGCAACCCCTGAAATTACTTCTGTGGAACCTTCATATGAAAAATCTCGACATTTTCGCCAAAAACCTCATTTCATATCTTACTGAATTGCTCAATAAGTTTATTCAAAATACCTGATATGATTAGCGTTATTGGAAGCGCCTTGAAAAGTACTCCAGGAATGTATTAGGAAGTACTGGCTGATCATCACAGTTTATATAGTCGAATCTAGCAAAATAGTTCAATCAAGTCGAAGAAAGACACAATTTGGCCAATGTTGAACAGAGCAAATAAATGGAGTTTGAATCAATTTTGGCGCTGCTGGCTATCCCAAGTGCCTTTCTGAAGCTGCTACAGCAACAGTTGTATGGCCTGCTTTCGTCACAAGTAACAGTTGTTAGTTTTTATTATCCCTGGTACCGTCTTTTGTTATTGAATAGCATTTGAACGACATACTCTTTAGTCAGTGGGGTTTCTCTATATTGTATCGGTCGAGATGCTTATGATTCATTAGTTTTATTTGGATGAACCTCTCTCGATGCCAGCCTATGGAGCTGAAGCTATTTGGATACTAGACTATTTGGTCATTGGTCTCTCTCTATACTGTAAAGACTAAGATGCCTAGAATTTAATTGTCTCTTTGAAGGCAGTCTGTAATTATTATTCAAGTTATCTATCAAAGTCTGGTTCTAAGTAGTAGCACATGATATGTGCCCAGCAAACCTGGATTAAAGCTTTGTTTTTGTATTCTTAGGTAGAATATGACGTTCGTATTTCTTTAATTGGGATCTTTAGCTTTCCTCTTTGCTTGGTTCGTTATAGGTGCCATGCCGTGTACATGGTTGACAAGGTTTAATCTCACGGCCTCTTTTATAGTGTTATAATTGTTTTTCGAGCAACTGGCCGGCCTACGCGGGTTGATCTAAATAGATCTCGTTAATGAATCAAATATTTCATAGTCTAGACGGGTCGACCAAGAACGATCAACTCTTTACCATCATAAAATATGTACGATAAAGTACTACTGCCAACGTTAATGGACACTAGTGTACTGTATAAGATCAAATCAACGAAATCGCGCAAGTGGGCGGCGCTTTTCAGAAATACATTCAAGAGGATTAACATTTTTTCTTTTTTCTTTTCTTTCTTTCTCACTTTATTCTTGCACTAAATATAATCATGTTGAGATTCATAGGCTCACCCGCAAGGAAGCTATTGGTAAATACTACTTGGAAGAATACACATTGAATTGACGTGTTACTCACCATTTCGTGCTTCTGATCTTTTTTAGTCGCGTTCAACAGATCGTAAGTAGCCAACAAATGTGAATTCCGAATACACATGCACACAAACTCCAACTCATGTTTCATGCAATTATATAGGCACCATGGCAGTGAGAGCATTGCACTCTTCCAAACCAGCGTTGCAAGTGATGGCTCATCAACCCCTTTGCGCAAGAGAGGCCAAGGTAAGTAGTACAGCATAATTTTTCCATTTAAACTCAGGGATGCCATAGGGATTGCATGTCCCAGGAAACTATCCCATCTTTGATCACGAATACGACGCTGTCGTTGTTGGCGCTGGTGGTGCTGGTCTTCGCGCTGCGTTTGGCTTGGCAGAGGCAGGTTTCAACACAGCATGTATCACTAAACTGTTCCCCACTCGTTCGCATACGGTGGCAGCTCAAGGTGGCATCAATGCAGCACTGGGTAATATGACGGAGGACGATTGGAGATGGCACATGTATGATACTGTCAAGGGGTCTGATTGGTTGGGTGATCAAGATGCAATTCATTACATGTGCCGTGAAGCGCCGCACACTGTCATTGAGCTGGAGCATTACGGTGTGCCCTTTTCTCGAACGCCCGAAGGTAAGATTTATCAACGTGCCTTTGGTGGTCAAAGCTTGAAGTTTGGCAAGGGAGGACAAGCGTATCGTTGTGCCGCTGTGGCTGATCGCACGGGTCATGCCATTCTGCATACACTGTACGGTTACTCCCTGCGTCATGATACCAACTATTTCATTGAATACTTTGCACTGGATCTGATCATGGAGGATGGTGAATGTAAAGGTGTGATTGCACTCAACATGGAAGATGGCACACTGCATCGTTTTAGATCTCACAAGACGGTGCTTGCTACTGGTGGCTATGGTCGTGCTTATTTCTCCTGTACATCTGCTCATACGTGTACTGGTGATGGCAATGCCATGATAGCTCGTGCTGGTCTTCCTCTGCAGGACCCCGAGTTTGTACAGTTCCATCCTACTGGAATCTATGGCTCTGGTTGTCTCATCACAGAAGGCTCTCGTGGCGAAGGTGGCTACCTTGTCAACTCTGCTGGTGAGCGTTTCATGGAGCGCTACGCGCCTACTGCCAAGGATTTAGCTTCGCGTGATGTTGTCTCTCGTGCCATGACGTTGGAAATCAAGGCTGGCCGTGGCGTTGGACCCGAGAAGGATCATATTCACCTTCAACTGCACCATTTGCCTCCTGCTGTGCTTCAGGAGCGCTTGCCTGGTATCTCAGAAACTGCTGCAATTTTTGCAGGGATTGATGAAAGTGAACTGTAGTGAATTAAGAGTATCATGGTTTTAACGTCTCAAAATAGGTCACCAAAGAGCCTATCCCTGTTCTGCCTACAGTGCACTATAATATGGGAGGTATCCCTACCAAATACACAGGTGAAGTAATCACTCAAGACGAGAATGGTGATGATAAGGTCGTGCCCGGTCTTTATGCTGCTGGAGAGGCTGCCTGTGTTTCGGTCCATGGGGCCAACCGTCTTGGTGCTAATTCGTTGCTTGATATCGTCGTCTTTGGTCGCGCTGTTGCGCATCATATTGCAGACACATTGGAACCTGGTACTCCATTAACACCCTTGACAGCCGATGCAGGTGCTGCTAGTATTGCCAATCTTGACAAGCTGAGAAACTCGCAAGGGCCCAAACGTACCTCTGAGATCCGCCTCAACATGCAAAAGGTCATGCAAGCAGACGCTGCTGTTTTTCGCACGCAAGAGACATTGGATCAAGGTCGCGGCAAGATTGACCAGGTGTGGGACTCGTTCAAGGATGTGGGAGTAACGGATCGAAGCATGATTTGGAACACGGATTTGGTAGAGACATTGGAGCTTCAGAATCTCTTGACGTGTGCCAGCCAAACCATGCATGCTGCTGCTGTACGTACTGAATCTCGCGGTGCACATGCTCGCGATGACTTCAAGGAGCGTGATGATGTGAATTGGATGAAGCACACGCTGACATGGCAAGATCAAGACAAGGGCGATGTCACTATCAAGTATCGCCATGTCACAGATACAACCTTGGATGAAAAGGAGTGCAAGCCTGTGCCTCCATTTGCTCGTGTCTATTAGTCATATAACTAAAGTGATAGCATATTATGCAATTGATCTCCATGGCAACAAGATTATTTGTCAGTTTCACGTTTCACATAAATAGCTTAAAAATCCTATTTTGTCTTTTTTTTCCTCTTTTTAATTTTTCTCTTATAAACATCATGTTTAGCGATAGCAATAACAGCAAGGGCAAAACTCAGCCCTTGTTGCTTCCTGATTTCCCTTCCTCTTATAATAGAAAGCAGCAAAGAACTCGGCTGTTATTGACGGTGTCCGCATTGGCCTTTTTTGGTTCTAGTTGTGTCTATCTTTCGCACCATTTACCAGCCATTGCACTGACCTCTAGCCCAGCAGAAGCACAAGGACTATGGGACAGTACCAGCCAGGCCAAGGTCATTTCTCCCGGAATTTCGTTGAATTCCTTTGAACAAGGTTTGGCCCAGTGTCAAGCGGTGGTAGATAGAGACCAAGCCTATACAAACAACACTCGAACCCGGCATCGCAACCCTCGAGTAGCCCCTGAGGCCACTGATATCCTGATTCGCAACGGTCACGTTTGGTTAGGCAACAGCTATCTTGAAGAAGGTCAAGTCTACTTGAAGGATGGATTGATTGCAGCTGTAGGTAAAGATCTCAAGGTGCCCAAAGATACGCGCATCTTGGATGCTGAAGGTCGCGTTGTTACACCTGGTATCATTGATATGCATTCGCATATGACCGTAGATTCGTTAGGGGGGTTAACTGCTTCAGATGACACGAATGAAATGACTTCGCCCACCACACCTTACGTGCGTGTCATTGATGCCCTCAGCCCTACTGATCCTGGCCTCAAGGTGGTTGCCAGTGGAGGTATTACAACATCGCTTATCTTGCCTGGATCTGGTAACTTGATGGGTGGTGAGGCCGCTGTGATCAAGCTTCGTCCTGTATCGACACTTTCAAATCAGGACATGTTGATTGGGGCCGGCGTATCGGAGGAGGATCAAGAGATTGTTTGGCGTTACATGAAGATGGCTTGCGGTGAGAATCCCAAAGGCTACTACGGTGCTGAGCTCCACAAGATGCCCATGACTCGTAAGTAAAGCCTATAAATCAGACAAAATGATATATCGACTTATTTTCTTTGGCAAGGTCTCGGTGAAAACTACTTGTTTAGACGCAAATTTGAAGAGGCACGAAATCTCATGCACAAGCAAGACGACTGGTGTGATGCTGCTACTCGCATCCACAAAACCTTTCCTACCAACAAGCCTGTCGATGAGTACAAGATCACACGTCTCACAGAGAGCTATCCTGAGGATCTCGACTTGAATAGCTTGGTAGCACTTTTACGAAAGCAGGTCAATTTGAATGTGCATTGCTACTTGCCGCAAGACATTGAAGCCATGGTGCATCATTCACTCGAGTTTGGTTTTGAAATTGCCGCCTTTCATCATGCATTGAGTGCCTGGCAAGTGCCTGATATCATCAAGCGAGCAAAGAACAACATCACCATTGCTACTTTTGCAGGTAAGCAGTGAGCTCTTTTGGAGTGTGGTGCTAGTATTTATGATTTTATTTCTTTTATTAGACATGTGGGGATACAAGGTGAGCGTCTTTTATATGAGCATTGGAAGGCAGAAATGGACTCATTTGTGCTTCAATAGGCAGAGGCTTGGGATCAAAATGTCCACGCACCAAAGATCCTCGATGCTGCGGGCATCCCAGTTGCATTCAAGAGTGATCACCCAGTGACAAACGCTGTAAGTTGAATTGTCATGGAGTGCTGCTGACCGAGGACTCACCATCTACATAGCGTGATTTAATGCACGAAGCACAGAAGGCTTATCACTATGGTTTTGATCAACACAAGGCGCTGCAAGCACTGACAACTGTGCCAGCCGATTCATTGAAACTCGGTCACCGTATTGGAAGGTAAAGTCCAGCTTGATTTACATTACCAAGGCAAAGCAACTCATATTATGACGCTTAGTATTGAGGTGGGAAAAGATGCTGATATTGTCATTTGGGAACGCCATCCTCTGCGCTTGGGTGCTCGTCCAAAGCATGTCATTATCGATGGTGAACAGCTTGATTTCAAGAAATCATGGGGAAAGAGTGTTACTGAGCAAGACACTGTGCTCAAGCAAATGATGGCAGCTGAATCTACAAAGAAGGCATCTACCGAAAAAGAAAGACACTACTTACCACCCTTTTCGCCCAATGTCATGCATTTAGAAGATCACGGTTTGGACAATCCCGAGTCATTCAACGATGCCTGTACGAGTGGTGTTGATTCGTTTGTGTTGAGAAACATTAGCGAAATCTACATGAATGCCAGCCAGACATTGAGTGCCAGTGAATTGGGTCAAGGGCTCTACATCGTGGTGAAAGAAGGGCAGGTCGCTTGCATTGGCATTGACTGTGATCGCGATCATGTAGAGTGGCCAAACTCGAGTCCTGTTTTCGAAATGGGAGGTGCTATTGTTATACCAGTAAGTTGAACGTATTAGAGGGCTCGCCATCAAGTGCTCATATCGTTTTTTTAAAAAAACAGGGTATCGTGTCTATGGGCGTCCCTTTGGGCCTTTATGAAATTCAAGCAGAGGAAACAACACAAGATGGTTATGCCAAAAATGATGTTACTGATGATGGGTTGTACAAGAAGATTGTGCGTGCTGTCGATGGTCTTAAATTCAATGGTCAGCATCTGCAAAAGGCATACAAAGCAGGTAAATGGATAGGACATGTCAGATTAAAAAAGAAACGCATGTGCTAATATATGATATTCAGGCGTTACTACTGCTATATCACAGCCTCAAGTTGGCTCTGATTTACTTGCTGGCATCTCTGTTGCTTTCCGCACAGGCGTAGAAAATACAATATTGGACACCGTGGATGCTTTGGTCAAGGAGGAGGCAGCCTTGAATTTTGTAATTGACCATTCGGGTATAAGCATGACTCTCCATCAAGCCTGCTTATCACTTTTATACTAATTTTATCTACTAGGATCAATGACAGTATCTAAACAAATTGCAACCATTCGCGATTTATTGATTTCCAACATCAAAAAAGATCCTTCTCATAATGTCTTTGCACGTGCTGCTCGAGGCTTGATACCAGTGGTTGTTCAGGTGGACGACAAGGATGAGATTGCATCAATCCTTCTCATCAAACAATGGATTTCCAAGGAACACAGCCACGATGTCAAATTTGTTATTTTGGGCGGCGCTGAATCGCATCTCGTCGCTGACCATTTGAGTCGACTGGACGTTCCTGTGGTATTGATGCCTGCTCGCTGTTTCCCTACAACATGGCAATCTCGCTTTTGTTTGACAGGTCCACCCGTGACACCTAGCACCGTGCTGGATGTGCTCTTGAAACACCAAGTGCGTGTTGGACTGGGTAGCACTGATGTGGATAATGGCGATGCTCGTAATCTGATCTGGGAGGCTGGATGGAACCTGGCACACAATGCTGATTTAACTGCGCAGGAGGCTGTTGGTTTGATCACTTGGAATCTAGCAGACATCTTTGGTTTGATCAATGACGATACTTTGAATGGACCAGGTGTACTAAAGAAGGGTGGTAAAGCTGATTTTGTTGCTTATAATAGCAATCCTTTTGAATTTGGAGCACGTGTATTGATGGTCAATGGTGGTGGTCATGATGGACCCACTTGCTTCCCACAACAAGTATAGTTTATTTCAATAAATTCAATGCGTACAATAAGAGTTTGATGGACGTATTAGCATCTCAATCATCGTTGTCATAATCTGAAAGGCATTTGGGCCAGCCAGCAGCGCGAATGTTGGTTCAAACTCAGAACTTTTTTTTTTTTTTTTTGCTCAACATTGGCCAGATTTTGTTGTTTTTCGACTTGATTGAACTATTTTGTGAGATTCGACTATATAAAATGTGATGATCGTTCTATGCTTCTTTAAGCTTTCTTGGAGTGCTTTTCAAGGCGAATTTAAAGGTACAAAGTAAGATAGATGTTTTGAATAAACTTATTGAGTAATTTACGAAAATATGAAAAGAGGTTTCTGGCCAAAATGTTGAAATTTTACATATCAAAGTTCCATAAAGATGATTTCAGGGCTTACGTTAGATCGATAGAAACATTTTGATTCAAGATATACCATAGTAAAAGTCTTCATTTTCAAGGTGAAAAACGCGATCGTTTGATTTTCGATGAAAACCATGAGGGGTACCTCATGCTTTTTTTTGGTCGAAGTTTGTCCATGTTTTTTTGGTCCCCAAAAAGTTGAGCAAAGGTGTCAGGAGGTTATCCCAATTCGAGTACAATTGTTGAGCGTTATTCCGGTGACTCAGAAAGGACTACATGACAAGATATTAGGGCTTAAAAGCTGTCCAATTTATCTGTATTTTATATATTTGCTTGTCATTCGACGCGTTTTTGTTATGATAGAAAGACGTAAAAAGATTGCATGCATAAATCTAGGTTTAGAGCATGCTGTTACATCCAAAAATTCAGCTGGAGATATTAGATTGAGTGGCACTGTTGTGTCGCTGCACCATAGCACAGTGATACAGCTTATTAGTGGTTTTAAGGCACGCTGGACATTTCAGATACAATAAATAACCTGTACAAACTATACTATCAAACTAGCTGAAATATAGATGGCTCGTAGCTCGGTAGTTCAAATTCCTAGATGATCCATATCATATCTTCCGTTGCAAAACGTACTCTCTGTAGCATAGCATGTTCCGCATTAAATCTCACCCGGAAGCACAAATCGGATAATGCAATAAAATTGTATAGAGCACAAAGGCGGGGGGAGGGGTTGCTATTATTTTGGTAGACTCACTTTATTGTGTAATGATATGCTGCTCTGCAATGTTCGCTAGCGTGCGAAAGTTAAGTTTACTAATTTGGAAGCGATAGAGATTAAATCAAGTTAAAGGCTGTACAGTCATCCAGACCAAGGCGAATAGATCTCATCCTTGGCTTGGCCAGTCTCTTTTTCACTGCTAGTCAAGATGGTCGACGGTTTATTTTGACGTCTAAGCGATTTGGATCGCTTGGTTGGTTGGATATGTAATATCGATGCTGTACGAGATGCTGATGTGCTACTATCAAACAAAATCACCTGGATCTGAGGATCCAACGTAGAGCCCGGAAGCCTCGATAATTTCTGGCCATCGTTCAACGACATGATTACAAATAACAACAAGTATAAAATAGATTGTGGATCGGTAATTTTTTATTATGTGAATATATATTAGTCATAGATAAAGACAAAAAGGGAGGAAGCATAGATAAAATACAGTGTTGTTTGTTTGGGCTTGATGAACATATTGGATGATTCAGGTATATGGAATTGATTTTTTCATGGTGATGGATCTGGTTACAGATCTCTGATTCTCTCAACTCTACCACATTCTTGCAAGTGGCAGCCTCTGTACTTGATGAGATACTCGCCATTGGGTTTAGCAGTTACAGTTTTATTAACGGAGCATCCCTATAGAAATGAATTTACATTAGTCAAATCAACCAATTAGAAATCGTGTGAAATTGAAAGAGAGGGCAAGTTGAAGCATGAATTTCATATGTCAACAAGACCAATGAGATGTCTCACGGGCAAACCCGCTAATCCAACTTCCCCCCGCCAAATCCCGTCTCTTTGAACTGTGTGTACCGTACCTTATTACTATTAGAGCACTTGTAGTAGATGCTCTTACAGCCAGTCTTTTTCTGCACCGTATTGCCATTGTTCTTCCAGAAATAGTTGTCGACGTAGGGAAATTCTCTGGTCTCAACAATCTTGGTGATGGCTTGCATTTCTCTTCTGCGACGAGGTTTGTTCATGTCTTCGTCTTCTTCTGCTGTAGTCTCTTCCTTTTCATCACTGTAATGCTCGTCTATGGGAGATGGATAGGCATTCGAGAAGGATTCAACATTGGCAGCAGAACCTCCCATGGCCAGCATGGCGGCAGCAGCAGAATGTCTACGTTGTTGATGATCCATGTGGATGTCTTGTTCCTCTTCCTCCTCAAGTTCAGAGAGAGATGACACTGAGCCCGATGAAGAAGATGTAGACGAGATGGAAGAGTGGTAACTGCGATAGGCAGCAGCGGAGGAGGCAGATGTTTGGTGCGATGAGTGAGACGATAGAGGAGGAATGGCATATGGAGAGGACAATGATGAGGAACGATTCTTTCTTAATGAAGATGAGATGGAAGGCAGTATTTTGTGTGATTTCTTTTCCTTGTGCTGAAAGTAGAGATCGAGTTCTTTTGCACGTAATTTAGCCTCTTCAGCTCTTCTTTTATCCTCTTCGACTTTGCTTGTTAGGATCAATTTGAGTAATTCAGGTTGTGATTGATATTGTTGGATGACTTTTTGCAGATCATAGAGTGGTGGGTCATTCTTGAAGTTGATATTTGGAGTGATGTCAGTCATGATGTGCTTGATGAAAAATGTGGAAAAGAGGAAAAAAAAAGAGAATGGATCTATACATTTCAAATTGTTTGCCTCCCTTTTTTATGGTTATTTCGCGGGGGGGCTCACAACTCTATTAAAACCCGGAATTTCCACGGAGAAGATGATAATTTTTATTTATAATCAGATTTATAGACTTGTCTATACAAGTTTGATCTGTATAATGGCAATGAAAGGCTGTTGATCATGGATGCGTTTCCATAGCAACGGTATCCATGGGCCTACATTTCTCTGGCTGTTTGATGAAAACGATGCTCATGGCCAGCATTTTGAGCATACATGTATACACACACGCATACACATTCCTTCAAAAATCATACTATACAAGTTACCACTGTTTAATTAGTATCACATGGGTAACTCAAACCTTCTTTATATTTTACATTTGCCCTGACAAACTCCCCTCTCCATTTTAGCTGGGCACAAATATCACTATTTACCCAATATTTGCCGCAATTTGCCATACCTTCGCAACAGCACTGTAATCATTTAACATGACTCATGTGATTGTAGAGCTAATTACAAACAGTAAATAGTAACATATGATATTGACGCAGTTTTTTCATCTTTCATCTTTCTCTCTGTCTGTCTGCAAGCTACGGTAGCGCCTTTAGCTAAACACATTTCAAATTCTTGAGTTCCATTTAAATGCCATGTTTAAACGTATATCCATAGTTTTATTGTCCAACGATTAAACGATTAGCCACTTGCACGAAAATTGATCGAACAAACCAATCAATCCTGTTGCCCTTATTATCTATTGTACCATTCAGGGCTAAAACTAAATGGAAACAAAAGATAGAAAATCAGACTCATCCATTTTACCCCACATTTGTCTCAATTGAAAAAACTTTCCCTGATAACCCTACAGGATTATCACATGTATACAAAGGTGTGCTGTTGAACAAGTACCACTTGGTTCCAGCGGTTGATAAAGATAAGCATACGTTACAGCAAACAAGATTTGAATTCAAAGATGTCTCGGCCAACCTTGCTACACTATGTCAGATCATGTCTACATTTCCTGGCTTCCCCGCAATTTTTATGGGCTTATTTGAGGGGGGGAACACAGAGGACATGATGAACCTAAAACTTCCGACAGCCATTGTATCCATGTAACTTGCTGCTTAAACACCGAGAAAAGGCATTTCGTGGTCCAACATAACATCAACTGCGTTTAAAAGTGGGTTTGGTTCTGCAAAACGTTGAATAACTACCCACTACAAGCATCCTACAGACTGCAAGCACCATCTGCAAGTTCAACATGTCGATTTGTGCTGTTAGACAACATGTAATTGCTGTGCGACATGCCATATTTTGACCTTTTATATAAAGTTTACAAATCCAATTAAGACTGGTGGATTTCAAGCTTGAGTAACGGCGGAAGCCATGGTTGCTCTTTGAGCAATCCATGTATAGCTCAACAGTCAGTTGGATGAATGGACGTACAGGCATGCTATGTACATGGCGGGCGTCATTCAACAAGAGCCGAGTATCAAGTTGTTGTTCATTCCCAAACTATCGAGTCTATAGGGTGAAACTGATCAAGTGTCAATTGCATGTGCAACAACTCACGAAAATCATGAATGTGGCTCTAAGGAGATTACTAATTTGCATTATTGCCCGTTGTTTTCCAACGAAATTAGCGTATTACACACCAATCAACTGTGTAAACCAACTTTTTCCCATCTGCAAAATACCATGAACCTTACTTGTATTATGTTGGATGAAATGAAAGCCAAATCACACCATAATGCGGCCTATATCAATAGCATCGTTTGTTCGTTCAGGATACCTTGTCGTCTGGGACAGAAACTAGCAGGCGTTGGCTTGATTCATGTGTATAGTTTCATTTTGAGAGTGCTCATTTGATCACATTCATGTTTGATAAGATTATTTCCAACATCTTGCTTTGAATTCTTGTACATCCCGATCTTTGTGTATTGAATTTCTAATAAGATTCCTTTGTGCCACATGGCAGCTGGCCACTTTTTCATATTCCAGGTTGATTGACCGGCTAGCCGGGAGCTCTGGTTCATTTCACTACCTATTATCATTTTCTAAATACGATTCTTCCTTAATGTTTCCCGCTTTCAAGGAGGTCACAGCTGTAGTAAGTAGGCACATTTTATATTTGTGTGTTGTTTGACATTCACTGAAGTCAAGAGACATGAACTGTGTGCTATTGCTTTGATGTTTCATAGGTGGAACACACTGATGATGATTGGGTATTCAATTGTGTGCCTGAATATCCAGTTGGCCGTTTTATCGACTACTTGTCAAATGTTGTTCAATTAATGAAGCGTGTTGACATGGTCCTTGCAGTTTGCAACGTCTCAAAAGTAGTCAATGTACGTTCTGAATGGCTGCTCTATAATGCTACATAAATCCAGTGTCATTCTGGAAAAGACACACGCCAAATCGAGTTAAATTTAGCTGAATACTCTGTCAATATCGCAAAATACACATGCTCCATCCACTCACCAAGTAAAACCCATGGTAAATTAATAGTATTTATAAAAAAAAAAAAAATCTCCTTGTCTATCATTCATGTTTAAGAATAGCGATTAAATGTAGTTGTACAGGAAAAAACAAGATGAATTGGGGAATATGGATGCAATAACGATTTTTTAAAGTGGCGAAGGAATAGCATTAGCAACAGGAGAAGAAGTAGACGTGGGGACAGTGTTGAGAGGCGATTGCTGATGGTGATGATGGTGTTGCTGTTGGTGGTTATTATGCTGAGGCACGAATCTATGTTGCGGTGAAGGCAAATGATGGTCTATGTGGTTATTTGGATAATACGAGTTCATAGAAGCAAAGGATTCATGGCTGTCCATGCGACGAGGAGGAGCAGGGATAGGGCTGCCAGGCTGGTGGTATCTCATGTTCAATTGCTGTGGCACGAAATCAGAATTAGGGTGATTGTTGGTATAAGGTAGATATTGTTGCTGTGCGTAGATGGATGTGGGAGGATGCTGGCGGCCATCAGTGACAGTGCCATCAAAGAGCTTGACTCCTTCCACATGAGTGGGGGCAGGGTTGGTTGAATGCATGCTAGATTTGGAAGACGCTGCTCCAGCGCCACTAGTGAGGTTGCTGCTACTGCTAGGATGCTTGTGCTTTACAGTTTGCTCCACCCTTTTCAGAAACTCTTTGGGTGAAATATCCACATCACTCAGATTGGGATCTTGCAAAAACACTTCCAAATCATCAGGTACCTAAGCGACACGCTGTATGAATATCCAACACGCCAAAGATTCCCTGCACAACTTACCAAGCAAAACTCTTCATGTGATTCCAGCAACACCTCCACCACACGGATCGAAGCAAATGAGTCGTCCTTAAGAGGATCCTTTGAGTTGGCTGTCAGAATATTGGGCGCAATGACGCGAGCCAAGTTGGGAATGTCCATACGACTGCCAACGTCTCCAGTGACATGCGAAAAGGAAGCCACCCATCGAAAGAACACAAACAGCACTTCCATTGTCGCGCGGTTACATCTGGGTAACATGCAACATGCCAAATGCAATGCACGGCGTCTCTCTACCGGGTTTTCGATTCCTATACCGTGGTAGAGTATATCAGTATGTGTGTCTTGAACGAGATGACATGTCAACTTACTTTCTGCGCACATAAAGAGAGGATGTAATCGATGCGTCAATAGCGGATCAGGCAAATCCCGCAAAAACTTCTTGAGCAAGGCAGCAACCTGAATAGCATTCTCCTGGGTCAGGTCCACATCGTTGGCATTTCTGTCCAGTGCATCTGCCAGCTCCTTCAAACGTCTGATGTTACCATTCTTTCTAAAGATACCCTCGACCGTCATATCCATCTGTCTCATGGCTGTGATGGCATCGTCGATAAAAGAGGCTAATTTGAGGGGAGAATGACCAGATCCCAAATTGGATTCCACACCTGTTCTCTCTGTCAGTATGTCCAATGGCACACCAAACGTGCCCTCTTCCTTGGCTTTGGGCCCATAATTCTTTTTGGCCTTGAACGGAATAAAGAACTTGCCCCAAATGGATGATTTCTTGAACTCGATCAGGTTGAGCAATTCGCTGGATGAGAAGGAGGATTTGACGTATTGCTCGATCTGTACTACAGCGACGTAGCGGATAATCATGTATTGTAGTGCAGAGAGCTCAGAAAAGTAGATGCGTGGTTTGCCCGACGGGCCTGTAGTGATGTGGATGTTGTGAGGCAAGTTGGTCATCATGTGCTTTTTGGAGGCTACAGCAGCAGCAGCGAGTTGCGGTAAATCGTCCAGGCCAACACTGCGAGTGGGCTTATGGCGAGTGGCATTGTTGGTTGCTATGGTGCGAGAGGCAGGCAACTGAGGCAAGTCTTTGTGTTGATCGGCACCTGCTGGACCAGCTCGTGTGCGTTGCAGACTGTCCATGCGAGCGGGTGGCATGGACCTCATTGTGGTAATATTGTTTAATGAGCTAGAAGATTGAGGCTGTGTTTTAAGTGAAGCAGCCAGATCCGCATTACCGAGGATGGTGGAGCGTTTGTTTGCTGATTTGAATGATCGAGAGACCTTTCTGTCTAGGTGCGTTGTTGAGGAAGACACTGTATTTTTGGCATCCGTAATCTCTGTTGGATAGAACTTGTCGTCCGTCATGATGGTAAGCTGCTTCTCTGCGGAAGGAGACAGCTGCACGGCGTCTTTGATCAGATGGTTGCTGTTGCTGGAGGCATTTGGCTTGGTTTTGGACGAGTAGTCTACAGAGGAAAGTTGGGTATCTAGCATGGTTGTTTCAAAAAGAGAGGAAAAAAAGGGAATGAGTGGAAACAAGAAAAATCGAGTCAAAAATAGACTACTGTACCTGTAATCTGAAGCAAGTTACAGAGTCTGCTAAGCGCAACTCTCAGTAAAAAACTATATTGAGTAAGCTTTGTAATGTATTCAAATGGAGTTGCTTCTCGTTTTGTCACGCCAACGCATTGAACGCAGTGAATGGTACAGGAGGCGGTATTGAACACAGCATCATCGTGGTTCAACTGACGAGCGCACTGTCGACATTTGAAGCAGGTCATATGCCATCTGTAGTCGCCACTTCGCATGCACTGATCCTCAATGGTGTTTCGACATGAATAGCAGAAATCTGTGTTCTTTGCCTTGATCAGACGCTGGCAGTCTCTACTGTGTCTTTCCTTTCCGGGAATCTCCATCAATTTAGCAAGTAAACGAGACACCACTACAGGCTTGCCAACAGTGATTTCCTATAAATAGTAACACAGTTAGCTTCTATTGTGTGTTTGTGTGTATACATGTAAACAAAACGCACCAAGCGCAAGGCAGAAGTGAGAGCCAAACGAATCAGAATCTTGAGATAGTGTGCCAAACCAGTTACCAGTGACAGCAGCTCTTGCGTGATGCCTAGCTTCTTCATTTCCATGTCGCCCGTTCTTGAGAGCAGCGAAAAGAAGTTGATGATCTTTTTGCACAGCATCTTGGCTTCTCGTGTGTATTTGAACTCGGGCTGCTTGTATTCTTGGTAGATGGACTGGATCTTGTCAATGCCCGCAAACAGGGCCTCCACATGCACCAGAAATCGCTCAGACAGACAGATGCTCTCAATATAGGCGCCATTGGACACATGCAATAGCATTTCAGAGATGCACACAGCCGAGGATTCTACGCATTGAGCGGATCAGCATAATGTGCCTGATTCTGAAATGACAAAATAAGCTTACCTTCAAAGGCTGACAGTACAGACCAAATGCTAATGACCTTTTCTTCCATCTCTTTTTGTGTCTTGAGCAGCTCCAGTGGGGATTGCGGCTTGTGTTCTATAATGAAGGCGGGTTAAACACATTAAATTAATTGACATTAATAATGTGAAATATGTACCACGAGGGATAATGGGATCATTCTCTTTCTGTGTGGGATGCGCAATTTTAACACTCCAAAACTTCTGAATCATATAACACTCGGGATGCCAGTGGTCAACCATGTCATTTCTCTCTATTTCCACGTACTGCTTCAAGATCGACATATCACAGCCAGCGCAGGAAACAGCGAATCGAGTGGAATAATGAAAGTGGCAGTATACTTTATGATCATGCTCGTAGTAAGAGTCGTCGGGTCCAAACACTGTTGAGCAATCGTTGCAAGTAAAGTGATTTGTGTGGTATTTTCTGTCCAGTGCAATGATGTAGGTTCCACGCAATGCTTCGTTACATTGAGCACACACGAGGCCCAGTCGCTTAAAATAATCTCTCTCGCATAGTGGTTGGCCTGTTTCAGTTGGGTGAGGCAAGTATCTGGATGCTACTGGTGTGTTGCAGTCCTGTATAGATGGTTTCAGTGCCCATATTTAATGCACTGTAGCGGTGCTAACTTACCCAGCACGTAAAGCATTCAGGATGAAATGCGCCGTCGAGTGCTCTCACAAGTTGATCGCCCAGAGGCAAATTACACTTTGAGCATACGAGTGCGTGTTTGGCATTGTCTGTAGTGGAGCTTGCTGTAGGTGTGGTAGGTGTTGGAGGTGAATCTTGCTGTTGTGACATGATGTATGTGATTTGCTGCTGGTTTCTACAGTAAAGATGGGTTCATAAATGAGTGAGAGAAAGATGCCGACTAGAAAGAAGAGAGAGAAAAAAAAGGAGGGAAAATAGGGGAAATCACTTAATATAAGAAAGAGAGAAGGAAAACGAAATAATTGGGTTTTTTAAATGTGCACTTAATTTGACGAGTGGTGGAAAAGCAGGGCAAACTGCTTTATTATGTGCAAAAAGGAACGCAAAATAACCTAAAATGGTCTTGTAACTCGAGCCCACTAACCTTTAGTACCAAATGGACGCTTCCTCAAATCTAGCTCGCGGTCTTGTACGCTCTTTTTTGGCACAAGAAATAATGTGCCAATTGCTGAATATACACTTTATTCACCAGAAAGAAAGAATAGTAGGTCCTACTTATTTAGACATGTTTTTTGCTACAATAGGAGGAGGGAAGGAAATGCGGTATATATTGATTCATCTTGGAGGAGCTGTTCATGCTTCTTGGTCAAAAGGATGGCCATCCGCAGTGATGTCCATGTGTACGCTATAGAACGAGCCATCCTCCATGGCGACCCAACCATATTCACCAGGTTCACGTCTGTGCGGCGAGGGGGGTGACAGCATAGAGAGGGTACCGAGGTTGTGTTTGCAACGCCAAACAAGCCATCAGGAACAACAGCTATTGATACTTGGTCTCTTGGAGGGTCGTAACAGGTTGGTCTAGTGGATAACAGGCGGGAAATGGCATAGGGACAAGTGCATTTCGTTCTAAATCAAACACCATGAAGACGGGCATAACGAATTCCTGTTTAGAGGCCTGTAGTGCTTCAAGATGTGCTGTAACGTCGCATCGAAACTATCCTTGGCTTCACGCATCAGTTTGCAAATATCTTGGCTCAATTTGGAAGAGCTACCTTCTTTTGCAGTTTCAAGGGTAAATAGGTCGTGTTCATTTCATATGAATCATGGAGCAGCCGCAAATCTACCTTGAATCCAACTCTAGCGTCACGGCAAGAGCGCCTGCGACCGACAATACCTTGAGCAGGACTAGATTCTCCAGTTTTCATGCGCAACACACGCCATTCAATGAATTTGTTGGGCATGGATTGACACGCAGAGTGGGAGCCTTCCAAAACTCATCCACGACCTTGTTCACGTCCGCCCAATTATCTGCAAAGAGAAGGTTTAGCGTCTCATCAACACTGAAGCATGAACGCCATGATGAATTGATCATTATTGACACGGGTTTATTGCATAAATCATGCTGGAGTCTTTGGAACACTCATTTGGCGAAAAGCCTGGACATTTCCTCCATATGTATAGGCATATTACATCTACAACCTCTGTATTCATCATCGTTCCAAAAAAAAAATATATAAATTCTCGCTGTCAACGAGCTCTTTGACAGCAAAAAAAAATCCAAAGTTTCGTCTAGATGACCCTCTCTCTTTCCTTAGAGTGGCAGCAGCAGAGACATGAATCAGGTATACACATGAGGGGGGACACTGTTGCAGTTGAAACAAGGATGGTTTAAAGATGGTAGCATCTAGTACTAGCCACATGTTTATTCAGACATGTGCGCATGCAATAAAGAGATATCCTTCATGCTCCCTCCAGAATCACTTGGGCTATGGCGTATTCTCCATCATGCGATAGTGATACATGTGTTTTTTGTATGCCGTATAAATTGCTGTTTAAGATGGATAAATGGGGCTTGCCTAAAGTCGTGTTTGATTTAGTTTACTCACATGGGATCCCTCGTCAGCACTATGTTTACCTGCTTTCTTGATAACGGACACTTGCTTCCACTCTAGTTTGTGCACTGGATACAATGCCTTGTACACTGCTTCCTTCATACACCATCTACACATCTGACCGTCAATGCCTTATTCATCACTAAAACATATACCGCACGCAAACTTGCCTGGATCCCAAATATCTCAATTCGCTTGGATCATCCTTGTGTTTTGCGGTGAATTCAGTGTATTCTGTTGGACTTAGTATGCGCTTGGCAAGCCCATCACTGCCTCGTCGTGCAATCAAGGCAGCAATGCGTGGTAAATGCACAATGTCAACTCCTACGCCTATAATCATACCATGTAGATTGTTGAACCAACAAGAAAAAAACTTTGAGAAATAAAAAAAGTAGATTTTATTCAAGAGGAGATTTCATGGAACTATTGTGGTTTTTGGATACAACTACCAACGTATAAGCCCAATGGCTGTTTGACATTTCTGTCATTTTTTCACGCTTACTGTCAAATCCTCGCTCTGGAAGAAGGCAGCTAGAGCAATCAATCAAGAGATGTATATAACTGCTTTTGATTAATTACTGTCGTCGTCTGCTGTTTGATATCCAAGCCCCTTTAAATTAGATTACGCCATGTGGGTCCACAACTTGGAGGCTCGCACTACCGATTGCTTTCGTCCACTCATCAACCTACTGCCAATCTCCATTATCATATGAAAAGCCTTCGTAACTGTAAAACTGGCTCTTTTAAGGCACCCCAAGCCTGTATAAATAGCAGAAAGCCAAAAATGGGCAGATAGCTTACTTGCATTGCTGTCTACTACTCGATATTATGCAAAATACAGCGAAATTTGGATACATTTGAACCGTGTTTTCTCGTGTTAGGAGCCGTTTTAAGTCGCTGGAATAGCGCCAAATCATTGCCCTTACCTAGGAGTTACTTTCTGACACCTTTGCTCAACTTTTTGAGGACCAAAAAAAAAACATGGCCAAAAATCGACCTAAAAGCATGAGGTACCCCCCTCATGATTTTCATCAAAAATCAAACAATCGCATTTTTCATCTTGATAACGAAGATTTTTACTATGGTATATATTAAATCAAAATGCTTCTATCAATCTAACGTAACCTCTAAAAACATCTTTGTGGGACTTTGATATGTAAAATCTCGACTTTTTGGCTAAAAACCTCATTTCATATTTTCATAAGTTTCTCAATAGATTGACTCAAAATATTTACCTTACTTGGTACTATTGGATGCGTCTTGAAAAGTACTTTGAGATTGTATTAGGAAGCAATTTTTTTTTTTGTAGGGGAGTTGTACTCCATTTTTTATTTAAAGTCCTCTAAATGTCATGATGAGGGAAGAAGAAGACTGGATATATTTTTAAAGGCAAGGAAATGAAAAAGGGAAGCAAGGAAGTGGATTACGACCATAAAATACGTGGGGATACATACTTACAAATCAAACTGTAATTCCGATTCCAAGCGGGACAGAGAACGGGCAATAGATGTGTTAACGTTGAGGGTGACAAAAGGGACATGGTCGAAGATGGAGCGCCAGTGGGCTTGCCATATACAGAGTAGACTGGTAGCGAAAACTTGGTAAACGGTAAGCTCTGGAAAAGGTAAGGAGGCAGAGCGAGTGGGTTCAGCTATGGATAGAGTTTGAATGCCGTGGAGGAATGGGAGAAGGACGTCGTCGGTCATCGGTGTGTGGGATAGGTATGTAGTGGCAAGGAACCGCCATACAGCGAGTTTGAGAGGACAAGTAAAGAAGAAATGTTGGATATCCTCCGGGCTCTGGGTCAAACAGAGAGGACACGAAGGTGAAGGGTGAGTTGTGGGGATGAAGTGGTGGAGGGTCGATTTGGAGGGAATTTTTCGATGGATAAGTCTATACCATACAGTTCGGGATTGAAGGAGAATAGGTAGTTTCCAAAAGAGGCGCCATTGGGATGGGGAAAGAGGTGAGGTGTTGATGGTGGGCATTTCAGTGGAAACCAAGTGTTTGTAGTATTGAATACTGTTGAGTGGCACTGTTGGAGGTAGTGGTGTTATAGGTTTGATAAGACGGCGAATGAGTGGGCGGATGTTGTGAGGGTTAGCACCAAAGGAGGCACTGGTAAATGAATGGCGAGGGGCCTGACGGCAGAGAGCGAGAAAGAATGGTTGGAGGTAGATTTGGCCTTCCTCAATCCAACGGGCAACTCGATGAGATATTCTTGGATAATGGCAAAACTCAAGGAAGGTCCAGTTTCTAAGACGGATCACTTGTAAGTCGAAGTCAAAGGTAAACACATCTATTGCGAGCAGTTTCTGGACGGCGTGATGTCGGTCAAACAGTTGATCTGGAGCTGTGAAAGAAGAGAAATGGGGGTGAGTAGAAGGGAGGGTATGTAAGATAATTTCAAGGAAAGGTAATGATAAACCTGTATGAAAATCTAAGTGACAGGTTGTGAAGGAACGAGGTATTCGATCCATGGTGGTAATGACATTGGTGAGTATGTTAAGGAAAGCTTGGTGTGGACTGGGTCGATGTTGGAACCAGATGGTTTGTCGAGCAGCAGGAAAGAGTAAGTAGTAAAAGTAATCAGAGAAAGCGGTAGAGTGGAAATACCATTGCAGGGAGTACTGGAGGAGTGGAATGCTTGGGGTGGTGTATGTCGGTAATAGTGGTGAATGACAGGCGGCTAAAATGAGGGGGCAAATCCAGCGCCATTGGAGAGCTTGTTGTTGGACAATGGGATCTAAAACTTGGAGGCCGCCATGATGGCGAGGCTGTTGAAGGGTTCTAAAGGAAAGTTTGGGGAAGATACGAAAGTTAATGAAGGAGGACCCAAGGCTGCGTAAGGAGAGTAATTGAGCTTTGGTGAAAATAAAGTTGCGCATGACATGCCAGAGTTTCGAGAAAATGAGTGTGTTGAGAACGGTAGCTCTTCCACGAATGGAGAGGTTCCGTTGGGAGTGAATATGGATGCATTGTTGGATATTGTTGTAGAGTTGCTGGAAAGCGGTATTAGGAAGCAAAGGATGATCATCACAACTTACATAGTCGAATCTGGCAAAATAGATCGAATCAAGTCTAAAAAGGACAGAGGAGAACAAATCAGGACAGAATGCTGAGCGGCGATTTAATCGGGTCTGCCGTCTTCACTTGCTTGGTTCCTGACAACATCAATGCAGTTGCTCTCATCATGAAGGTAGATGATGCTCGTGAAAGTTCATATACATAGACATGACGTTTGCAGTATAAGAAGCTTGAATTTTAATTGTTTTAGTGCTGTATGAAATAGATTTATTTTTATCACTTTACAGGGAAATTTTGACTTGCTGTATTTGTTATGGCTTACAACACTCATCTTCTAAGCCAGTTAATGATCTCTATTGCAGAGGAAATCATTTGGTATCTACACCTTTTATACATATACGCTCCATATACAACTAGATCCCTCTATCGACAAAAGATTAGGACACTGCTGAGTTTTGCATGATCTGATGTTGCATGAAAATTATTGCATTGGAAAGACAATCGATGTGGTTATTTCAAAAAAAAAGGTTTAATGTTCAAACGAAATAATAAAAAGGAAGGGAATGGTCTATTTTCTTTGCGTTTGAAAGAAAAAAAAGAAGAAGAAGAAGAAGAATTATATAAAGAATACAACAGCAAGAATAGAATTTTGAGGATTTATCGTCTGGGCATACCACGGCCACGTCCACCACCGGGCATTGGGCCTGCTTGAGGCTTTTCGCTTTGAGCGTTCTTTACAGTTTCGTCGACAGACAAGATCAAGCAAGCAGCTTCAGTAGCAGCAGCAATGGCATTGGTCTTGACAAGTGCAGGCTCCCAAACGAATGCTTCATAATTATCTGCAATAGTTTCATTATTGATATCAACACCGTACCAAAGACCGCCTTGTGCGTGCTTCATTCTCAACTTGTTCAAAATGTCAGTAGCATCGAAACCAGCATTATCGCACAACTGTCTGGGAATGACTTCAAATGCCTTTGCGTAAGCGCCAATAATGAGTTGCTGCTTGCCTTCAATCGTGCGAGAATGAACACGAAGGTATTTAGAGAGTTCCATTTCGGTAGCACCGCCACCAGCAACAACCAAGTTGTTTTTGATAGCACGTCTGACAATCATGATGGCATCGTGAAGAGAGCGCTCCACCTCGGCAATGAATTGCTCAGCACCACCACGAAGGATAAGAGTACAGGTCTTTGCCTGAGGACAGCCTTCAAAGATGTTGAAACGCTCTCCACCCACTTGTCTCTCCTCGAATGACTCACATTCACCCAAATGCTCAGAGCGCAGATCAGAACAGGTGGATTGGACAGAACCACCCACTGCTTGAACAACACGATCCATATCGTCCTTAGCAACACGGCCAGCACAGAAAATATCACGGTCAGCAAAGTATTGAGTGGCCAAATCACCAATAGGCAACTTGGACAAGACAACCTTGGCACCACTGGCGACGATGGCTTCCAACTTTTGGAAAATGATTTGCCATTCAGCATCAACAATGGCTTGGTATTCAGACACTTCCTCCACACGGACTTCAGCATTGTCCTTTTCAGCCTTCAATTCAAGTTCGACATTGAGACAGAGCACCTTGGGGTTCTTGAATGATTTGGGTTGTTGTTCGAAACCAGCGTAGGCAAAGGTCTTTTTGAAAGCGACACCCTTGACAAGCACGGAATCTTGCATAGCGCCACCAGGAACACGCTTGATACCGATCAAACGCTCGTTCAAGGCTTCTTGGTCCAAAGACATGACAGCATCAACAACCATCTTTGTGAAAAAGTCTTTTTGGGAATAGATCAATTTGGAGTTCATGGCGGTGGAAGCACATTTGGAGAGTAAATCACGGAATTCACTATTTAGCATTAGTCTCTATTCAAACAGCACATACACAAAGCGACACTTACGCTTCATTGTTCTTGTCAATCTTGACAGCCAACTCCTTTACCTTGTTAATGGCCAAACGGGCAGCAGCTCTGTAGCCTTTGATGATGACGTGAGGGCTGACACCTTCTTCGATATAACCCTTGATCTCCTTTAATAATTCACCAGCAAGCAAAACAACGCTAGTAGTACCATCGCCAACCTATCACTTGCCGTTTAATATATACAATCTCATTCTGATTTTCTTAATTTAGTACCTCAGCATCTTGAGAGCGAGCAATATCAACCAAGGTCTTTGCGGCGGGATGAACGATGTCCAGTAATTTCATGATGGTGGCACCATCGTTGGAGATGGTCACTTGGCCTCTGCTGTCGACCATGAGCTTATCCATACCTCTGGGGCCCAATGTAGTTCTGACAGTGTCCACAACGGCAGCACAGGCGTTGATGTTGGAGAGAAGTTGGCCTTTGCCTTGAGATGTATCAGTGCCTTCTTTTAAAAGGATGATTTGTGGTTGCTACAGGAATCAACACCATGTTAATACTCGGTCGATATATACATACGGCAAGAGGCACGCAAATCATCAAGCTAGACTCTACGACAATCCACGAGGCATTCATCAAACGCGTCGTGAAGGCTTCTGTTGCAATGTGACATGATGCGGCCGTATAAGTCTGGTGTCAGGCCTTGCTCTCTTTGCGTATCTCTTGCCAACTCGCATCACATGCGCTATACCGTTGCAACGCATATTTACCATCATGGATGAAGGAGGTGCCATGGTGTATGATATAAAGTTTAAACAGAAAAGTAAGGGGAACAAAGGTGAACTTCAAGTCGAAAATTTTGATATTTGACATCAATTAAAACATCGTCACTTCCTTAATCCTTCTCGCTTGTTCTTTGAGCTAGGCACCCAATGATGAAGGGTTTAAATAATGGTACATTTATTGATTTCAGCTCTAATTCACGTTTGCTGTTTCTTCGGTAGATGTCTGGGGGGCAGCAGGCGACACCTTCTTCTTTTTGAATCGTCTATCATTGCTGTCTGCAGCGCTCTTCTTGACAAGAGAGGGATCAAATGGGCAATCTATGACGCGGAGTGTGGACAGCAAGTAGCCACCACCACAGCTCATGTTCATGTTGGGATGCATACGTCCAGGCAAGACTTGGTATTCACGCATGCTGCTCTCCGTCAGCTCTGCATTCAAAAAGTTGCTTGATCTACGCATCCAATAAGCTGTTTGTAATAACACTTCCTTGTTGAAGCTATACACCACAATGGGTCGTGATCCATTGACATATTGCAATAATTCCTTGATCACTGTCTCGGGTTGGAATGAGGATGATATAATGAGTCCATCAAAGTTGCCTTCGTGCAACGTCTTTCTACACTTGACTCGAGCCTCCCAGGCTGCTTTACGTCTGCTGTAAGAAATTGTGTCGTTCTCTGACAATGCTGCCTCTTGTTCTTCTGTCAAAATCTCGAACGGATCTATACAATGCCTGTTGAGTGTTTGCGCAGACAGACACAATCACTTTTACTCACCATTTGGTATGCCTTGATCTATCATGGTCATTGGCACAGGGTGGAATACACTTTGCACAGATTTCGAAAAGTTCATGTATCGTAAAATGTCGTAATTGTGATGATCTCCTTCATGAATAGCTACCAATTGACCGAATCCACCCATTCTCTCCAGACAAGAGGACACAATCAGACCCTGAGTATCGTCCACAACCAGCAACTTTGCATTCGCATGTACGTTGGCCATGCTTAATAGCTGAGAGAGTGTGTCGATGCGCATGTGCTTGATTTTATCAGGGTTTTTGGAAAAGAAATAGTCGTTGATGGTGCTGATAGTAGGTCGTACAGGTGTAAATGTCTTCATGAACCTAGATGGTGGCGATAAGCTTGCTGTTTCACCTCATGTGCATGTAGACTCACTTTTTCTTTTTGCGCTCAATGTATTTGGCCTTGGAATATTCGGTCTTTTTGGAGAAGCCAGAGTGAGAATCAACCATCATTTTAATGATTTCTTCAGTGGCCAATTCGCCTTGCAATCCCTTTTCTTTCAATGCCAACACTTGCTCGTGTGTTAATGTTTGGTTCGAAGCGTCGTCAATGATCATTTGATTATTGGCAGCCGTTTCCTCTGATTTTGCGCATGTAAGTGTCGATTCGAATTTTGGTACACTATCACTTACCAATGTTGTTGTTCTTAGATACATGGCCAACAGGGCGAATCTCACCTTGTTTGCTAATGATTTCATATGACAGACCGAAAGGCTTTCCGATTAGATGATCTGATTGAAAGGAGCCAAATTTGCCCAAATTGACCATCCTATCGAGAAAAAGACAATTTAGAGAAATTCAAACCAACACTGCCACTGTATATCTTACGTATCAGGCTTCAAAGAAATAATTTTAGCATTTCCACTGGGCATTTGAATGATCACAGTTTGTTGTGCTTGTATTAAATCATCGTCTTCGTACTTTGTTACTTCAGTCATGTTGAATTGTATGGCAAGAAATATACCAATGTTGGAATTTCAGAAAAAAAATGGCAAGCATATATGTATAATAACAGTGACCGCTTCTACTGCAGATCAGAACATCTGGCAAAGCTAGTGGCTTATTGCGTTCGTGATTCATGCAAAATGAATGACTTTTGATAAGGTATGTGAGCCTACCGCAAGGAAATTCATACATTACTAATTGTATTCCTTGATAATTATCTATTCAAATACATTTGGTAATAAAAATGGACAAAAAACGATACAGCCTAGTCGTCGTCACAGTGATTTGATCCAGATATGCGCTTATAATATTCTTGAATTGACAGTTGTGCACACACTATACATGAAGTCATAAGGTCTCTGCATACATTGTTGTAAAACATTGCAATACAAATCGACAAAGGCATTCAGAGCCAAAGATTACGGTACATGGAAATAGTAAAATTTGGTTTATTTGACAGCATTACCACATTGTTGGAGAATGTAATGGTAATCTTTTAGCAAGCACTTTACTTGTGGTAGCCAAGTACATCTTTCTCTAATTCAGAGGTTATAATATTGAATAAATCAACAGAAATAAAGCGACGCATGCCCGCCAATGTTATTACCCCCTCTAGATACAAATCACAAAGTCTCTGTTAGTACCAGTTGCTATTCTCTTAAAGAATTACTTTAGAATACCCTAAACTCCCATTGATGTCCCTTAATATATATTTCCTCATGCCTTGAAGTCTACTCTTATGTGATAGCTTGGAACGATACTAGGAAGCAAATCAAGTGAAGAGAGCTGCACATACGATCTTTATACGCCGTCTTTTTTGTGTGGTAAATCTAAGAGCTTTTTACGCTGAGTAATATAGCTTTTTCAACCAACTGCAACCATCAAACTATGCCTCTTAATGCCTCAAGAAGCATACATTCTTTCCGTTGTCTTTTTTAGAGGAAGGATATGGAGAAATCAATCATTGAAACAAGCTCTCAACTTCAGGTCAAATATGACACTTTGAGGCTCAAAATTTTTCATTATCTCTAGAGCTATCAGGTAAACAAACTCTATCAGTAAAGTAATATGTGTAGCCAGAAACCAGGTGCACCAAATGGCGAGTTTTTTTTTTGGAGCAATTTATTGGGAATCCCCAAAACTTGAGGATTCTCCTAGGTGATGAGGGCAAAAAATAAACAAGGTATTAGCATATCCCCTCAAAATGGCCCTTTTCTCGAAATATAAAATCTAGAATAGTTTATTACTGATCGCAAAGTGCTCTTAATACATTTACAGTATGTTATATCTATGCGTAAATGTAATTATAGCTTAAATTAATAGTTTTTTTTTTCGTGTTATTTGAATGCTTTTTTATCCAATACGAGTGTGTTTATACTTAGGATGACTCTCTACCTTCGCTTGGCTTCGGTGAAAGCCAGCCTGCGCAGTGGCAGTTTGCGCTACCGATTGCCCTGTGTATTTTATCAAAACACTGCTACTTTCATGTTGACCCTCCACTTACACATGAATATCTTTCATATTATCTGTAGATCTGGTTCTTATGTAATGCTCTATATCCATATCCATCTTGCTACACCATATACAGGCAAGTAGTATACTGGTATTTCCCCTTTTCAGTCCTTAGTGTCCCTGGTACAGCAAAGTCTGAGTGTATCTGAGCCGCGTTTTCTTGCGTTTCAGGTCGTTTTAGATGGTCAGAATAGCACCAAACAGTTGCTCTCATCTGGCAGTTAATTTCTGACATCTTTGCTCAACTTTTTGGGCCAAAAAAAAACATGGCCAAAAATCGACCAAAATGCATGAGGGGTACCTCATGATTTTCATCGAAAATCAAACGATCGCGGTTTTTTTTTACCTTGAAAACGAAGACATTTACTATGGCATGTATTAAATCAAAATGTTCCTCTCGACCTAAAGCAACCCCAAAACCCACTTTTATGAAACCTTGATATATAAAATCTCGACTTTTTGGCTAGAAACCTCTTTTCATACTTTCATAAATTGCTCAATAATTTTACACAAAATATCTATCTTACTTGATACTATTAGATGCGTCTTGAAAAGCATTCCAAGAAAGCTTAAAGAAGCAATTTTTTTTTGTAGGGGAGTCGAGCTCCAGGTTTTATTTAAAGTCCTTTAAATGTCATACTGAGAGATAGAAAAGACTGTTGGTGGACCCAATGTCTGCAAAGAAGGGGAATAAGATATTTTTGAATTAAGTTGGGAAAGAAATCTACTACTAATAAGGTGCGACACCTAGAGCCAAAACAGTCTTGCGGAAATCGTCAAAATATAGATAATGGATAGAGTACAAAACACCAAACGAGGACATCAGTACTACTTCAAAAAATCAAACAACTTGCGTTCACCAGGATTTGAACCAGGATCCTCCCGTTGGCATACGGGAGTTTCTACCACTTCGCCCTACCACCAGGGACAGCTTAAAGAAGCAAAGGATAATTATCATATATTACTTAGTCGAATCTTCAGAAATAGTTCGATCGAGTCCAAAATTATCAAAATTTGGCCAATCTAGAACAGACTGTAAGTCTGGGTTGGAATCAGTTTTGGCTGGTGGGGCCGGCTGGCAAACTTAATGTTCTTTTAATCAGTCCACTACTCTTTAACATTGCCTTCGACCCACTGCTTCGTGCTATAAACAATCACAGCAACATCACTGGTTTCCATTTACTCCTGGAAACTAATCAATCTATGACTATGCCCTCCCCTCCTCCCATCAAAGTTTTAGCATACGCGGACGACGCTCTTGTGGTCCTCCGGAATCCCACAGAATTTGAACACCTCCAAGACATCATCAACCAATATATGGCCGCATCCAATGCATCTCTCAACTACAGTAAAACCCAAGCACCCTCGTTATCCGGTAAACCACACCCACCCTGGATTTCTTTCCTATAAGATCAGGGTATCACATCATGGCACGACCGCACTGCTACCGAACCCCTCACCTACTTAGGATTCGCCATATGCTCAAGTGCCAATCAACGCGCAACCTATGCCCTCTCCATCATCTCCAAGATTCGTGCCTATTGCCAGCTTCACTCCACCCGCGCACTAACATACCGAGGTAGGGTCACCGTCATCAATGCGCTCTTATATTCGAAACTTTGGCACGTTATGCGCCTCTTTACATTTTCATCCCCTGAACTCAAACAGCTCCAGCGACTCGCCGCCACCTTCATCAATCGCGGATCCAAAATCTCTCGCCTCGCTTTTGATCACCTCACCCAACCCATCAACCAAGGGGGCTTGGAACTCCTCGATCCAGCCACTCAAGCTAATGCCTTACAATGGCGGTGGCTCTACTTCCTGATTCACCCCCCACAAGCCTCACCTTCACTTATGCCGTCCATTCCCATCCTTAGATACACTCTCAACTTTGTTCTTTCCACCGCCGAATATCCTTCCTATCATTGGTCATTCCTATTTCCCCATTGTCGACTGGTCATTCCTCGCCTTTTTGGTCCCATAGTCAACTTACTACGAGCCGTAGATTCGATCCCCCCCCACAACTACCATTTCAGCCATGCCACCATGTCCACATGCCTTCACCTACCACTGATGGAACTCCTCGTCCACAATCTCCCACCAACCCACCCAATAGCTCACCTCTTTCAATCCCCTCACTACGTTCTCAAGAACCAACCAACAATCCGTCAGCTCAAAGGATCCGATATATTTATCTTCAACCCCAACCGACTCTGCCTAGAATATAATCATCTCTCCCCAGCTCTGCCACACGGCCCATCAATCAACAAAACTATCTCTCTACTTTGCTCTAACCAACTACTTCTCAACAACTTTGTCCTTTACAACTTTCTCCCCAATGTACCGCGACCTCACAACGCCTTGGAGGTTCACAACCTTCCAAATTCCAACATTCCTTCATTTTCAGCTCTCCACTCCTTTGTCACCACTCTTCTTATACCTCCAGAACCCAACAATATTCGTCCAACTACTAAAGCTACTTCTATCAAATACTTCAAATGCCTCCTAACCTCTTCCTCTCCCCCTACCCCGAGTTCTATCCTTTCTTCTACTCAATGGCGTCAGTTTTGGAAGCTCGGAATAGCTCTGAATGCACGTAATACTTGGTACCAAATCCTCCTCAACAAAATAGCCACCAAAAAACTCCTACACCTTCGTATATCTGATAAATTCGCTCCTCATTGCACGATCTGCCCTTCTAGAACTACCAACATAGAAACGACAACATATTTTCTCTTTTCCTGTCCCATCAAATACACTGTCTGGTCCCAAGCACTCTCCACATACATAGACCCAGGTCTGCAATCTCCCACTTATGAGCAATTTCAAGAACTTCTCCTCCTTCGCTCCCCCCTTACAGTCTCAACATCTTCACCCTACCCCACTCTCACCACGTACCAAGTATTTTCTTGCATTCTTCAAGCAATTTGGAGCTGCCACTACAGATCCATCTTCGACTCCTTTCATTTTGAACCCCTCCAAGTCATGCTCTGCATAGACAGGGCACTATATACTTTAGTTTCCCAAGACAACGTTCACTCACTTCTATAGCAAAGCACCTTATATCCAGTCTTACTATCCTCTTCCCCACTTCGGGTACGTTAATAGGACTTTAGACAAAGAATTTTATTAATAAAACAATCTTCCTTAAAAAAAAATGTTCTTCTAACCTTGAAGACAACAATAAATAGATGCAGTATCAAGTTAATGGATAGCAGGTGGAAAATTATATAGTATTATTGCTAGAAGTGCTATTTTTATACGAAGATTTATATTTAATAATGCCAGTCCACCAAAATACTTTGTAAGATCAAGTTTCATTTTCGAGGCTTTGAAAGTGTCTAGTAGGGACCATAAATTTATCATGTTACGATAGTTAAAGTTGACGTAAATAGATTACTAAAAGCTACAGCTACAAGACCTCACATTATTGCTGAACTCAACATTAGCCAACAAATGGTTCAAGTCAAAAGTCTCTAGAAGCTTGACATGCTTTCATCTTGATCCCAACAAACAGAATAGAGGGCTCATCTTTATTAATGTCCATTTGACAATTCAAGTTCTTGGTTTCAACATTTAAATATTGATTGAGAAAAACAAATATAGACCAACAGACATAGACCAGCAGAGACAATACCATGCAAAATACCCTCTTATTTACGAAGATAGCTGCCCTCATGTAATAGCTATCCCTACACATTCTCTTCAAAATAGCAGGTAATTCATAGATAGAGAGCACATAGCATCCATAGCAAATAGCATCAATAGTTGCCGAATATACCATACAGTTCTATGTCAATACCAAGTATTGACAAAGCCTGGGGTCAGTCCGCGCCAGGATATGATTAACAGGTAATTCTAGGCATGAGGAACCTTTCATCAGATGAAGACATTAGCGTATCAACGGCCAATCCCTGAATAATACCGCTAAATCTGATAACAGCCATTGATACTACTTGCTAGCCTTCCAAGGCACCAGTGTACACATAATAAAATTGAAATTAGCGATTCGGATTTGACAATTTTACAGATAGTAAACATACCAACTGCAATATGTTTGCATCGAAAGAACCAGTTTCGTTATAAAGAGGCTCGCTGCGCCAGAGGATTACGCCCATGAAGTAGACACTAATTTTCAACGCCAAATTGCGATACAAGAGAAAGACTGGAGGTTAATCATAAGTTATCATCGCCTATCGTTATTCACTACCAGAAGTGTTTCAGCGTGTTCAACGCAAAATCATAGCTTGAGTAACAGATACACCATTAATGCAATCAATTTGAATTGTGAATAATCGCTTGGAAACAAAGAGCTGTTAATTGTTGCTTTGGTGATATAGGCATGAAAAATACGCGTGGAGTTTGTATTTAAGGTGCCACAGGAAAATTGCTGCCCAGCAACTGATTTGCATGAATGATATGCACATCTCGATGAACCTCACTGTGGTGTGAGTTACATGAGTTATATGTCGAATTTGAATGGAATGCACTCAATTGGAAGAAGAAATATTTTAGCTGGTAGATTTCTAAGGACCGTTTGCTTCTGTGCTAATCAAGAGCATAACTTAAAAAGGTCAACATGAGTTTGTTTTGCTACAAGACGCCAGTATAAGATGCTTGGCGTTCATTGATAAACAGGTTTGTAAACATATTTCAAATCACTGTGGTGACTGACCCTGCAATGATATAAAAAAACACGTTTGAGCAGTAAGCACACTTTTTTCTTCTCTTTTCAATTTTATCACTCATTTACAATGACATTACCCCGTATGTATCAACGCTTGTTAGGTTCCATATAAAGCCATCTAATGATCTTCTTCTACTTATTTCTCTAGATGGTTGTGCCAGTTCCATGGAGTACTTGCTACTCTCAAATTCAAGCTTTGGTTATCAGGTTTACTACCAGAACTTTTGTCAAGGGTTCTCTCGTTCCCAAACAAAAGCAAAACTCTTGAAAGATTTGGAGGAGTGCGTGTTTGATATAAGATCTACAATGAACAATGAACTTAAGATATGGTTAGACGAGCAAGTAAAGAACGGTATTCCCGTAAGTTTATCAGGGCATCATGCTTATATATCATGTAGTAGTAATCAATCTGTGATAGTTGGAGAAAACGGCTGCTGTGGACGCTTTTTGGTTTGCCCAAGAAGAGCAAAGACAGGTGGTGATGGCGGCTACTATGGAAGCCAGTCGCAAGGCACTGTACGTAGGCAATATGCACTCTATAATAGAAAGTCAAAATTCGTCAACGTTGACTACAAGTCTGCAAAAGTATCAAGACCAAAATGTAAGTTACAAATAGTCAGCAACTAATTTTTACATCTAGTAACACATGGTAACTTGGGCTGTGATGGAGCTAGATACATTGTTATCGTTCAATGGCAAATCACTCGCCTCTATTCTCAAAACAGAGGGTCAACGCCTGTTTGTTGAATACAGTAAACTGGATGCTTTTCAAAAGAATCTCTGTAGTTACTGCCTGAACGGCATTCTCGATATATCATCAACCTCTTTACAAAAGCAACTGTTCACAGAGAATGAATGGAGTTACATTCAAGATTGTTTCAAAGAAAGAGATCACCTTCCACATCTGTCTAAAGATGTCAAGGGAAGAATCCTCGGTCTTGTCAAAGTGAGTGCTTTGTATTTTATCAATGAGCCCCATAGCTAAACTCTTACCGGATTGATAGCTAACAACGTCTGGCCAATTCCTCGAAGCTTACAATCGCTGTCTCAAGCATGTTACCAAAGTATCCACTGATGATACATGGCTTTTCAAGGTGTTAGCACATGTGTATGTAGATAGTTTTACAACAGATGAATTGGAACATGTGAAACTAATCAATCCTTTTCTCCACAGCATAAATTGCTACAACGAACGTGCGCAGATTTTTCAGCCCAGCTTCGATCCTACTACAACTGAATGTAACTACATGGCCAAACTTTGGTACGAAGTCTTTGAACTCATGTTCGGCACTACGCAGTTACATCCTAAATGGGGAGAATCCGTTCCTGATGCAACAACTGCCATTGAGCTCCTCAACAACAACAACAAGTCGCATACAATTGGCTGCAAGATCGACGGTCGCATTCTTTATAAAGACAATCAATCAATAGATTTATGTCACATAGAAGCGTCAAAGACTGCATGCACCGAATCAAAACTACAAAATGACAAAGTCAAGTTGGCCATTGAAACCAAGTGTTCACTAGACAGCATTATCTCAAAATCAACTCACCCAACCTTCAAAAAAAGGAAGACTATAAAAAGTAACCAGATACGAAAAACTGAAGATTTATCAACTGATTCAAACACATCCTATTTATAAGAGATCATTACTGATGAATCATCAATCTATCTTCTGGTTTCAACTGAGTCAATACATCGTATCATGTTTATCTAATATCAGTCAATTGAAGGATCCGATTCGTTCAATCAGCCATGATGATACGATCTGTAGCCATCATTATCCTTCACTATCAGAGACCATCATAATCGATTACATGATTCACTTCTGTGTCGAACCTAATGTCCTAATGTAAACAGTGAGAAACAATGTAAATCATGATCCGACTCTTGCTGACTTACTGAATGTCCGCAACCGCTACAGACTCAACAACAAGCAAACAGCTTTGCGCTTGTAGACTATGGATTGTATGTCACCTCAGTCATGTTCAATCTCTCGCTCCCAAATAACATGGCTCTATTTGGTGAAGAAATGACAATCTGGTGCAGAAAGCTCAAATCGTTAAGATCAATGTGTCTTAAAAACAGCGCAATCTGTACAGCCATATCATGTCCACCTCGCAAGCACAACCTTGCTCAAGAAACATTTGAAAAGCAGGGCGCGAACGTAAAAGATTGGGTACGTGGAACCTTCACAATCCCAACAACTGGGTCAGCTCTGTTTCCAAAACATTTCTTGACAAGTCCAATAGCACCAACTAGCACAGCCGAGCCCAAGGAAACAGTTGATTTCGTTGTGTCTATCCTCTCTGATGGGACCAAGGTCAAGAGGCGAGTCAATCTTAGAGATTCTAACAAAATGAAACGCAAGTCAAACCGAACAGTCGATGACAATCCAGGCCACAAGAGAAAACCTAAACATCAACCCAAAAGCAATGTATCTACCAGCAAAAGGAGCAAAGGCAAACATCGAGGACAAGCGGTGAACAACTGATTCCAGTTTTTATGACAAATATATAGTACATGCCTCACTGCTCATAAATTGTGCCCTATATCTACGAGTAAACAAATTGATACCGAATAAATAAAGAGCAAGGCTGTTTAGTGAACAGTTTGAAAAATGTTCAGGGCTTTAGTAGCATTGAATACAATAAAGAGAGATCATGAAATGTGCTATTTGGGAAATCTCACTACAAGGCATTCTTGACACTGCTCTCTCAGAAGGGCTAACCTGTCCCGCTCTTATTTTAAATCAAGCTCCCTCCCAGGTTCGTGCTTTTTTATTCTATATATGCTGCGACACCTTGCAAGGCTTCATTACAAGCCATCCTTCAGCAGCAAACATGTGAGACAATGCAAATCACTGTTCAATGGGTGTGTTAGTGACTGAATGTTAGATTGTTTCTAGTGCTTTCGCGGTTCTACAACATGGACGCTATGTATCATCAGGGGTAAGTTGTCATTGCCCGCTTAGAGATCAACACGACTCAGGACAGCATGATAGGTTACTACGAGGTCACAGCAAAGCAACTTTCGTTAGATTGGAACAGACAAGGATGCTGGAGCGTTGCAGGACTTACTTCGCAGAGTAATGGAAATTGATGCTGATATTACACAAACACCTGTTGCCGATTTCAAGCCAAATGTAAGCAGGGATACCACCAAGAAGATTATTTATTGAATGCCACCATGTAGACACAAACCTGAACAGCTTATTGCTTGGCAGACGAATATGAGTTGGATGGTATCTGCACGAAGCTTCCTATAGACGGCTATTTTGTACAAAACAACTACGAGGACATGCTCCACATCTCAAATGCACAATCTGGTGGGGATGTCTACCTGTTCAGCAATGGTACAGTGGTATTTTGGGGAAGTGATCAGGGGAAGCAGGCTGGATTTTTGCATTTCATTAGACAGCAGCAATCTACATCAAAAGCCGTTGAATCAAAGGAAGTGGTAGAATACACAATTGACGAGGACGAGTAGGTGTTATTAGAAGCCCTTTAGTTGAATGCTTGTGCTGAACATGGGTGAATAGGGTGACAGATATGAAGGGTGATATCGTGATTTTGGATCCATACATCCCATCTGTTGATTTGTCGAAAAATGCCTTTTCGCATGGACTTGGACGAGCAGCCAAACTGAGTAGCCCGAGCAATCCCTCAACAGCTATCTGACAGAGATTGCCAGCATACCGGCATCATTATGTCATAAAGAATACAATGGAAATCAATTGGACAATCGAATGCTAGTAGGAAAATTGCTGTCCATTCAGCAAAGGGTGGTCAAAGGGTCTCGAGATGGATTGCTGGGTACATCTGATTTGAAATGGGCAAAACCTGAATTAGAGGGCTATGTCAACAAGATCTCTGCCAGATTTGATATATCAACAAGGATTGACATTATACACAAACAATTGGGTAAATACAAGTAAATAATTGATTTTACAGCATTTCAGCTAATGTACCTGACTCGATGTAGATTATGCAAAGGAAGTTGTTGGTACTGCCAGAAAATATACTTGATGATAGCATGTTGAATGAATAAACCAGTGGATATCCATCATTTTGATGAAGGACATCATCAAATCCATTTATTAGGTATAAAATATATCCATCAGTTCTATATCCACTTTATCATTCAGTTTGTAATGACTGATTCGCCACCAAACCTAATAAGCAAGCATGCAAGTGCCAGTATCTCATTGATCCACCATGAGCATAGTCCGTTGTTTAGCTTGTCATACATACGGTAGCAGGATGTGGTGCCTGATTTTGCTAGGGCTGTGACGTCTGGGACAATGTAGACATTGAGATCCCACCTTTTTTTGTTGATATCAACTCTCTTTTTGCCTGTCATTTGAACATTTCATCCACCAAGTCAACATGTCTGCTTCATTTGCCATTGCCTCTCTACTCAAACGAGTGCCATGTCGAGCCAATGTCAGTCCAATGGTACATGCTCGTCGCTTCCAGTCTCTGGCCTTCACCCATGTCACATTACAGTCTGTCGCCCGACCTCAATTATTGAAATCAACACCACGCCTCTTGTCTGCTTCTTTATGCCACAAGTATCAACAAAAGCACTGGACATCTACTGCAACCAGTGCCACTACCACTACAGCCACCGAGAAAAGCAAACAGCCAGTGGCCTACAACAATTGGCTTGATCATTTGCCCAAGAAAGTGGCTCCTGGCTCCTTATGCATTTCTGACTCGTATCGACAAACCCATTGGTACCTGGCTGCTGTTCTGGCCTTGTGGTAAGTAGGAGCATACACTCGGATTCGCACCACACAACAACTGACACTGTATCCAGCTTGGAGCATTTCAATGGCTGCTTACAGTACAGGTGCCTCCGTCATGGATGCCGCCTCCATGATCGCCCTGTTTGGTACCGGTGCATTGATCATGCGTGGTGCTGGCTGTACCATCAACGATTTATGGGACAGAGACATCGATGACAAGGTAGAAAGAACCAAGATTCGTCCCATCACCTCGGGTGCCATTTCTCCCAAACAAGCCATTGCCTTTCTTGGTGTGCAATTAACGGCAGGTCTGGCTGTCTTGACGCAACTCAACATGTACAGCATCCTGCTTGGCGCCAGCTCATTGTCGTTGGTGGTCACTTATCCTCTGATGAAGCGTGTTACTTACTGGCCACAAACAGTGTTGGGTTTGGCGTTCAATTGGGGTGCGTTGCTAGGTTGGTCTGCCATGACTGGAGCCCTCGATCTCTCGGTTGCTGGGCCACTTTATCTCGGTGGTGTCTGCTGGACATTGGTGTACGATACCATCTACGCCCATCAAGACAAGAAGGACGATATCAAGGTGGGTGTCAAGTCTACTGCTCTTCGTTTTGGAGAAAAGACACCACAATGGCTGTCAGGATTCTCCACTGCATTCATTGGCTTGACAGCTGTTGCTGGTTACATGAATGGTCAGGGACTCCCTTTCTACGCCATCAGTGTGTTGGGCACAGCCAGTCATTTAGCATGGCAACTAAAGACGGTCAACTACAACGACGCGGCTAGCTGCTGGTCTAAATTCAAGAGCAATACATGGGCTGGTGCCATCTTGTGGTCTGGCATTGTAGCTGATGCTGCCTGGTCCTCTATTGCAGTTTGATTTACTGTATTTCAATTTTATTCATTAAAAAGTACTAGACATGGTGATTATTGAGGATAACTAGGATAACCATATTGATCGTGTTGGCTTTGGTTGTTATTAGGTCTGTTTCCAGGCAATGGAGGTGGAGGTGGGTAGCCTTGGCTGGAATGGCCACCATTACCAGGCATCCCAGGCTGTTGCTGGTAAAAATGGTTGCCTCCATCTTGTGCGGGTTGAGGGAATCCAGGGGCTCCTCCATGTGCGCCTGCTGATGGTGGTGGTAATGGTGGTGGGTATCCAGAATTGGCATTACTGGGAGGATAGGATGGATAGCTTGGAGGCGAGGTAGGCATTGGATTGCTGGATGGAGCAGGAGGATAGCCAGAAGGCTGTTGATGTTGACTGCCTGGATAACTGTTGTAATTGGATGGCGACGAAGGTGGATATCCACTGCTGCCTATTTGCTGAGGAGGATAGCTGGGTGGAGATCGAGGGGCTGGTGGGTAGTTGGAGGGAGATTGAGGGGCTGGTGGATAGCCTGGAGCAGGTGGATATCCGCCGGTGCTAGCAGGTGGTGGGGGTGGAGGCGAGAAAGAAGATGTCGCATTAGCAGGAATAGGCTCAGGGAAGCTGGAGGGTGAAGGTGCTTGTCCTGGTTGAGCATTGGCAGGAGGATAATTGTCATTTCTGGGCGGAGGTGGAGGTGGATAGTTGCCTGATGAAGGCGCTTGACCTGGCTGGGGGGCAGGAGGAGCAGTGGTAGTGCCACCATAGAAAGAACCATAGTTGGCCAACACTGGATCGATGCGCGAATTGCCAGCAGCATTGGTGGTGGCAGTGGGTGCTACGTTGTTTCCAACGCCAGCAATCTTATTGTTCTCTGGTACCTGTTTCAACTCTGGAGGGACGCCGGGTTCAGCAGCATAACCAGGTCTGGGTTGACCAAAGCCCTCCTTCTTATGCAATGGGACACTGGTAGTTGCCATGTTGAGTGCATTTTCAAATTGCTGATAAGGCTCAAATTGCCATAATTGATTCAAGTTGTCCGTGTCCTTTCTCTTGTACAATAATACTTGAGCTCCACCTTTGGGACTATCGCCCTATGCAAGCCAATAATGTTAGTCTCTTGAGCGAGTGGCAAAGCAAGGCATTGCTTACTCTAATATCAAGCACAAGACTGGGATACTCTTTAGAACAAATAAAGCCTTGATCGTAGATCCACTTTACATAGAACGGTGATTAATAACTGACACAACACTGCTCTCCAACGCATCCAATGTCATTACCTCTTGAGATTGCTTGCTGGCCTTACGCTTCTTTTGCACGATTGTCTTGTCAGATTTGAAAGCGCCTATCCAAACAGACTTGAATACATGCAACATTGAATTAAGCAGCAAAGGCTTTCTACTTACTAGAGCTAATGTCCATCACTATGAATTGTGTGATACTTGAGTATAGATGATATCATTCTCTGTTCACACAATGCTTACTTACCGTGACCCGACTTCTTGTTGGTCAATTTTCCACTATCAAAAGACCACAATCTAGACGAGGAAACATGAATTACTACCATGTACACGCACACACTCCATTGCCGTTCTTACTGATTATCGCTGTCCTGAAACTTTTGTGGCCACACAATCAAGTTGGCTCCTTCCTATAGCAATAAACAGCGTTGAGTTCTTGGCAAAACAAGATTGACAATGGGAAGATTACCTTTGTTTGACCATCATATACATCGAGAGCAAAACCGTGCTTGCGAGACAGGATATAGAAATATCCTTCGGGAAAAATACTCGTATTACTCATTTACAACCAAATTCTGCAGAAAAGTAGAAGAGTAAAAGAAAGAAAAAAGAGTGAATTGTTGAGCAGTGTTCAAACTTTAACTACATGACCTTGCGCGGCCATTCAATATCATGTTGGGCTTTCTTTTATTATTAGTTTGTATTGACGCCTTGCCATCATCCCATTACGTATCACTTCATTTGCCAAGGTTTGCATGTGCAAGTGTTGCTCGAGAGGATGATATCTGCTCTCTTTATGCCTTTTAACTAACAGTATACGTTATGAAATTGCAAGCAGTGGCTGATGTGTAACCTGCTTCATTTAGAAGCAAACACCTGCTTGTATCCAGGTAAAATGCCGTAGCTTTGCCAACTGTGCGTCATGTGAAATTACATAGTATTTGTATTTTTTTTTTTTTTTACTATAATACTATGATGTGAGTACATATGTGAGGTATCTTTTCAAGACGCATGGAGTCAAATCAAGAGCATAGATGCATTGCAATTTCTTTTTACGTAAGAATCATTGATATTTCCATGTTGTACTCACGTCTACTCTGATCAGTAGAGCAAGGCCTTCTTTCAACCTTTCCTAACTCAATAAAATCCATATGTTTGCCACATACCACCATTTAAAATTTTCATCTGGCGGTTTCTGTATGCCAAAGTTGACAAATGTTTATATGCCAATAGGATTCAAAAAACAACTTTAATGCATTCTAAAATAATAGTTGTAAGGTGATGGCTCTCACCTCATATACACAGATCTTTTTGCTATAGGGCCAATCGCTCGTGGCAACATACATTATTTCATAGATGCAATTTAATTAATAACGATATACATTAGATGGTAGTGATAAATTGATTTAAAGTACAATAAAGTAGGTGGCAATGGTAGATACCACCAAAATGTTCATAATTTTAGATGTAGTCATCAGTCCAAATGATGATGAGCCACCACTACTGGCCAAAGCATTCATGACATCTGTATCCAAAAAGCCAAAGCCAGAGAAGGTGGTGTTCATAGTAGCACTGCCGACTGCCGTTGTATTACCACTGGCAGTGTAACCAGGCATAGTAATCAAAAGTAGCTTGTTGACTCTGGTAGATGGCGCAGACTCTGCTCCCCAAATCCAATCATCCGTGCTGTAGGCAGGTGCAGCAGCCACTGTATTAGCATCGATACCATTTGTCCAAGCAACAGCCACACCACCGGAGGCGTCAGAGATGTTGACAGTGGGTTGATACTCTGAGCGGCCCTCTGTGTAATCGCCAATGGATAAGCCGTAGGTGAGGTTGGTCTTGATTTGATTAGCGACATCGAGAGGTGTGGTCATATTGACATCAAAATTGACCGGCTCATTAGCGTGAGTGGACAGCAATTGAGCCACGCCCAAGCGAGCATTGGGATGAGCATTGGCTACTGTGGTAGGGAATCCTTCTAGGCTAAAATCGTATTGTAACGAGTTGGGTTGCATAATGATAGGTGCTGTATTATTCAATTGCAAATTACTGGTGCGGTAAGTGATGCGAACAGTGAAATTGGGGCTTCCAGTAGTGTTGCCTGCCGTGTTGTTGTATGCCACTGTAGCAGCGGTGCCTGTCTGGAGATAGGATTGAGTGGCATTGTTGGGCACAGTCAGGTTGGTCACTTGGAATGGCTGCCATGCTAGGTTCTGCAACGAGGTCACTGAATAAATTTGCTCATTGGCATCGTAGAATCCATTCTGGTTGGCATCCTCAAACTCAATGACCTGAGAAAACTGCAAACGGTAGACGAAATCAGCATTGCGAGCATTGTGATCTGACGAGGCAAAGAATGCATGATCCACCATAGGATACTGGTTGTTGGTACTTATATTGAACGAGATATGGTAGTTGTCGTCCTTGCCAGAATTGGCTGTGCCATTGATGATGACATTGTTTGTATTGCTACCTTGTTCGGTAAGCTGTGGTGCGTAGTAATAGCCGTTATTTTGATTGTAACGATGATACGCTGAATGATAGCCATAAAACAAGAAGGGCGGCATGATGGCAAAGTAGGTGAGTGCTGGATTGTAGAAACCTGTGTATCCGTACCGAGAGGCTGGGCTGTATCCACCTGAATAAGCGGGAGGGTAGTTGGTGTAGGATGCTAGCAAAATGTCATTAGTGTCTATATGGCAATATGCGCTCGTGGGATGCAATGGCTTACATCGTGTGCTAGAATAGTAGGAGGGTGGTGCTCCACCAAATCCTCCACTTCCACCCTTGGACGAGACACTGTTGGGGGTAGATCCTGTGCCTGTACACCATTTGGATTAGTCTCTGAATGCTGTTGCTGGCAAGTGTGTCTACTGTTTACCTGCTACACCTCGGCCACCTGTACTTCCTGTGCTGCCAGTACCACGGCCGCCTGTAGAACCTCCACTGGATCCACCGCTGGATCCTCCTCGTGAGCCTCCACTTGAGCTTCCACCACCTCCACCTCTACCACCGCCTCCACCTTTAGCAAGGACGGCTGTTGTACTTGCCATGTGAGTAAGATTTTTTTTTCTGGAATGACAACAACTTACACAGTGTGCAATATATCAGCACAATGCTTGTTTTCAGCATCAATCTCATTTTTTAGGAATAAATTCTATGTATCAATTGAGAAGAAGAAAAAGAGGATAGAAAAACCAATAGATTTATAATCCTCCATTTCTCTCAAGAAACAGTGTAAAAAGAAGTCCAAGAACAAGCTGCGTGTGTCACTTGCCTTCTTGGTCAAGATTCGTACCTTTATTTTGCGTTTTGTGCATGTAGCTGAGATATGCTGAGCAGCGGCAAAAGTTTTTTTTTTTTTTTTTTTTTTTTTTTTTTTTTTTTTTTTTTTTTGCACAAGGCTGGTGAAATGTGTAACAGCTTTACTTGCATCAGTTGTTTGTGTATACTGTGAGGGACGCATTTGAATTGAAATTAGAATGAAAACTGACAGTTTGAAATGTAAGAGTTAGTTTGTGCGAGATGTACTCGGTCAAGGATATTATTAAAGAGCCATATCATCATAGTGACCTAATACATTGACCAGCTACAACATCTCAACCTGACAAACATGCTTTTGTTTACGCACAGACAAATGCTCGGTAATTTGAACGGCGGCCTATTGTGTCAACTGTGCCACAAAGGCATGTAATTTTGGCTTTGAAGGAATCGATGTGTCCATATATATCTATGATCATCGCATTTGCTAAGCAGTACATTCATTTTTTTTTAGCTTCTTTGTACACTATGCTTAGACTTCGGCCGTTTTGCTACTAGTGATTGCGGCATCTCCTTTGGTCGATGATGTAATTTTCGTCTACAAGACGTGGAACTATATAGTAAGTGGCAAATCCAAGGAATGGGTAACTCTAGGGATCACATTTGAGGTTTACAAAAAAAAAAAAAAGATCACACTTGAGGTTCTCAAATTCAGCGTTGCCATCATTCATGAATGTACTGATACTATAAATGGCGACAAATTTTCATTTGCTTCATCAACTACTGTATTCCTGCTTACCAGTGCAATAATACTTTCTATCTAAAAAGGCTTTGCATTCAAGATATCTTACGGCATTTGTGGATAGGTTGGCAATGTTGGATTTTGCATTGACCCAGCATTTGAAGATGTACTTTTTGCAAATAGTATATTTACCAGATATGAGATTTCTTGAGAAAGTTAAGACCAAGTAGCAAAACCAAAGTACAGCTCCTAATTTCTTCTTGTTAGCTTCAAATACATCGATTGCTTTCGTAGATTAAGCAATATTCATGCTGTCTGCATAGCAGTAGCCCCCCAGCCAGAAATTGATTAACATTCCGCTCGACGTTTTGTTGTTTATTTGCTAATTTTTAAACTTTTTGGACACTATTAGACCTATTTTGCCAGATTTGATTATATAAATCGCAATGATCGTGCTATATGCCCTTATGCTTTCTGAAAGTACTTATCAAGGCGCTTCCAGCGGTACTGGTCAAAAGAATTGTTTTGAAAAAGCTTATCAAGTAATTCGTAAAAACATGAAATGAGGGTTTTGCCAAGAATGTCGAGATTTTGAATACGAAAGTCTCACAAACACACTTTTAGGAGTTGCGTTGGATTGGGAGAAACATTTTAGTCTCATATATGCCTTAGTGGAAGTCTTCATTTTTGGAGTCAAAAACGCGATCGTTTGATTTTCGATGAAAACTATGAGGTACCTCTCATGGTTTGGAGTCGATTTTTGGCGATCCCATAAAAATTGAGCAGAGGTGTCAGTGAGCAAGTGCTAGACGAGAAAAACTGTTTGTTGCTATTCTGGAAGTCTAAAACGGCTTTTAACGCGAGGAAACGCGACTCAAGTGCATCTAAATTTCGCTGTGTTTTACTTACTCTTGGGTAGTTGGAGGCAATGCGAGTCGATTATCCGCATGTATTTGAACTGTTTTCATTCAAGCAGATGTGCAACATCCAGGAGTGCCAGAGCCACAATGACGGGTAGTTTATGGAGGCTGTTTACTTGATAATGGAAGATTGAAATGCGGACAGCGTTTATTAGTAGGATGAGCTTGCAAGATTAATCATGTTAATGTAATGAGAATTGGCTGTTTGCCATCCAATGGGCATTGATTGAAGTACTGACCAAATGCTAGCGACTCTAGCTTACAAAATCTTTAATACTCATCCTTTACGCTGATAAAATGTCCCACAGCATGCTTATGATAATGAGCAAATGTATCGATGTGTGAACGTCTGACTACGATCCCTGAATCAACGCAATGCGGTTGATCTCAAATGATGCCGGTCTTAATAATGTGGATGAAGCTCCAGTGAACAATTGGTTGATTGATGGCTTTGATATTTCTTCTTTTCCAGAATTATTATTGTCACAGTTCTTGTCTGCTATAGCGCATCATATTCTCTCAAACATCACGGCAGGTATCTATCAGCATTTGCTCACTACCAAGTTGTTTTGCCACGCGCGCTTTTTATAAGCGTTAATAAAGACAACCCCAAAATTTCAAACCAACCATGCATGTCCTTAAAAAGCAATACTGCAATAATTTAATTTGTATATATGAATGGTTTTGAAAAAATTACATCAAGAGTTCAGCTGCTGCAATCATTGTGATCAAAGTGGCCACAAATAGATTGGTTTGGTTGCCCACGGCGTTGTTTTTCTTTTTGTTGGTCTTTACCACACAATCAACAGAACATTGGAACGCCAAACTTTGAGGATTGTTGATGATGCTCTGATCGGGACAGGATTGGAATTGATTTGGGATCATGTAGCAGTAACCAAGAGCAGGAGGTGCCATCGAAGAGGGGAACTGTCCATTCAATGCATTGTAGTTGAGATTGAGACTTTCGAGCTTGGTGAGCTGGTCGATTTGGCTGGGTATAGGGCCGGTGATGGCATTGTGTCCGAGGTTACTAAGGATGTGTTTGATTAATATTCAGGTGCTACACTCCATATGACACGCGCTTCACTTACAGCTTCTTTACATTGACAAGTTGGCCTAGCTTGGGAGATAGATTGCCAGTCAGTCTATTATTGGACAGATCCCTGTGGTGTGGATTTGTTAGACACCAAATACTCGAAGACATAGGCCAACACTTACAATACTTCCAATTTTAGCAGCGAGTAAATCTCTTCAGGAATAGATCCGTTTAGCATTTGGTGCGACATGACCCTGCACTCGATTAATAAACTTACATGCGTACGAGAATCTAATTATATACGACTTACAAGGATTGCAAATTTGTCATATTGCCGACCGAGGCAGGAATATTACCAAGGAGATGATTGTCCTTGATGTTTCTGTGTACGATATGAGTATTTCATTCATATGCGTGTATAGAGTTCACTCACAATTGTACCAAGCTAGAGGCACTACCCAAATTGGCGGGCAAAAACCCATTCAAAGCATTGTTATCTAGGTAGCTATATGAAAATGAATACCAGCTTATCATGCATACATCTACACACTTGATATACATACAGAGACTGCAGCGATGTCATTTGAGTGACCACGGTAGGAAATGTACCTGTCAAATTGTTGTTGCTAAGATACAGATTTTGAAGCGACTTCATGTTTGCCCATGCATCTGGGATGGTGCCATTAAAAGAGTTATTTTTAAGATGGCTGCATGTGGCACAACTATGTGAGTGGATCGTCCATTATTATGTCATGTACGCCCATAACTTACATGTTGGTGAGATTGACCAGTGTGCTGAGGCCAGCGGGAAGGCCACCAGAGAGCTGATTGACATCTAAATTACTGCATTTAAATCAGCTTATGAGTGGGTTGTCTAATAACCTAAAGCATACACTTACATGGATTTCAAACTGGCAAGTTTTCCAATACTGGCGGGCACAGATCCAGAGATGTTGTTGTTACTCAAATCACTATTATAAATAGACCGCATTTTTTTAGACTCTGGTTCTATGAATTCTTTTTCGAATATTACATGTTTTGGAGATCTGGAAACTGGTCAAAGTTATTTGGGAGCTGTCCAACAAGGTTATTGTATGCAAGATCACTGTATCGTAAGGAGACAAAAAAACAAGAGCGAAAGAGGGGTTGTTAGTGTCGAATGCAAGGGGGGGCTCATCTTTACATGTGGAGATAAAGAAAACGAAGAAACTTACAGCTTCAAGACTTGTCCAATGCTGTTACAATGAACGTTATACCAGCTACAACAAGTTGACATGTTTGTAGAATCCCATCCAGTGCGGACAATCCATGTGTTTCCATTCAGCGAATTGTACAATTGCTGCAAATTCTGACATACAGTAGGGTTTACTGTCTTGTTCACTGTGGGGAGGTCAGTTTCGATGGAGGTAGGTTGCGACGTTGCGTCTGATGATACGGTAGATGTGGCTGTTAAAACTGCTGATGATTCATTGTCGATGGCTGTGGATGTGGCAGTGATTTCACTTGCAATGGCTGAGGACGTCTCTGATGCAATGGCTGAGGATGTGTCTGATGCCGATGTTTCATCTCCAGTTGAGTCGTCCTCTTGACAGATGGCAAATGCCACTAGGAATAGCAGAAGAAGCAAAATGTTACTCTTCATTGTGCGAAATGAACTAGGAAAAAAGAGAATCAGAAAGAAAGCAAGTGATACACAACTTATAAGGGGGATTAAACAGAGAAAGGCAATTCAGGAACTGAAAACATCAAAATAGCCAGCCTGTGACCGGGACGAGCTGGCTACACGTGCTGAAAATAGCTTGATCTGGGAGCTATTTATATCAAGCAAATCACCAAAACTCTACACCTCTTTTCTTTCTTCAAACACTCACTTTGACCCTATTACAATGTCCGAAATCATCATCCGAGTTGGTATTCTTAATGCTAAAAACCTTGCTGCAGCGTAAGGCATTCATCAAACAACACTATCTCATTGTATGCTTATTTGTTTATCTTATTTATAGTGATAAGACTGGATTCTCAGATCCATATGTTGTAATGCGAGTAAAGTAAGTCCCATCTCACAACTCCACATGGAGAAATCAGGCTCTCAACAAATCAACTCGTCGATAGCCACAAAAAGTACAAGACCAAAGCCATCAAACAGACATTGGATCCAGTGTGGGATGCTCACTTTGACATCAAAGTCTCTCCTAAAAAGACGCCTACTTTGTTGTCATTCACCGTTTGGGACAAGGACACATTTGGCAGAGATTTCCTCGGCGAAGTGACAATTCCATTCAAGAACATTTTTGATAGAAACAACCAAGGTGTATCAGACGGTGTACCTCGAAACTACAAGGATCCCAGCAATTACGAAGCCTACTTTCAGTTGGCAAAGAGGAGTGAAAAGAACAATGTCTCGGGAGACCTTTGCCTAAAGTTTGGCATACTGGAAGATCACATTGGAGATGTCAAAAGGTAATTTGCCCATTGTGTGCAGTGTTGTGATGAGAAGAGGGCCGTGCTTTAACCCGTATCTTGTCTAGATATGCTGATGCTTGGGAGCTATTGAATCCTTAGACTGCCATATACACATGCTTAGATATCACTTATTTATACCTCTATCACTCTTTACTTGTATATCACACCCTCCCTGATTATTTTTAGAGCTGAATGTACAACCATCATTGCACATTAGGCTTTGCAGCTCAGTTGATTAAATCAATTTACATGTTGGAATACCGCTTTCACGATAGAGTGCCTGAATGGATCGAACAGAGTTTAGACGTTTTGGCTAAATGGTGGAGAGTATTGTGTCTATCATACAGTGGGAGCTTTTAAACGACTGCTTGTATTTAGAACTTACATGACAAGCACATGGCAAGCATTGCAAATACATCATAACAGAGAGAATATTTATAATATTAAGTGCTATAAAGGCCTACCGCCTTTTGTTTTTGCTGGCTTTTTAGAAAAGCCTGTATCTAAAATAGTAATGACACTACAATTGCAATGGTAACAAAGATGGCATTTTCCAGTTGATTATGCATGCCATTACTGGCAGCATTGGACGAGCCTGATTTGTTGGTAGCAATGCCATTACTGCCGTCTGTCCGGTTGACAGGTACAGCAGTGTCCTTGTATTGACATTCGGTGGATGTGCAGAGGCAGGAATTTCCAATAGGATCCCACCATTTTGTGCTATGTATACATGTAATTAGTATTGATTTCCTACAATGTTTGAAAGACAACTTGCAGTTATTGGGAAGAGGATAACGGAACCCAGCTGAGCCATTTTGAGCTGCCGTGGCAGGCTTGGGTGTATCTAATGTAGGTGCCGTGCTTGAGCAGTTGAAGCATGTATTGAAGGGAGTTGTACCAAAGTTGCAGCTGTCATATCCGTGTTAATATATCGGAACATTCTCTGAGAAAACGAGCCTTACCTGTTTAAAAGGCCATCGTCAACATTGGCATTGTTATCATCGTCAAGACCGTTACAAATCCCTTTGGCGATAACAGGCTGTTCACAACGCATGTAGTCTTGCTTTCCTAGTTCAGATGCTTTGACAGGATTCTTCATCCATTGCAGCAATTGCTGATTTGTCACAAACCATACGTCAGGCTTCTCTAAGAGTGTTTTGATTAAAGACACTAGACCATCCAGTTTGGGAGCACGATCGGGCGAACCAGGATAGCCAGTCAAATGAGCTATGAATGCGTTGTTGGGACAAGTATACCACTCTATCTAACCTGCAGACCGTGCGAGAACGTGTGACTATAATATATAGAGCAAGTATAAGTGAATGGTGTCCATTTGAATCAGACTTGAACAAGACACTTACTCTGCAATCTCGTTGCCTGAGGAATACCATTGTTGTACCAAGGAAAAATCTGTATACTGCATGGAGACATACCTCATTGTGTATAGTCCATTATTGAGTGTGTGTGTGTCTCACTCTGTAGAAATGATTAGACCACTTTACCATGTACCACGACCTGAGCAGCCATTGGGGTTACTAGACGGTATAATAGTGATTAGATATATAGTACGGATATGCAAAGAAAGGCAACCTACGTGACATTCAGCATGCGCTTTGCTGTCTTGTACAGTTGAGGTTGAATGGAATCATCAAATGTCACTGTAACAAACTGAGGTGTGTCACTTGGTGCTAATCCATTAGGTGGATTCTTGGAAGCACATACACAGCCACTAGCAAGTTTGCAGACATTGGGATCGCAAGAGTAAGTGCCAGCAGAAGCTGCTGCACCTGGTTGCACTGTATTGCCTTCAGATTGCGCACATGCCAAGCTAGCAAAGGCAGCAGTAGCAGTAGCAACAACTGTGATGGGATAGAATTTCATGTCTTTTTTCAAATAAATTTTAGAGTAAAAGAAGAGAGAACCAAGAAAACGAATCCAAGGTATATAACGATTGTTTTCAAACTGATGTACATTTTGTTGTTACTCCTGTGCATAAAGTTAATTTGAAGATGGTTTAGCTTAGGAGTAGCTGACACTTCAAAGGGGGGGGGGGCTTACGAGATCTCTCACTCATTAGGAGGGAGATCTCCTTGGTTTTGTTTTATAACCCAAAAATAGCTGAATACGAACAAAACGCTCCTCATTGTAAGCATCGTGTTATTCAAGGTTTTATTCAGTGGTCTGTGCAGTTTATCAAGGGCAAATTTATTTGCGATGTCTAATACAAAACTCGTTCATTCTCTTGTAGGCTTCTTCAAGGCGATCGTAAGTGGGAGTGATGACAAATCTGACAAAATTGGGATAGTTGAAGCACTATAGAGGTTTTGTTAGTCGCCATTCTTTTCACATGTTCCGAACAAAGCACAATTTACCTCTCCTGGAAGACAAACAACGTTTTCTTCATCCAACAACTTGGCACTGAAATCAACATCGGACTCAATATCCTTGAATTTCTCGACTTCAATGCGAACCATCATGTACATGGCACCTTGGGGATTCACTGGGACCATACCATCAATCTTGGCGACTTCTCTCATACTTAGCTCGACATTGCTTTCCAGTTGCTTGATGGTCTCTTGGTAGAAGGAGGCTGGTGTTTTCTCCAGAATGTCTGGAAGGGCTGCTTGGATCAGAGAATTGGGACCAAGGATAAGCTGAGCCAATTGATGGAGGCCATTGTGGATTTCTGCAAAGGCACCGTTACGATCGTGAATCATGATCCATCCAACTCTCCAACCAGGCACCAACCATTTCTTTGCAAGGCCGCCCACTGCTAACACAGGTACTGTAGATGTCAAACTGGCCATGGGGAAGAAGCTGCTTCCTTCAAATACAAGATCGCAGTAGATTTCATCAGCAATCACTGGAACATGGTACTTTTCTGCCAAGGCTAAAATAGCCTCTAAATGTTGACGTGAATATACAGAGCCACAAGGATTGGAGGGGCTGATGAACAGTAAATTAGTAACAGTAACGCTGAAAGTAGTGTGTGCTTACTTGTTGACAAGGATGGCGCTTGTTTTATCATCAATCAAAGATTCCATTTGTGCCAAATCTGCCTCCCAGTTTTGCTCAGGCTAGATGGATGAATCAGCAATCAAACCATACACACGATCCATGCTATCCACTTACCAGTAAGTTGTAATACTTGGGCTCGACAAAACGAGTAGCAGCTAACGAAGCATAAAGTGAGAATCCAGGGCGAGGCAAAAGGATGTTTTGGCCCTCATTGCATAGAACATTGATACACATTTCAAGAGCACCGGAACAACCATTAGCCAAAATAACATCATTCGCTGTCAAAGGTGCCGCAGGGTCGCTGTTGGCTTGAGCAATGGCAGTACGGGCAGCCAATGTACCTGAAAACATAGAGTTTATCTCATGCCACCATCGCGGCTTGGATATGAACACTTACCATCAGCTGGAGGATAGCCGTTTGCTTTGAAGCTGTTTAGTTGCTTTGCAACTGCATCATTGATACTGGGATCCACATTGAAGTTACCAAAGATAGTTGGATCACCTGTGTATTGTGTCAAAAAATGCACTCTTTTTGTCTCTGTGTGTATGTCATCTTACCAATGGATAAGCTGATAAGAGGCTTTGTGGCATTTGGATTCAACTTGAGCTTATCGACGATGGCTCTGATGGGGTTGTGTGCTTGATTAGCAGTTCTTGAAGCTTTGATATTCCAGGCGGCACGGTCTGAACTCATGATAGTTGTGTGAGAAAAGTGGAAAAGAAACGTATCCAGTTTTTTATTTTTTTTTATATAAATGTCATGACTCATGGTACAAGAGCTGACTGGGATTCAACCATATACAGTAGTCTTGTACCTTTCTGTCAATCTCATGAACATAATACATATTCTTTTGGAATATTGGGGATGCAGCATCGTTAAGGCAAGTTTGCCCCGCATATCCCATGCAAACTAATAGTACTTTTTTGCGTTGTAATAGGTAACAAGAAACAGCAGAGTCAGCACGAATCCTTCAAAAGACGAAAGACGGCCTTATGTCCTACTAAACGAATATATGCAAGGCGTGAGAAACGACAGAAAACCTATATCTACTCAATTTATTGATCGCTTCTCTGTTTCATGCGCTAGCACAACATCTGCTCCCATGATTGAATCTACGAGCCTTTTCGGTTGTGAGAATAGGCTGCTTCCTATACACAGTGATAAAAACTTGGCCATTTTATTGAAACAATTTAGCAGCATGTAAAGATTGCTGAATGACAGACAATTTTGTATCGTCTCAGCTGTAGTAGATAACATCAGTAAATATACGAGTGTGTTTATGCTTCGGATGGCTCTCTACCTTTGCTTCGCTTCAGTGAGAACCAACCTGTGCAGCAGCAACTCGCGCTACCGATTACCCTTGCCCATCTTAACAAAATACTGCTACTTTTATTTTGATCCTCTACTTACACATAAAAACCCATTATATTATATGTGGATCTGATTCTTATGTAATGCTTTACATCCATATACACGTAGCTATTTCATATACGGGCAAGTATCATACAGATATTATCCTTTTTTAGTCAAGAATGTGCCTAATACAGCAAAATGTGAGTGCATTTCAGCTGCGTTTTCTTGCGTTCAAGGCCGTTTTAGGTGGTCAGAATAGTACCAAACAATTGCTCTCATCTAGCGCTTACTTCCAATCAACAATCACTGAAGAGGATGAGGGATTATTTCAACAATTTATGCAGCAAAATCAAGATTATCATATAACATTCAACCCAGACGACAACATCGAAGACTCAAGGCTCTACTCTCGCTTCTACATTCAAGTAAATTGGTTTGGTTTGGTATCTACAGTGGCAGGTGAAGACAACCGCGAAACTCGCTAATCTTTGTGCCGATGGGTAAATACGTTTGTGGATGACCCCCTTCCTGAGACTATAGAGTTCAACTTGAGACTGAAACTATTGGTGCGTCATTATTTTGATTCCATGCAAGAAAAGCTTGGGGACAGCTCAACGTCAATGTACATGTATAGATTGGAGGTTAAGCATCCGGACCCGTAAGTATAAGAGATGTGAATTTGAGACGAAAATGAGAATGCAACTCATGGTATTTACGTCTCAGGAGCGAACCATTGCCTACCCGTGGCCTAAATCCGTTGGAAATATCATCTCGAAAAAAATAGTGGGACTTGTGGACAAAATATGTACAAATGATGGTGATGGCTAGCACTTCTTCAATTGGATCAACAGATGAATGGGATGATAAGCATGCAACATATCGTAAGTACGGTCAAGTCATCTTTAACGGCACAAATGGATCTACATCGCGGGCGTTTGGTTTGGAAATAGCCAGAAGAATTACAGAAATGACACAAGCTTGGGATGGATACAGAGTGACAGAGCATATTTACCCTGTATTGCACGAGTTTTTTATGTCTTTGATCAATGAGGAGGCACCAAAAGCAAACGAAGAGTTCAAATCAACAATCACAATATTCACTGCCTGTTCACAAATCGACATGCACGGCAAATGGAAAAATGTTAGATATGTCAAGTCTGTTCCTGCCCGTTTGAAATACTGCTTTCGTAGTATTGTTTTATACGACATTTTGCTTAAATCAAACCAACTGAATTTTGCCGATCAACGTCAGGCTGTGCCAACTAGTGTTGAAGATGGAGAAGAAGATGACGGCGAGGATGAGGACGAAGGCAGTTTTGAGGAGGATGATATGGCGTTCCTGGAAGATGATTGAATAATAGAAATTAACTTGTATTTTGTTGACAGTATCAATTGGTTTATGTGTTGATAAAATGCGGCAAACTATATGAACAGTGGGGCTTATATAGCACAGTGAACAGAGATTAGGCTGGTATGATTGAGTAAAGACACTATGTATGAAATTGTACTTTTAAATTGGTTTAAAACGTTTATGGATTGTATTGTAAGATCAGCAGGTAGGGTAACTGCGTTGAGCCTAATCTGTATTGGATTTAAGCGTCATCTGAAGAAAGCTCGTCTGCATCAAGGCTATCCAACTCTTCTTCATCAGAGCTATAATCCGCAAACTTGATATCATCAAATTCATCCCCAAATTCATCGTTCAATTGATCGATTAAAAAAAGGGATCTCAAGCTTATGTGCCTAATTTATATATGTTGTTTAGAGAATGCTGATGCCACACTTGAAATATACCCATACTTACTCTTCGTACTAATGATAAAGGGACTACCTCAGGAATTAACAAAGCATAATGGCCAGCGTGTTGAGATAACAGCACCAAGCGCTCACATACCCTCAAAAATTCTGCTCCTCGATTTTTGTTGTTACCTATGAACATTGAATTTGAATGGCTAAATTCCAGATTAATAAAGACACTTTTATGCTTAACAAACAAACCCACACGGATCGATATTAATTCTGCCTTCTTGGCAGCAGGATCTTTGTGGCGAGCCACTTCACGGCGAATAATCTTGCCTGCATTGTAGGCAGCATGTAGGGCAAGATATTGCTTAATGCCAGACTTTTTCTCGACAGAGTAGTTTTGGTATATGTTGAATACCCTATTCAAGTCGGTAGACACAGTACTGTTGGACTCTGTGGTGGTGCCTAAAGTAGTTCAGCGATCATCGCCAGTACAAAGAGCAGCTCTTTCAGCCAGATCCTCCTTTGCCGTGATCATCTCGGCTTTCCAGGAGTCAATCTCTATAGAACAAACATGAGTCAAACTAGCATGTGATTTGAAGTACAATAAAAACATACGCTTCAGAGCCTTTTTGGTAAAGAACTCCCTTCCGTCCCTGATTGTTTTGGAGCGTTTGGTTGATCTCGTTTCATCGGACACTATGCTGGCATTGTCGTTACCAACAATATCGTTGTCTTCTGCGGTTGTAGTAGCAGTTGGCAAAGTCTCTGTATCGTAAAGAAACAGGTACATGTCCTTCGCGTTCTCTATAGATCTCAAGTTAAGACATGGTTGTAAATATATATGAAATTTGACATACCTCGCGTGACCATAGAAGCAAGCGTGTCAGCGACGTCTTGCAGCTTTTTTTTTCTCGTCCTCGTCCATGTGCGAGCTCATGTACTGCACACTTCTTCTCTTATGATCCAACTTCAATCTGATGTGGTCATAATAACGTTTGTTGTTAGAGTTGTCAGACATGATAATAACAGAGTGTCAAGGAGGTAACTGAGTGTAACATATTAAAATTAATTAGTATATCATATTTAATTGGTTGAGCCCCGTCTTTTCGCTTACTCCAAATATACGTCTAAATACAATGACACCCACATCAAACTCTGAAAAAGAAGCGTTAGAGTATGTCCAGGTAACAAAAGACAATGCGTTTTTCAGGCTTACCGGTATAATGCGTCAGGCAGAGGTTTTTGGGGCCGACCAACCAACGATCCCAAAGATTATTTGGTCTGCCACCAGCAATTACAGGTCGTTATTTTATAACGGCCATGAAATCAGCATCAACAGTATCTCAAGATTGCTACTTTCGCTGAAAGACCAGGCAAACTTGATCATGCACGATGATCTTTTACTAGGTGCCAATGTGCCTTGTTTGGGTGATCCCGTCGACGAAGACAACACCGAGTACGTCGATAAAATGAGTTCAGAGAGAATTGGGTACTCCTTCTTGAACGATGTCGAGAATGAAGCGCTCGTCGATTCAAAGACAAGTGGGTACATCCCACGCCATATCTTGTCAAATCGAGAGCTTAGAGAGAGATTTTTTGGCTTGGACGGCAGCACGCCTAATCATTTAACGCTACAAGGATGGCTAAACCAATGCGAGCAATATGTCAAGTTCTTGGCCACCATTATTCACATCGAAGCAGGTCAGCCAACAAGGGGGACAGAAATTTCAAGTTCGACAATCATCAATAATTCAAAGGGTGGTGTTAAGCACAAAGAATAAAAGGATTATTATTTGTAGCTTATAAAAAATGTTCGATATTATAAAAACAAGAAAAGACTTATTTGAATAAGATCAGACACAAAAAACTAAAGATTTATTGATGAAGACAAGAGTTATTCTATTTATACTAAGTTCTGAATGCCAAAATAGCAATTTATCTTGTACAACGTTTATCACATCTGATGAACCTCAGTATTTAGATAGCTGAGATGCACTTCACTTATCATAGCTTGTCCATGTTGTTGCACAACACAGACATATCTACCCATCAAGAATACCTTAATCTTTATAGACAGTTGTAGCCCTTCTGGCACAACAATAAAGTATCTGTAGCTAGTATCACGGATATAAGCATGTGTCTTATAGCGTGGATCATAAAGTGCACAACATCTGAAGCAACAAGCTCGTATTGCATTAATCTTGGTGCTTATCCAGATATGGTAAACATCCGTAGTCAATGTCGGAATACAAGTATAAGTCTATAGCGCCATCCATGTCCGTGGTGCCATCTATAGCCTATAGCTTATATAGTATGAATCTTATAGTACTAGCGTATCTGAAGTCCATATCTTCTTATAGTATAAATCGATATCGTACATCTAATCCAGTGTACATACAGTTTATATATAAATCTAGTAACTGGATGAACTGTCGGAATTCAGATCATAGTGGATGTATTCCACAGCATGTATTTTACTAACGTTTATTTGTGTTACAGCACACTACAATACCCTTGACATTTACTGCAGCTCAGTATCTGTCATCTCTTGCTTTCAAAGTATTTCACCTTATTATCATCAAGCTAATGCTATTATTATGTATGCTTATCTGCTGACGACAGCGTGGCTAGATTGAGATGACATTTATTTTGGATATTTTTATGATGGGAATCTAGTCTTCTAGTTCATTCACTCGGAATTTCGAGGTATTTCTTCGTTTCACGATAGCTTTTTTTGTGAATTAATAATCTGAACCAGCTGTTGTGCCAGAAGGGCTACAACTGTCTTTAAAGATTAAGGTATTCTTGATGGGTAGATATGTCTGTGTTGTGCAACAACATGGACAAGCTATGATAAGTGAAGTGCATCTCAGCTATCTAAATACTGAGGTTCACCAGATGTGATAAGCGTTGTACAAGATAAATTGCTACTTTGGCATTCAGAACTTAGTATAAATAGAATAACTCTTGTCTTCATCAATAAATCTTTAGTTTTTGTGTCTGATCTTATTCAAATAAGTCTTTTCTTGTTTTTATAATATTGAACATTTTTTATAAGCTACAAATAATAATCCTTTTATTCTTTGTGCTTAACACCAGCAATCTAATTATACTTTTAGAGGTTAAGTTCGTCTATCAGTTATTTACTGCACATACTGTAGGCATAAATAGAAAGAATTATTACACCTAATAGTGGTGCAAATGATATTAACATTCAAAATACGCAAAAGCATCAAGCATTTGAGCAGACAGGCGGGAATAATTGCTTACTTTTGAACGCTTACAAATACCCCAATCCTGCATCTTTTGACTCAGACTTTTTGAATAAAAATACTTTGAAGTCTCAAAAAAGATTTCCATGTCAAAAAAAACCATGTTTATAAGTATCTCGCGGCACAATACTCCCTCAAAGACAATGACTCTGCTAAGCCGATTTAATCGGGGTTCAAAATTAAACTGACTTTAAAACTATTGATGTAAAAATGGCATCGCAAGAGTGCTGTTTTGATTTCATAAGAATATATTATACAAATAAAAATACTGTTGTAAGTAGACAGTGTGATAGCACGCAACGAGATGAATCGATTTATGATAAAAATATGCAATAATCTGGTCTTTTCCAGTACGAATATATCAAAAAGAAGAAGTTTCAGATGTTCCGGATACAGGAAAAATGTGGAATTCCGGGATATTTTACTTTCCACTGGCTTTGGGAAGAAAACCATACTTTACAATGCCGGCAGTGTTCAATTTGTATCCACTCAGCAAGTAGACATTACGGCGAAAACCTTGGTGCAAATACACCAAGTTTAGAGTAAAAGCACCAAGATTTAGATCATTTGCACCAAAATTGGGGTTTTGAAGGTGCATTGGATTTTTTTTTCAATGAAGAATTATCAGCGGTATCACAAAAAATGGATGTACATCAAGTGCTTAACCATTTGAGGAAGTAACGACAGAATATATTACACAAAAACACATTTTTCGAGTATATAAAACTTTGAAATGAAGACTGCAGCACGTATGGTTTGTTATAGCCTAACGAAGGTTTCAAAATCTATCTATAAACATATGTAAAAAGAAGCAAATTAGGCATATTTTTCGAGTAAATGTCAATTTATGAATTCCCAAAGGGCCATCGGGTGCTCAGGAATAATAATACGATTGCCCAATGTGTCCTCTTCTTATACATCTAGTTTGTTATATACGTTTCCGGAACAAATCTAAAGAGAATGGCCTCTAAACACTTTATCTCGCAGTTGAAAATTGATTGTTGCACATGCGGTGTTCAGGATAGTTTTTTTTTGGATTTATCAAATTGTCTAGTTCTTATATAGCTTTTTTGTTCTGCATGTTTAGGCAGGAAATTAAGCACAATATCAATATCTAAAGTTTTTCTCGGTTTTTTCGTAATACCTTCCTATGTGTACAATTGAACGGCAGATCTATCACTATTCTATCAAAACTAAGAGAGATCAAGTAAACATCCATTGAAGAATACCGTATAAACCATGAAGGAAAGGGGAAAACTGAAATTTATCAGAATCATATTTGCGTTGGATCTTGAAAGTCTTTTGTATTTAAAATACCGCTTCAAAGTAGGAGCTAGCAGCGTATTCAGCGCTAAAAGCAGTAGGAAACACCTAATTGATGCTAAAAGTGGTAAAAATCATCTTAGAGATACGGGAGAAACAGCTCAATAGAACCTTTCCGGTTTACAAGAGCAAAAAGACTGTTGTGGGCGGAATTTTAACCATCGTGGCCCTTGTGTTTCGTTGATATTTGCAAAGAATCAGTGTTCAAAGCCTTAAGTAATAGTAGGACGAGGGGAAAACAGAAGGAAGAATTCAATAAAGAATGGAAGGTGAGGGAGACGGCAAAAAAGAAGATATTTGTCGGAATCTGTTTTGTATACACGCTTAGGTTTTAATAGCAAGGATAAAACATAAAAGAATTGGCAATTGAATGAAGGAAAAATAGGAATTTCATACAATTTTAAGATGCCATTGTCTGATAACAGTGCTATTCGCACCAGTGTTTTACTCAAGTTAAGGTTGGGGCACCTACTCCGCAATTAATGGTGCTTTTCGGCACATATTAAAGGAACTGAGCGTTGTTTAGTGAGCTGAATGGGATGTCTTTGATGTCAGAAGCTAAAAGGGAAGAAATGAAGAAGAGGACAACGACATCATGAAGCTGAATGTCTGTTAACTTGCTGGGGGTAATAATACGATGATAAATTCTATATTATCTTTATTATTGAGGTAGCACAAATGAGTTTTTTCCAGGCTTATAAGTCTCTATCGTGGCCCGGAAAATCTTTTCCTTCGTTATCACTTTATATATCTTGTCATTCTCGCTAAAACGCATCAGACCAACTTGGCAAATGACCTGCTCAAATGTGCACACCAGATATGCGGATGAATCCTGGTCATCATCCATCTCCACTATGGGCATCGTCTTGTCATTGTCGTCAACAACATGAGTCTTTCCCAATCGAATAAGCAAGAACAACTCATCGCCAATCCCCTCAATTTCGAGCTTGAACATGAAAATAACAGCCCCTACATAGAAAGCCTTGACTTTGCGACGAGAGTTACCTTAGGAAATTCAGACGTCAATATGGGTTTTGATGAGTAACGATAAAGGCAATAATGAACCTGTGAATTGACATACCTCAAGTGTTCTGCCCATACCATGATGTAGAGGCTTCCTCTAGAATTAGCACCGGTGAGATCGCGGTAGTATTCTGAACGATAAGTGCAGTTGTAAGCCCAGGCACTTCCAGAGACGACAATATCCAGTTGATCATTGATATGGACATTCTGCAGAACATCAGTTGAGTATTGCCGGTCGTAGTAGGACTGCATAGCCTTGACAAAAAGAGGTGTGTTGACGTTGATGGAGGTTGGGATATTTGAAACCGTTGTGTGGATGACTGGATAACAGAGCTGACTTCCGTTGCCATTGTCATTCTTCAGATTTACGAAGGTAATTGGATCGTATCGTCGAGGCACTAAGAGAATGATTCGAGCATCCAGATCATTCAGTTTGTCTTTACCATCGCCTGTACCATCACCAGTTGTAGATGCCTTGATGGCTCGCATAATTGCCAAACGATCAATGATGTTTCCGGCATGTATACCAACATCTGTGCGAGCACTTATCAAGCGTTTGTACCTACCGATGGATCTTTCGATAGATCGACTGGAAGTCGAAGCCGGTAAACCTTGCGCTTTGATCATGTAAGTCAAGTGTCCTAAATAATGGGCGTTTGGTCGAAAGGTCTTGATAGGAAGACGTTTGGCTTTGATTTCAGTGATCAGCAGTTTGTGCCAATCGTTAACCTTACTGTGCAGAGATAGAAAGAAGTAAGTTGTTAGTCTGTGGATAAAACGGGTTTTGTTATTCAAGATGCCAATACTTACGCTTCTATGAATTGTAAGTCTAAAGCATGCAATTCATTCTTCTGCAATACCAAAGCTGCCACTTTAACGATACCCAGAAGAGGTTTTCTGATTGAGTCAGGATAGTGTGGTGCTATCAGGGCTGGAACAATGAAAATCATAAACTCTTCATAGTCAACTGCTCGGTAGTTGGTAACTCCTCCTGGTGCAAAAATCACTACCGCGAAAAACTTAGCGGAAATGCTCTAAAATAGGTGTTTTTGTTGGTGCTTTTTTACAGCCAAAGTATTTGGAAAAGTTGGTGCTTTCGGTACAGGCTTCAAAATTAAAACACTCTAAATTTGGCGTCAATGCGCTAAGTGGTACAAATTGAAAATATTCCATCAACATTGCGGCACAAAAGTAAACCTTATTGAAAATAGAAACTGTTGTATAGCCGATGATATTTACTGCATTACACAACAATTGAATCCTATACCGTGCAACGTTGTTCAGCTAAAAGACCAATAGTTGCTCATGGGGATTATGACATTGGAATGATATAATTGGTGGATCTTTATTAATAGAATGCGCTATATATTACTCCTGGGGCAATTGTTGGGGCAGCAATCGTGCGATTATTGGATAGAATGATATGGAAAGCAGGATTATTGATGGATAAAATTGTCTTTTATTGATGGAAATATAGCAGAATATAGAATCATTGCTTTCAAATACATGCAGCGTGCTATACACATGGTAATGGGACGTTGCTCCGTTGGGTAGGCAATTCCTTTGACTCGTTATACAGCAGTTAGCTAGCTACCCTGTCATTCAAGAGCCTCCTGATTGTATTAAAGATAAAGCGGCAATAGCTATACATGTTTACCCATTACGAAGAGTTCCATACAAGAGTAACAGAGATGAGGATTGACATGGAGATAAGCAGCCAGATTAGAGTTGATTGGCACCCACCACACGAGTATCTAAATGCAAAACTAATGTTAGTCATAGAGTTCAATCCTGAAAAATATTTAACAGCATACCACATTTGCCACGTACCATCATCGTAAACTTGACACACAAGCAGAACAACAACAACAGGATAGGAGGCGGTCATGAGAAACTATAAGAGATGATAGGAAATGTGAGCAACGATGGTACGGCACGATGTAAGATGCACAGAGTGATTGACAACTTACAAATATACTTTAGTATATGCTGATTAGCGAAGATCTTCCAGCAGCAGCACCAGGGGAGGATGTTCTATTCTATATTCAATGTTTAGTCACTGCCATACTTCTCAGATGATGCTCCTTACCTACCGTTATTCCCACAGAGATGATTAAAACGGTGTGATACTAATAGGCAACAGCCACATTCGAGGAGAACCTACTGCGTTATCATCTGGCGTATGCTGCCGATAATATGTTTTTAATAAGAAAGCCACCAACAGAAACATTTGGTCAGATAAATTACTTACTTTGTACCAGAAAATGAATTGAAATTACGGAAAGAAAAGAAAAGAAAAAGGATTTAAAATAATTCACGAAAAAAATACTCTTTTTATAGACAAAATTTAAAGTTTTATTACAGCATGTCATAACCATCAGAGTAGTAATAGTCATCAGCATCATCATTCAAAGCCCACTCCCCCCAAACATACGTTATCCAACGATCCGAAAGCTTTTGAAAGTCATCAACGTGTTCCCCCTCCATTGTAAAGCACATTGCTACTATAAGAGAAGAATAGACACACTGCATCATTGTATAACTGACTTTGCTTTTTCCTTCCAGACTGGCATCATTCAAACGCTTCGTTAGCACTCTTTCATAATCACAAGCTCGTGCGTAGTACATGAAATGATAGCTTGGATTATTTTCAATATCAAGCGCAGGTCCAAAGCGATACTTGTAATATTCAACGAAGCGCTTTACAGTGCTACAGACAGATGTGCAATGATAATTAATACTTTATTCAAAGAACTCGCATGACGTATTATTTCTATTCTAACCTCATCAAATCTGCAGAGGAACAGGAACTGTGGAATTTGAGGCTTTACAGACTAAAATTCACGGAAAAAAAAGAATAAAAAAAACAGTAATGTCAACTTGATAAAGGTATATTTTATTATCAAACTGACAGGTGTAAAGTAAACTGAAGTCTCTCTACTGGCCAGGTAGATGATCCTTCTTATATACTATAACAATGGATAAAAGTTCTATTAATTAGATTGACAAATAAGTCAACTCAGATCAACTAATGTCTAATCATGCCAAAAGACAACTCCAGCAAGCTAATCATGATTTAGCTCTGTCTGGATGAATAATTAGACTCTCATCCGAAGTACCCTGATCTATCCTTTCCATAAGGATAATTAATATCGATCTAGTAGCATGTATCCGATAGGTACAGTCTTCTTAGTCTATATTAATAGTACATATCTGAGTGTATATCGCTAAGCATACATCTTTAGCATGTATCTGGATATATGGCATGTCTATAGCATATCGTATGCATGTCTATAGCATGTCTCATATATAGTACAAGTCTGTAGTACATAAAGTATCTGTAGCTAGTATCACGGATATAAGCATGTGTCTTATAGCGTGGATCATGAAGTGCACATCTGAAGCAACAAGCTCATATTGCATTAATCTTGGTGCCTATCCAGATATGGTAAACATCCGTAGTCAATGTCGGAATACAAGTATAAGTCTATAGTGCCATCCATGTCCGTGGTGCCATCTATAGCCTATATCTTATATAGTATGAATCTTATAGTACTAGCGTATCTGAAGTCCATATCTTCTCATGATCATAGTATAAATCGATATCGTACATCTAATCCAGTGTACATACAGTTTATATCTAAATCTGGTAACTGGATGAACTGTCGGAATGCAGATCATAGTGGATGTATTCCACAGGAACTCCAGCTATAGTCTAGGTAAGATTCACTAGGGTCTCTTGGAACCATTGGGGTTGCGTGTACGCTTCTTGATGCAGCTAAGCGACCAGCAGTAGAGTTGCGGAAATCTTCATTATCATCGTCATCTTCACCCTCATCTGGGCCATCATCACCACCAGGACAATTGCCAGTAGCTCCATTACCAGAAAGAGAAAAAGAAGACGAGAAACCATCAAAAGAGCTACTGTCAGAAGTACTACCAATAGCTCTTGTTGCAGAACGGCGGCGAGTCTTGTGGACAGAAGCCAACAGAGCAGTGGCACCCCAGCTGTTGGTACAACGATGCAAGATGAACCCATACTTCTGCGCATGTGCTTCAAAATACAGAGCATGCTTCAGGATTAATGCCTCATCCACACGACTCCAAGCTGGAACGACCTTGTCATCTACGGCCAAATCGTTGACATAATAGTATTCATCAAGAAGACGTTGGTGATAAACTAGACACATCTTGCGAAGGGCTTTGTATTGAGCAACGACAATCGGATGATTGAAAGCGTAACCCCTTTCATTGACGTCCCCACTTGACTTCATACTAAAGTTAATGAGGCCAAGCAAACGAGTTCTGGCATCAGGGTAAATGGCATTTCCTTGGGAGTTAACCTTGCCAGAGTTGATCCAGTATTCCAAAATCTCAGGGACAACTGGATTTATATCGCGAGGGCCACGCAAATTAGGGTTTCCTACAGGAGCAGGAGCCAAGTTACGCGCTAAAATAAATAACAATGTCAATGTCTATTTCAATTCAATGCACATCAGTGTTTACCTGTAGCAATCACTCTTCCGACATCAGTTTTATTGCCAAAAACACCATCATTCGTGGGTTGAACGGGAGGAAAGGTAGGAGACAACTGCTTGATGAGTTCCAATAAAAGATCACGATTAAGCTTAGACTCTTCCTTGAGTTCACCAACAAAAGCCTTGAGCTCCAGCATCTCTGTCTTGATAGCATCGAGGGGAGAAGCTTGGGTGCGAATGGTTCTGTAGTTATTGTCCATTTTAGTGCAAAAATAATAAATTTAACTTATAAATAATAGTTGATACTTTCCTGAAAACCAAGACACATGTTGCCCTTTTATACGTTCCATCCTGCTCTTGAATTCTATCTTTGCCATTCCAAGTGTCTTAATGACTCACTACTTGTCTTTATTACTTGGACTTGATAGAGTCTTCATGAGTCATTAAGTCAGTTCAAAGTGAGCACCCTCTGTAATAACGCGACTGTAAGTTCGTGTAATGTCAACTGTCAATCATCTTTAAACTCACAGTAGCAAAACATCCAAACATTGAGACACAACCGACACCTTTGTGCAACTTGAAGAGTCAAAAATCACTATTAGTCATAGGTGCTACTATGTACCACAGAGACGATCAAACTACTATTTAAGCTTCACTACACATCACTTTGGTCTTGTTGTCATTCATTTATACATCACCTTATCCTCTCAAAATGCCTGCACGACGAGTTTCAGGAAACTGCGAAAAGTGCCACATGCCTTACAATTCTGCTAGAGCATTGAGGACCCACTATGCAAACTCGACTTTTTGCGAGCCCAAGAAAGCAAGAACAGAAGACACTCCCTTATCGAATAGTCAAGAACGATCCCAGGCAAGCATGCATTCACAAGACGATACTCCAACGGCTACCACAAGTAATCAAGGAAATCAGTCATTACAGCAGCATGCTGCAGAGCAAAGAATAGAACGTGAGTTGTGTGAACTATAAGCAATGCATGACGTACCGTTCTAACTCCCATCTAAGTGCCATCAATTGAGTCCTTTTCATACTACAGTAGCTTCACTCTTGAACAAAAGGAAGGCCTTCGACATGTATATGATCTTGACACCCTCTCTTACGCCACTGATTTTAATGAAAGTGAATTGCTTTCATTGAAGCTCCGTGACATATTCGACAAGTATCCAGCATCGAGAGAAATGAGTCGTGAAAGTATATACTTTACAAATACAATCATTAAGAATATAGCAGAGGCAGGAGGTGGCACTGAAAGAGGTAAGCATATGAATACCACTATGCATTGTATCTTCAAACGCACTCACCATATTGACATCTCCCTTTAATGCACAAAGGCATTGTATTTCCAAAGCTGATTCAGTTCGATACTCTAGAGGCGCGCATGAGAAAGAAGACAAGCGTACAAGCATTCATCTACAAGGTCTGTCCTCAAGGCTGCAAAGTTTATCCCAAGAACGATACATCAGTCCAAGGAGTGTGCAATCACTGTGGAACTCCCAAAAGCGAAGCACAAAATATGAAGGTCTTGAGCATCGGTGATCAGCTAGCAAGAGTCTTGAGTGACAAGTCCAAACGAGGTGAGCTCATGTCGTATCGACGTAACTACCAACATGATCCACATTTTTACCGAGACTACTTTGACGGTCAAGAGTACATTAACTTTCAACAAAGACGGAAAAGACATGGCACCAACGTAGATGAGGAACCTATTCTGCTTGCCTTGTATGTCGACGGCTTCAAACCCCAAAGCAACTCTTTTGCTGGCGATACCTTAACGCTATTCCACGTTGTAATTTTGTCAGCCCCTCCACACCTCAGGTGAGTTATCTCTATTTGTATGGGTATAATATCCAATTAGTACCGGATTCTAACCACCAACGATATTGCATTTATGTCTACCAACCCACAGATACTTGGATGACTGGACTGTTCAGACAATGATTGCACCCGGCAAGAAGGCTCCAGTGGATCTTGAAAGCTACTTGGCTATTTTTGTGGACGAAATTCGTGATCTTAGTGAACATGGCATGCTGGTTCGAGTGAATGGTGGTGAAGTTGCCCGAGTAAGCGTTCATTTGGCGATCTTGTAGAAGTATCACATTTGATGTTGCATGGAGGAGTCTCCAGTCAGTTTGGCTGTATGAAGTGCCTCATAGACACACAAGGAGGCCAATGCTTTACTCGCACAATCAGAAATTTCCAATACAGAACTCTCGAACAACTGAAAGCACCACTGCCTGTTGGCGTAAAACATGTGTTTGTAAGTGAAGCGATTTCATTAAACAATCATGTATAGTTCTTGTACCAACCATCATCTCTTCTATAGAACATCAAAGGACCATCCATATTTACCACTCTCAAGTCTTTTCCTGCCAACCCATCGTTCTACGGTCTCGACACGCTTCACCTACTGAGCATTGGATTAGCTAAGCATTTGTACGAGCTCTTGTCTTCTCCATTGCATCCATCCAAGTTTGATAACCGATACAAGCCCTCTATCGAAGAGCTGAAAGAAGCAAAGCTTGATAAAGCAAGTGCCTGGCCTTACACCTTTGATTTAGATCCCAAAGTTCTGGCAAAGATCGGTCAGTATGTGGCTCAGTCAAAGAAGACCATTCCAACTACCTTCAATGCACCATTCAACGACATTTTTGCACCAGGAGGAGTTACCAACTACCGAGCAGTTGACTATGAAGAGTTCATGATTTTCATTGTTCCAGCCCTGATAGCACCACACTATCCTGACTCAATCAGAAAACCTCTTCTGGGTATCGTTAAAGTGGCAGCTTTGGTATTGCAGAAGAATGAATTGCATGCTTCAGACTTACAATTCATAGAAGCGTAAGTATTGGCATCTTGAATAACAAAACCCGTTTTATCCACAGACTAAAAACTTACTTCTTTCTATCTCTGCACAGTAAGGTTAACGATTGGCACAAACTGCTGATCACTGAAATCAAAGCCAAACGCCTTCCTATCAAGACCTTTCGACCAAACGCCCATTATTTAGGACACTTGACTTACATGATCAAAGCGCAAGGTTTACCGGCTTCCACTTCCAGTCGATCTATCGAAAGATCCATCGGCAGGTACAAACGCTTGATAAGTGCTCGCACAAATGTTGGTATAAATGCCGGAAACATCATTGATCGTTTGGCAATTATGCGAGCCATCAAGGCATCTACAACTGGTGATGGTACAGGCGATGGTGAAGACAAACTGAATGATCTGGATGCTCGAATCAATCTCTTAGTGCCTCGACGATACGATCCAACTACCTTCGTAAATCTAAAGAATGACAATGGCAACGGAAGTCAGCTCTGGTATCCAGTCATCCACACAACGGTTTCAAGTATCCCAACCTCCATCAACGTCAACACACCTCTTTTTGTCAAGGCTATACAGTCCTACTACGACCGGCAATACTCAACTAATGTTCTGCAGAATGTCCATATCAATGATCAACTGGATATTGTCGTCTCTGGAAGTGCCTGGGCTTACAACTGCACTTATCGTTCAGAATACTATCGCGATCTCACCGGTGCTAATTCTAGAGGAAGCCACTACATCATGGTATGGGCAGAACACTTGAGGTATGCCAATTCACAGGTTCATTATTGCCTTTATCGTTACTCATCAAAACCCACATTGACGTCTGAATTTCCTACAGTAACTCTCGTCGCAAGGTCAAAGCTTTCTATGTAGGGGCTGTTATTTTCATGTTCAAGCTCGAAATTGAGGGGATTGGCGATGAGTTGTTCTTGCTTATTCGATTAGGAAAGACTCATGCTGTTGACGACAAAGACAAGACGATGCCCATAGTGGAGCTGGATGATGACCAGGATTCATCCGCATATCTGGTGTGCACATTTGAGCAGGTCATTTGCCAAGTTGGTCTGATGCGTTTTAGCGAGAATGACAAGAGATATAAAGTGATAACGAAGGAAAAGGTTTTCCGGGCCTCGATAGAGACTTATAAACCTGGAAAAAACTCATTTGTGCTACCTCAATAATAAAGATAAATATAGATTTTATCATCGTATTATTACCCCCAACAAGTTAACAGACATTCAGCTTCATGATGTCGTTCTCCTCTTCTTCGCTTCTTCCCTTTTAGCTTCTGACATCAAAGACATCCCATTCATCTCACTACACAACGCTCAGTTCCTTTAGTATGTGCCGAAAAGCACCATTAATTGCGGAGTAGGTGCCCCAACCTTAACTTGAGTAAAACACTAGTGCGAATAGCACTGTTACCAGACAATGGCATCTTAAAATTGTATGAAATTCCTATTTTTCCTTCATTCAATTGCCAATGCTTTTATTCTCACCCTTGCTATTAAAACCTAAGCGTGTATACAAAACAGATTCCGACAAATGTCTTCTTTTTTGCCGTCTCCCTCACCTTCCATTCTTTATTGAATTCTTCCTTCTGTTTTCCCCTCGTCCTACTATTACTTAAGGCTTTGAACACTGATTTTTTGCAAATATCAACGAAACACAAGGGCCACGATGGTTAAAATTCCGCCCACAACAATCTTTTTGCTCTTGTAAACCGGAAAGGTTCTATTGAGCTGTTTCTCCCGTATCTCTAAGATGATTTTTACCACTTTTAGCATCAAATAGGTGTTTCCTACTGCTTTTAGCGCTGAATACGCTGCTAGCTCCTACTTTGAAGCGGTATTTTAAATACAAAAGACTTTCAAGATCCAACGCAAATATGATTCTGATAAATTTCAGTTTTCCCCTTTCCTTCATGGTTTATACGGTATTCTTCAATGAATGTTTACTTGATCTCTCTTAGTTTTGATAGAATAGTGATAGATCTGCCGTTCAATTGTACACATAGGAAGGTATTACGAAAAAACCGAGAAAAACTTTAGATATTGATATTGTGCTTAATTTCCTGCCTAAACATGCAGAACAAAAAAGCTATATAAGAACTAGACACCTTGATAAACACAAAAAAAAACTATCCTGAACACCGCATGTGCAACAATCAATTTTCAACTGCGAGATAAAGTGTTTAGAGGCCATTCTCTTTAGATTTGTTCCGGAAACGTATATAACAAACTAGATGTATAAGAAGAGGAAACATTGGGCAATCGTATTATTATTCTTGAGCACCCGATGACCCTTTGGGAATTCATAAATTGACATTTACTCGAAAAATATGCCTAATTTGCTTCTTTTTACATATGTTTATAGATAGATTTTGAAACCTTCGTTAGGCTATAACAAACAATACGTGCTGCAATCTTTATTTCAAAGTTTTATATACTCAAAAAAATGTGTTTTTGTGTAATATATTTTGTCCTTACTTCCTCAAATGGTTAAGCATTTGATGTACCTCCATTTTTTGTGATACCACTGATAATTCTTTATTGAAAAAAAATCCAATGCACCTTCAAAACCCCAATTTTGGTGCAAATGATCTAAGTCTTGGTGCTTTTGCTCTAAACTTGGTGTATTTGCACCAAGGTTTTCGCCGTAGTGAATGTCGTTGAATGGTGCATTGAAGGTAGTTGGAATGGTCTTCTTTGACTGAGCCACATACTGACCGATCTTTGCCAGAACTTTGGGATCTAAATCAAAGGTGTAAGGCCAGGCACTTGCTTTATCAAGCTTTGCTTCTTTCAGTTCTTCGATAGAGGGCTTGTATCGGTTATCGAACTTGGATGGATGGAATGGAGAAGACAAGAGCTCGTACAAATGCTTAGCTAATCCAATGCTCAGTAGGTGAAGTGTGTCGAGACCGTAGAACGATGGGTTGGCAGGAAAAGACTTGAGAATGGTAAACATGGATGGTCCTTTGATGTTCTATAGAAGAGATGATGGTTGGTACAAGAACTATACATGATTGTTTAATGAAATCGCTTCACTTACAAACACATGTTTTACGCCAACAGGCAGTGGTGCTTTCAGTTGTTCGAGAGTTCTGTATTGGAAATTTCTGATTGTGCGAGTAAAGCATTGGCCTCCTTGTGTGTCTATGAGGCACTTCATACAGCCAAACTGAATGGAGACTCCTCCATGCAACATCAAATGTGATACTTCTACAAGATCGCCTGTCGCCATTGCCTAATAACATTTTTGGGCGACTCACGGCGTGAGTCGTCGAGAAATGGTACCTTAGGTACCATGGGTACCATGGGCATCATGCTAAAAGCCGATCAGAACAAAAGGCAAGTGATACATAAGAATAGGATATCCTATTATTACAGGTATCATTTGAATGGCCAATCAGAAGCAAGACTCACGGTGCTTGGATACCTTGATACATGAGGTATTATTCCTAATAACATTTTTCAAACACGGAGCACCTCGGTGTTTGAAAAATAGGGGAAAGTAGCCTAAGATAGCCGAAGATAGCTCAGTTCGCGTATGCGAACTTATAGAAAATGTTATCCAGTAATTATCTCATCAGAGATTGCTTCACTGAGCGGTCTCATATATACCACCACATAGAACGTGCTCTGGAATAATTAGTAAAAAAAATGAAATCATTATATCATTAAACCGTTATAATCAATTTCAGTTTTACTATTAAAAAAAATATAGAAAGCTCTTAACAGTAGTAAGAGAGCACCAGCCAACTTATAAATATGCTATCAAGCGTCAATGGTTAATTAGCATTTCACTTCCTTGATATGTTATCATAAATCTCAAATAAGTCATCAACATCACTCATCAATAATGAAAAATAGCAACTGAGGAAAATGATGAACAAGGTACAACTTATCATGGGCTTGCAATATGATACCCGACAAAACAACTGTTGATATATTAGGGCAGAAGAATAAACAAAGGGAAAAAAGGAGGGATTAGACAAAATGTAAGAACACCACAAGAAGAGATTGGGATATTAAACAAAGTATATATAAAAGAGGGAATGTGATAAAAAAATGAATAGTGACAATTAAAAGAAACAAATCAAAACAGAATAGAGCAAAGCAACAATGAAAAGAAAAAGAAAAGGTTGTGATACTAAGAAAAGAACAAAGAAGGGAAAAGATAAGACTGCGATAATAAGAAAAGAAGCAACAACAAGTATGGGAACGAATACTGGATAAACAAGGACCCGACAAAATAGTAATTAAAATGATAAAAAATAAATACATAGAAAGAGAGAGAAATTAAACAAAACAAATAAACAGAAAAGAATGCAAAAGAGTAAATAAAACAAAACAGATAGAAAAATTGAGACAGTTAGGAACAAAAGTACAAATAATAGTCAATATCAATAAAGGGAGGCAAAGAAACCCTTGAAAAGACAGAATGTAATATATAAGACAAAGAAAAAAAGGCATATAACAGGAGATGGTAGGAAAGCAAAGAGACAAAAGAAATGGAAGTAATGTAAAGAATAAGAAGTAAAGAAAAGAGTAGGAATAAACTGAGAAAAAAAAAGAGAAATGAAGTAAAGAACGCGAAAGGAGAAGTAAATCAAAAAAAAAATAAACATGAAAGAAGAAAATAGACAAAGATAAAAGAAAGGCGAAAGAAACAATGTCAAGGAAGAAAAATGCGATAAAGAAACAGAAAGGAATAAATAGAGAAAAAAAAGTCGAAAAGAAAAAGGTTCGAGAAGGAGGATAAAGAATATAAGCAGAACAGAAAAGGGAAATATGAAGACAAAGCACAGGAAGAGACCGGGAGAACAAGCAAACAAAGAAAAAACGGAGAAGCAAAAGCGCAAATATAAACAGAGAAAAGATATATGAAAAAAAGAAAGATGGACAAAAACACAGACAGAGAAAGGGGGGTAGAAAGAACGGAAATACAGAATAACAAAAACAGAGAAAGTATATACAGAGAGAACGGGGAAACAAACAAGAAAAAAGGAAAGGGATAGGGGATAAAATACACAGAGACGAGGAAATGGAATAGGAAGAATTATAGAAAGAGAAAGGACGAAGAAACTACGAAAAAAAATACACAGAAAAGGAGAGAAGAATAGACAAAAAAAGACAGAAAAGGGGAGAGGGGTAGAGAAAAGAAACAGACAGAGTACAAAGAAATAATAACAATAATAACAGAAATAAAGAAAAAAAAACGAACAAGAGAGAATAAGAACAGTAAAGAAAAAAAATAAAATAAAAGAAAATAAAAAGCGAATACATTACCATAGCAGAGCGAATACATTACCATAGCGGAGCGAATACATTACCATAGCAGAGAAAAATAACTACTGCTATAGAGCGAACATGATGATATTCGTATAGCAATAGAACACATAAATGCACAACAACATTTCACAAGCACGAAGACACAATAAAGGAATACACATAATACATATACTTAAATAAGGGATAATAGATAATAATAGGGATATATATATATATATAAATTATAAAACAGGATAATTAGGAATAAGATTATAAGAAAAAAAAGGATTATAATTAGAAATAAAGATATGATTAAATTTAGGATAAGGATTATAATTATGGTTAGAATTTTGAATACTATTATAATTACGATTAGAGATAGAGATATTATTAAAGCCAGGGATAAGTTTAGAACCAATGATAAGCATAGGATTAGGATTATGGATAAAATTATATTTAGTGTTTATAATATGGATAACATTAGAATTATGAATAAAGTTAAAATTAGGGAAAGTAGTAGGATTAAATATAGTAAGATAGTCATGATTATGACAGGGGGATTAATATTACATATAGAAATAAGGATAGAAACAAGATTAAAATTAATATTTACTATATAAAATTATGGATATGAATAATAATAAAATTAGAATTAATAATAAGGAATAAGGACACAGTTAATATTAATGTTTAAGGGTATATATATATGATTAGAATTATGATTAAAATAGGATTAATGATAATATTACGATTAGAAATAGTATCAAGATAGAATTATGAATAGTATTAGGATTAGGATTAGAGAATAATAATAGGGATAAGCCAGAGTTAGAATTACATCTAAGGACAAGATTAGGGTTATGACATGGGAATTAAGATCAGGGAATAGGATTAAGATTCGGGTTAAGATATTGAAGATGAATATGGTTAAATTAGACATAATGTCAGAACTAGAGTCGGGCATATGGTTAAAGATAGATTAAAGTTATAATAGGATTAGGATTAATATTATGGTTACGATAAGGGTTAGAATAATGATTAAGGTTAGGATTAGGAATGGTATTAATGTCACTGTTAGTGTTAGTATCAATATTAGACATAGGATTAGGATTAGGGTTAGGGTTAGGGTTAGGGTTAGATAGGAATAAAAATAAGAATATATCCAAAAACCGATAAAGAAGCAACAAAGTTGAGAGTCTAGAGACACTTAGATTTGAATCTATTCGCTACAATGAGATGTAGCTTCTTCAGGTGCATTATACTAGCTCTTTATATATCTTTTTGAAAAATTATTTTTTCACACGAAAGCCGGAATAAGTCGGGTGAAAGACGTGATCCGGAAATTTAAGGAAAGATTAGACTCGGCGTTAAGTGCCGAGATCCCTTTAGACTCGGCGTTATGTGCCGAGATTCGGCGTTTATGTGCCGAGATTCGGCGTTATGTGCCGAGATTCGGCGTTAAGTGCCGAGATCCTTTTTTAGACTCGGTGTTAAGTGCCGAGGCTAATAGTGAAAAAATATATAAATACCCTGCAAAAAATTGGGGATTTTTTATCGCCCACATTTTTTATTTTGAAAACACTATATATTTTACTACTTATAACCCTTCCCATAAGAGAAGCCGCTGTCCCACAGAACAAGTCCGAGGCAATTACAAGGTAAAATATGAGCAGATTTCAGGAGTTATTCTGACAGTTTTCTTTTTTTAATAGAAAGCATAATCAGGATCTTACAACCAGGAATGTCCACAGTGTAAGTAAGGGTAAGGTAAGTGAAAAATTTGTTCTTCATGAGGCCAAGAGGGGTCTTTCATGGTCAAATTTTTCAAAGCACTAGTGTTGGTATGAGGTATCAACATTAGTGTTAGTGTTAGGGTTAAGGTTAGGTTTAGGGTTAGGGTTCAGGTTACGTTTTTTAGACGAAGTCCAACAAAGTCCATCCTGTTGTAGTGAATGGAACTTCTTTCCCGTTAATTTTTGTACATTGGCACGATTTAATAAATCAGCAATGTTTTTATTTCGTTTAAAAGCAACTACTGGTCGGTAGTGTGGATTTAAATCAGAAAATAACCTAAGTCCTTTTCGAAGATGTAAAGTCTCCCAAATTGGATTATACGTTGTAACAAAAGGTACAAGAGTATTATCTGTACTAAGAGGAGTATCTTCAAGATATTTTGGTCTGTCATCGTAACATACTTGACTAAACACCCAAATTAAAAAACGAGGGGGATATCCACGAAGTCGTAATCGAGTAAAAAATTGTTTAGCAGTAATAGCAAAACTTCGGTAAGAAGAGCTGTTACGAATGTATCGAATCAATTCTGCTTTAATAAAACCAACTTTATTATCTTTGGGATGATAAGATGAAAATGGAATATATAAATATTTATTAAGCATTTTTTGATGAGTGGACAATTCAATCTTATTATGCTTTGCATGAATATGAAGATCAAGAAAGCTAACAGATGTCAATGAATAGTCCCAAGATATCTTTAATTTGTTACTAAAAGCACGCTTGGTGTCAAAAGTATACAAAAAGGTTTCAAGTTCTTGTTTAGATCCTTTGAAAATGATAAAGATATCATCGATATATCGACCATAAAAGATCAGTTTAAATTCAGGATTAAATTCAAAGAAACGTTCTTCGAAATGATGCATCAAGATATTTGCATAAGCAGGAGCGCATGCAGTACCCATTGCAATACCTGATACCTGATGATATGGTAAGCCTTGAAAAGTAAAGTAGTTATTGCCCATAATAAATTTGAGTGTTTCTCGAATAAGTGTAGGGTCATTCGAAGAAAGAGGAACATATTTATTAACAGTGTTGGCAATAACATCGAAAGCATATGGAGTAGTAGGTAGATTCGTGTACATTGAAGACACATCACCAGTAACTAACCATAAAGGTCTTTCATCCTGAGGAATAGAAATT